GCTAAGTTTTTATTATACATAAAAAAATCAACGGACCTGACGAGTCCTGAATGAACATTAACTTCTTATTGATTCTGCATGTGCATGTATAAAAATAACACGTTTTACGTAGGTTCTAATGTCATTTATATAAAGAAACTAAGACTTTCGTTTTGTATATATATATAATTTTTGGCGATCTGCTTTAATTTCAAGAAAACAAAAGAGTAAATAGATATTTAATTCGTGGTTGATTTCCTAAGAAAAAAAAGACCACGGTATTGTACAATTTTGTCCGTTGGTTAACTGAAAATAACATACATTCAAACACGTACGTAGAAACACTACTTGTATAAGCAAAGAAAGCAAAAATATATTGCCTACATATTCTTTTTATATACAAGAAAACACAAACTAAATTCTTTTCTTTGCTTATTATACTTGATATTTCAGGTATTATTAAATATTCTAAAATTCTGAATTCTAAATTCTGAATTATTTACACTCATCATATTTAAAAAATATATTATCACTACGTTTTGGAGTACAAGTTTCATGTGATGTGATGTAAATATTTTTAAAGGTTTTTATATACAATATAAAATATCCTAATTAAACTTTTCTAGAACCCGCGCAAACCGAGGCGAATCGATAGTTCAATATATAATAGGTTAAATATTAAAAATGATGGTTTTATTTATTATGCACATTAACATTGGACAAAAAATATTAAAATACTATAAGAAATAAAATTTTGTAGGTAACCGATACATTTTAGTAAACGTACGGCAAAATCAATTACAATACCATTGTCTCCTATTAATTTAATTGAAATAAATACATATTATTTAAATCCAGTTTCGATAGTTTTTAGATTATTGATATTTAGCAAATATCAATAATAAGACATAAGGCAAAGTCATTCGATAAAAATACGCATGCAATTAAAACAATTTCAAAACAAATTATATGAAAATTAATCACAGAATTTTTACTTCATTTTTTTTTCGTTACCACATGCATGCGTGGCAAGAATAAAAGGTACCTACTAATCATAATAGTAATTGGTCTTACAGTGATAACGAGAGAAAAAAAATATTTAGGTACTGCCTATCACTGCAGAAAACAGCTTCAATTGCATTTGCATATTATACATACTTTCAACTTGTATTTCATATATGCAGTATACTATTTAGCATTAGATGCATGGACCTTCCAAAAAAAAAACAAACATTTGGAACAGAATGAATATATGTTTAACATATGGAATAATGTAATGGAAATTGATATTTCTTTTCTTTTTTATAGTTAATATTTAAATATGCTGTCATAATACGTCGCTACATATTATATAGCGATTCACAGGTTCATACCTAAAAGACGGTTCCTTTAAAAACGGCACTTATTAGATCTTTAATGTCTTTATTTAAGTGTGTCGTCCAACAACAATACGTATCGCGAAATAAAAGTTCATGCTAAAACTATTGTTTAATAAATTAGGAAAATAAATCTGTCTATACCTATAATAAACTAAAATAAACAATACCACATTTTTGTTACTTGCAGACAAAACGTTGGGATGGTAACAAATAATAGTGGATAGTATTTTCAGTTCTATATACATCTAAGAATTTATTATTATTAAATTAGTAAAACACCTCACATCAGATTTCAATTTCTATAGTGTGTACAAAATACATTTGTTCAAAGTAAAAAAGCTGTATACGTCAAGCGTCTGACAGTCTATCTACGTCTATATATAACGCTATTTGCATATTATGTTGTACAGGATTCACGATCGACATTTGTTAATAACCTGTTCATTATATTAATTGCAACAGAAGATATTTATACCGATCCTCATGCACCGTTCAACTAAACTAATTCATTTGACAGATCTAAAATTCGTATTTTACGATTTCTAAAGATGTCAAATATTATAAAATATAAAACTTTTATTGCTATAGTCCTTAATCGGTACAATACGGTACAATAATCAACTGCATTTTGCATTGTCCATTAATAAACTTTTTATATGGTGGCATACTAACATTATGCAAAGTCAATCGGGAAATCTTACACAAACACGATATACTGATACATCTCAAAACTATATGCAACTAACAAGATTCACTGAGGTATGTCTAACACTTACGTGAGTGTCAATGCAGTGCTACTAATAATTAGTATACATTCCTTTACATATCTATCAACAACAATAATTTAATTTACATATCATACTAATTACTGTGTTCCCAATTGACCTCTTTCTTCCGCATCTCTTTAATATTGGGCTTCATTATGTGTATTATATCTATGAGGACAGGTAATATTATAAATTTATTATTATGTATAGTCGTGGTATAATATATCACAGGCTTTGTAAGCCCAGGCAGTGATTGCAGTTCCTTTGGAACTATACTTGTGATACAAAATTTTTTCAACTACATAAGCATATTAATTATATATATATATAAATAGTATTAAATGTGACAACATATAAAAATCGATATTTATATCCGAAGCTAAGTCAATTGACGGAATGTACACTAATATTAGAGTATTTAGATAGTAAGAGTTTTAAACTGTCTCCGTTTCTAACGTTATACTAGTAAGTCATTATCTTAGACTAGATATTTAACATAATCGTGTGTATTATGAGTTACCAATATTTGATATTATACTTTGTACCGACTCAAAATATTGGGGACTCGCGATTATGATAACTACCTGTAGTTATTGTTAAAGTTTTAAAAGAAAGAATGTCATACTATCAGCATGTACTATAATCTCCAGGAGGCAAGAGCAAACTTCCAGCCTTATACGACGACCTAAGATGCTGCTCACATGCAGTGCTGTAACAAAGTGTAATAAATTCTGTCAATTATTATATATCACGCTTCAATGTTAATTGTCAATGATAAAATGCATTAAAAATAAACATAAAATACACAGATTTTAAAAATAATAAATATATAACAATAAAGTAACAATAAGACACCTATACAATGCAACGTAATGTGGTCTTATGTATTTATTCTCACTTATAATAATACAATCTACTCATATCAATTTAAATGGTGACTCAAGTAATGTGATAAGAAAATTCTTTTTTTTTTTCACCAGCCTATATTTGTTTCTTCATTTAATAATATCTAAAGATACTATTAATAATCACCTATATTTCATTTTAATATTTGCTCTAGGACTTCACATTAAACACATCAAGCAAACTTCATATTTAGCAATAATACAAAATAGAATATTACCGTATTCGCAACTACATATCTTATAGACAAACTGCAAATATGAGTATCTCAAACATTATTTTACACATATCACATTAAGCATAATTAAAAATAGTATGCATATATATATATATATTCTGTATATGAGATTTAACTAATAAAACTACGCCAGCATAACCTTAAAGAGCGTGTTCCATAAGCCAATACAGATAGCTTAGTTACTATTACAATAAATATACCTACATCATCATCACCATCGTATCAGCCATAACTATCCACTGCTGAACATGGGCCTGCCCCATAATTGCCATAAATATGGTCTCGAGCCACCTACATCCACTAACTCCCTGTAAAGCATAGCTACCTATCCATATATAACTACATATTTAAACTAATAAAGGTTGATTCTTTTAAAAAAAATATTATATGATGCTGTCAAAATTTAAATCTAAATATTATTAGCACAGCGGCAACACTACACTTATAGAAAACACAATATTATGAAACAATATGTCACAAAACATACATCATACACTAAAATGTGATAATGGGCATAAATACTTGTAATAATATTATTGAATTATTAGACAGGTCAAGGCCATTAACTTCATCTTCTTATTGTAAACTAGTCCCGGCACAAACGAGTAGATAGATATAAAGATAAATAAGTTTTTTGTAGCAATAGGCAAATTTATTATTAGATTTTACTTATTAAATTTATATGAAATTCGTATAGCTACATATGTTTATATGAATAAATTTAATCAATATTTAATATTTGCAACATTAACATTCGGTAAGCATGTATTTGAATTTGAATTCGAAATATGAATTTGCAATGCTATGCAATGATAAAACTGCTTAGCAGAATAAAATAAAAAGAAAATACAACAATAACCTTTCGCTACAGCAAGTCTTTAAGTCTATAATAAGAAAGGCAGTTATATAATATGTAACTGCCTTTCTTATTATTTTAAAAAATATCTTAACATATTTTAAACTCAAACTGGCACAGAACATACATACAAATAATGCATTTTATTAATTTTATTAATTGTCATGAAAGGGAGATTGAGACCAGATTGAGACTTCATACAATAGTTGTTTGCTTGGGTACCTTTGTTTAATTCATGTTTCTGCTTTAAAGGAACTCCTTTGTTCATACAACCATACCTACAACACAGACATACAATCATAACTATGGTTGTATGTCTGTGTTATGAAGGTATGAAGAGTGTATATTTGAAAGATAGGATATGACAGTGAAATTATAGGATACAGAGGCATAACAACGTAGTCCATACGAATGGCAAGACATGAAGGGTATCATGGGTGACACAGTATACTTTGTTACTGTTCATGTTTATAGGCGAAGATTACCACTTTCCGTCAACATGTTTGCCATTCTAAGTTGCATAAATAACTATTCAAAATTACTGATATTGTAAATATTCAGCTGTATTGACTTAATAGAAAAACAAAAAAACGATTTTCATCCTGAACTTAAAAATACGCAAGCATTCATACACATTACCAATTTCTCAAAAAATCATATTATAGGAAACAATTAAGCTTTAAATAGTCAATTGCGTTATTTTCGGCCCCATATACACATAGATATTATTAACAAAAATTAAACATTACCTTATTTTTCTTTAGCTAGTGTGGGTGTACTCGATTTATTAGGTTGTGGTATTATAGTAATCTCATCGTTGATTTTTAGAGGTTTGAGAAGCGAATCATTGTTGCTCTTCACCGGTGGTAAATTCGTCTTAGTCTTGTCCATGACACGCTTCGCAACAACACTGTGTGCTGAATACACGTGATTCTCAAATTGCTTGTACATGCCGAAAGTTGCTGTACACACGGTGCATTTATAAGATAAATGTGCAGGTTTAAGTGTTAAATTATGATCTCGAGCCACATGGTTCAATAGTTTCCACTGGTAAACCTGCAATTGTAAAAATTTATTTAAAACTATTAATCTTTAAATTAACTTAAAAAAAAACAGGGACTAGTCTTATTACATAAGATTTAAAAGTTATAAACAAGGTCACTCACGTTATTTCACTCATATTTTAGATGAAAATACAAATGTACAAAACATGAAATCAACAAATTATACTTTTATCTGTCTTGACCAAAGTGATCATAACTGTTGAAAGAATTTACTAATTATTACATTTCTTATTCACACTTACTCTGCCACAAACTGGACATCTTCCTGCATCTTTTCCTTTATTTGCAGCTTCCTGCATAGAACTGGTAACGAGTCCGTGGGAGCCTAATAAATGTCGCTCCAACCCCTGATCAGTGAAGAACCTGAAGCACATGAGAAAAACAATTTAAAATATAAATACAAGAACATCTTAGTAATATTATAAATATAAAGATGGTTTCAAGTATGTATGATGGTAGAAGGATGGGCTTGCAGCATCCCTCTTAAAATAACTGTTAAAGCCTAACTGAGGTTGACGACTCGTCTGGCAAGCATGGCATCTACTGGCAAAACTCCCCTTATGGAAAAGGCTTATGTTAAGCAGTGGACAGTTAACAGCTGATGAACTAACAGGGTACTTTTTACAAGAATTTACGAGGACAAAGTCGCAAGATACAACTAATACACATTTAATCCAACTTTTTCCATTTAAGTAAGATTAATGAATAAAAGAAACAAGTAACAGATTATAGAAGCAAATAGGAAACTGGTTTCGACCTATCTCCAAGTAAAAATAATAATATTTTAATATGGTAACATTTGTGTGGCACCATAATGTTTTATATACCAATCCATTTGTTTCTTATCCAGATAAAAACTTCAAATTGGAACACCCAATTTACAAAATTCCATTAAAATTGATATGACAATATTGAAAATTAGTCTAAATGTACATGGTGATATGCAATAAAAAACATTCTTTATCTTCTACATTACATTACATAGTTAAAAAACAACTACATACCTAAATTGACATTTTTGACAATTTAGTGGTGGCCTGTTATAAATCATTTTAGGATGTATCTTTACTTTATGTATCCATTGCATGTGATTTCTTAATTGCTCCAAATCTTTGATATATCCATCACAAATTTCACAAATAACAAAAGCACCCTTAGACTGCTGAGTAGGTGGTGGCTGTACTGGCTGAGGTTGTCGTGGCAATGGCGTTATAGAAATTGATGGCTGATGCATCGACTTTGGTTTCCCATTATTCTGGAAATTATAAAGAATTATGTTAAAGAACTTATAAGGGAAGACATTAAAATGACACACAATTTTATATTTTTCATTTTAACTTACTGTAACTGAATAGTTTGATGACATAAGAATAGACTGAGATGTAGGACTGTTGTGCCTGACAACAACACCACTTCGTATTATAGGCACTCCATGGACGGGCGTGGCGCGCGGGGAAACTGGCATTGGAGACCGTCCACGTGGTCGGTAACCAGTACTTACTCCTGCCATTAGGTTAGGTAAATTCATTGGAGCCCGTAAGTTATTACCCACTTGACTACGATTGAAAGCATTTTGATAAGGACTCATAATATTATTACGTGCCCTTGTCATCTGAAAAGAATTATATTTAGCATTATATGTTCATACAAAATATGCTAATTAATTTTCCATAAAAAAATAATGCAAAATACTATACCTTTGGTATTTTTGCTGGAGGCTCCCATTCGATGGGAGGAGATAAGTTTAATTCGGGTTTAAACTTTTTCGCACATGGTATTAGATGACGAGCAAGTTTTCCTTTCCCATTATCTTCAAAAGGACAGTTTGCACACTGATGGTAAGCAGGTGCTCTCTCCAACTTGCCTCTAATATTATGCTCTGCTTCCATATGGTACAAAATGTCATGAGGACTGCGAATTTCGAATGTACAAAAGTTACATTTATAAACATTATTTTTCATATGTGGAGTCTCCAAGTGATGAGTCATAACAAGCATAGATTCTGTTTTAAAACTACAAAATTCACATTTCTTCTGTGTAAATGAATATGGAGCATTGTTTTCTTTACTGAACTCTAAATTCTTCATGAGTGATGCTACTGATGTCTCTGTAGCTTTAGTATTCTGTCCAGACTTTTTCTCTCTATAAAGTTTCCGATTCTGTTGCTTCAGTAAATCTGTTTGCACATATTCTTGTACAAGATTTAACCCAATATTTATAAAAAATTTACCCAGTGAACAATCAAAATAGTTATCTGTCTTTCCAGTGCAAACTTTGTCTACTGTCAGATCCGCAACATCTTTTATTTCTTCAATAGAGTCTGCTTTGTCTTTAATAACAACAGTTTTGTCTTCATCACTCAATAATTCATCATCAGAATCTGCTGAACTTTCTCCATCCCATGATGCATCGTCATCATTTTTATTGTGACGCTCTGAAAGTAAAAAAAAAATTAACATGGTTTATTAACACTTAATAATATTAAAAGAATACAACAAAATAGTGTAAGTTAAAAAAGAAACCTCTTTTTTTCTGATCTTTTTTCTTTTTCTTATCTGCTTCCTCATTCTCTTCTGCATAACTATCATCTTTCTCTTTCTCAGTTTCCCCTTCTGAATCCTCGACTGTTTCACCCTTTTCCTTTTCTTTTTGTCTTTTTTCACTTTCTTCTTTTTCTACACGTTCCTTTTCTTCTTTGGCTCTTTGATCTTCTAATTCTTTACCTAATATATCTACAAATTCTCTAAATGGTTTAACTGAAGGTTTTTCATATACATATGGTACTATGAATGATGGTGCCTCCACAACAAACATATCATCTGTCAATGAAGGCAAAATTGAAGGCTGTGCAGTGTGTGTGGTGCCACTTAATGAGGAAATATTATTATTTCTACTGCTTACAGGAGTCACAGTTGTGCCTCGAGCTACAATGCTCTGATACAAATTTTGTGCATTTATGCTTGAATTTGTAGATGTAAAATTTTTACCCTGTTGAACTCCTGAACTTTTCCCTGATATAATGGAATTAGTATCTATAATTACCACAGTAGGTTCCTTTTTTTGATTGTTACCATGATTTGATTTCATTTGTTTTGCTGCCATCTCAACCAAGGCCTTAGTATCATTAATAACAATAGGCTTGCTTTTGCGAGTAAGTGGGTCTTCCAGCACCACTTCTTCCACATCAGATTCATCTCCATTTTCTAGATCATCATCATCATCATCATTATACCTCTTACGCTTGATAGCTCTACTACTTCGACGCAATTGAACTTTGTTCTCATTAACTTTTGAATTTAGTTTTTCATCATTAGCCACAACACAATCATCATTATCACTCTCAATTTCATGAACTTCCGGACTGGGAGAATCATGAGAATTTCCATTTTGACTATTAGTTATATTGTCTACTATTATTATATCATTACTTTTATTTTTTATATGACCATCATTATCATTATTTTCTCCATGGTCAGGCTCAGAATCTGAATTGATACTCACAGTATCCTCAGCTCTTTGTTCATGGGATATTTCAGATTCTCCTTCATCTGAGGAATCCTCTTCAGAATCAAGTTCATCAGTGTCCTGAAATCAAACATAAAAAATTGTAATGGTAAACAATAAGAAAATGTAATATATCATTATCAATTTCATTTTTATATGTCCAACTGTAATGTAAACTTAATACATAAAATGGATAATAGTCTGCATTAATAAAACTATGAGACAAAAATATAATAATATAGTGGTAAGAAAATATATTTTTCATTTTACTAAACATATAGCTGCTTCAACAATGACAAAATTAATGTGAAACTAACACAAGAGTACCATTTACTTCCAATGAAATATAATGGAAATGATGAATTTGAGTTCAAAATTGATCCACATATACAATGTTATGTAAAGATATGAGATAGATTTTATATCATCCTAGAAGGATAGTCAGAATCATTAATTTAACTGTTATAGTTGTATTTACAATATGTTCACATTTCACTAAACAAATTTAAAACTATATAACTACATAAAGCAATCTTGATGTAATTTTTTTTCAATTTGGCCTCAATAGTCTTGAATATTATTTGAGTTTTCAAGTTTAAAAAAATTAAGGTTAAACCATTTTAAAAATAAAAACAGAACTTTTATTTAAAAAAAAAAAAGATGTATAGATGTCATTATAAATTATGAAATATTATGTTTATTTATAAGTTATAACCATGTAGTTGGTACAATATGCATAATGACATCATAAAAGAGATTAAAATTCTCAACTGATAAAATTCCTATATAGTATTATCAGTTCAATTTTGAAATTGAAATATACTGGACATAAAAAACCATGGCCAAGTTCTGACAAACAGTATATATATATATATATATTCTTTCAGGGATTACAAACATAGTATGCATTACATTTACTGTCTCCAAATAGGCTATAATTTTATTTGTCCACAGGAATAAACAGGTTTATAATATAAAAATAGATATCATTTACAATTATTATTTAAATTATAAAAAATAATAATAATAACAATAAATAAAAATAAAAATAGCAATAAATAAAAATAATAAATAAATATAACAATAAATAAAAATAATAAATATAATAACAATAAATAAAAATAATAAATAAATATAACAATAAATAAAAATAATAAATATAATAACAATAAATAAAAATAATAACAATAAATAAAAATAATGACAATAAATACAAAAAAGGAAAAATAATTACAATTAATAAAAAATAAATAAAATCCGAAATAAAAAAACAACAGGAATTCTATATTTTCTAAGTTATGAAAAAAAAAAACAATATTAAATATATGGTAGTTATCTAATAACATTTAAATATCTAACCTTTATATTTAAAAATTATAAAAGTTAATCACAAAAATAATGTTCTGAAATTGTAATAAGCTGTTAAATGAAAATAATTTTACATATCAAAAAAAAAAAATTACAAAAGAATTATGAAGATGAAGATTTATAATAATGAGTTGAATATGAAATTTTGTTTTGGTTGATTGTTCACAATCATGAGAATATTTCCCTTTTTTATTTTATATTAACTAAATAAATAACAAAAATACCTCTTGATTTGTATCTGTGCTTCTAGTATACACTTTTTCAATACTCTCCTGTTTACTGTTTTCATCCATGGTTTGTAAATTCTCCTGCCCAACTGTCTCAGACTTAGTCTGAGAACTAGATACAGAATCTGGGTATGATTCATTGCTGTTCACATTATGATTCTCAATAGGAATATTATTGCTGTTTTCCCTTACAGGCACATTTAATAAGCTTCCAGTAGTGCAGTTGTTTGTCTGGGCATTGCCACTATCATTACTATTGTCATTTTCCAAATACTCAATATTACTACTACCCACTGCACCTTGACTGGATTCACTATCTACATGATTACTGCTCTCTGTATTATTGCTATTCTCACAATGGTTTGAAATATCATCACAGTCCTCAGAGGTAACTTTCACATGGTTATGTTTGTTTACTGGAGAGTTGGGTAGAGATGTCTCAATGGGCTCTTCCATAGTGCCATTCATACTGAACCAGTGCTACATTCCATGTGTTACACCTGCCAAAACAATACAATCTTATTTAGGTTATATTTCTAATACTATCACAATCATGAGAGTAAGATAGGTACCAAGTGTCTGAGCGTCACATTTTTTATAGTGAACACTCCCCGCCCCCTCCCGCCTGCCCTCTTCCCCCTGGCAAGGCGCTAGCAATCAAAATGGCGGTTCCATGGTACCGCACTGAGGAGCTACGTGTACACTAAATACCTACTACTATCACGAAGGTCAAATATGCATAACACAATTAGTGGATTATAAAAATAAACTATAAATATTATGTCTTGCAACTTTGTTTACGTACTGACGTCGCTTAAGCGAAATCAACATGTAGATTCAAACTTTCGCTATAAATTGAGAAAAAAGTGTAGTCTAATTTGCATCTTACCGTAATAAAGTTTATCGAAAATAGAAAGTTACAACGTTAAAAAATTGGGGCATCCGAACACAAAATTTTACACTAGAATATGATAATTTTATTCTGTAAACAACCAAAGCCGGTATAGTATTCATTTCCACTAACAAATCATAATGTAGAGGTTTTAAAGTATTTTTGTTTAGAAGAAATAAATCAGACACTTCACCCGCTCCAGTATGAAGTGCGTTGTCGCGCTGAACCGCTTTCTGGTTCTCGTTCACTACTTGGTTAATTCAATGGTGGACTCCCAAAACAATTTTCTTCTTTAAATTTGTATATACCATTCACTCGATCAAAATTATTATTAGTAAATACAAAAGCACAATATTTAAAATAACAATTAATAGGCAACCATGGGAATTTTATAATTCTAATCATCTAATTACTATAAAAAAGCTATACGACAAAATTAAGGTCTTTATAGAAGAAATGCAACATGGCGGCTAAGAGTTAGTCACGTGACACATTCAGAAGGCGCGGGTAGGGGAACAAATGTTACCAACTTAAATATTTTTCTCCTGTATTTAGCGGTAATTAGTGAAGGATTTACAGAAGATACGCTAAGAAGGTTGGAGCCTAGACAGATTTTAAGGGCTACAAGTTTGGTGCGGATTTTGATTATCCATAAACTTACAATTTCATTGTAAGCAAAAATTTGTAAACAAAAAATTGCAATTAATGTGATTATTATTAAAGTTGATAACAGAAAGTTATAAAAAATATTAAAATACGTATATTATGCAGAACAAAATGTTACAGCAAACACAAGATACTTAGCCATCTGACTGTCTTAACGACGTGTATTCTTTTATATAGAAATTATTATGAGATATAAATATCGTACTAACGAATTCTTAACGCAAATTGTTTTTATACGGATCTCATAAAATTTATATTAGACAGTAAAAAACCTGTAAAAAATCTTTGGCATTGTTATAATATTCTCTACTACTACGGTTCATCGACAAGCTTGAAATTGACAGCAAGTTTACATAAATATCAAATAGACAAGCAAGTTCTTATTTGTTAGTTTTTTTTTTTTTTTATTTTTGAGTACTTCTTTCCTTAAAAATCCACAAGTCGGGTGGGCCCGGCACTATACCTCCAATGGTACTTAAGATGTGCGCACCAGAGTTGGATCCAGTCCTCACGCGACTTTTTCGATTTGGTTACTCATCAGGAGAAGTTTCACACTTTTGTAAGACTGCTATAGTATATCCAATACCCAAAAAGGAAAACTAATTAGATTAGTCTAATAGCTAACTATTGCTATGGGACATAGCTATTACTTTCTTATTATCGAATGTTATGGTGTTCATCGTCAATTATCAACTCCGGTACCAAAAAGAGCACTGACTGATCGTTAACGTGATATATCGATGAACAGTGGCAGTCGAGTCGTAAGGAAAAAGTCCAAATTGCTAGGCTGGAAATTGTGAAAAGTGTTCGATCAGGTATGGTATAAAACTTTGCTTTCAAAACTACTTTCATTGGAGTATTTGCAAGATTGGGCAGTTTAGTGGCCAATTTTTCTCACCAGGCGAAACATTAAGGTCGTAGTCGACAGAACAAACTCAAATTTAAAACCTGTAAGCGCTGGTTAATTGCATGGCTGTGTACTATCTCTACGATTTTTTTTTTCTTTTGCATATCTACAACATATTGGAGTACAATAATGGATATCACTGATCTGTAACATATTACAGATCATTAATATCAAATGTGAAACGTCACGAATTATAGTATACGGAATACAATATAAACCAGTGAAGCAAAAAATTCAGGGGCACATACCAATGAGTGTCAGAACAGTCTTGTATTTAAAATTGAAACGTCGTTTGTTATATCACCTCAGTTTCAAAACACTCCTCTTGATTTAAGTTAAGCCTGAGGATCGTTTGCGTTGATATATCCAGAGGCGTCCAGTTTTGCGATCACTTAAAAAATTGGGAGTGCTTAATAGAATGAGACGGTATTTCACGCCGACGCATCATTTGTCGTTAACATCATCGTCATCATTTCAGCCATTATCCGTCCACTGTTGGACAATAAAAATGATAATAAATGGTGCATTGATAGTGGGTGCACATCCCACATGTGCAACCATAAAACTCTTTTAAACTCATAAAACTAATCTAAAATCAAATCAAATGGACGTCACTACAGCGTATCTTAATAGAGAGCTACTTAGAAAAATATGTAATGGGAATTATGGTTGACGAAAGTAGTCAAAATGACATTCTTTAATAAGGCTAAACAGATGCTAGAAGATATTAGAAATATTAAAGAAGAAAAGGTTTGCAAGCTTCATGAAGCTTTATACGGATTAATAATAATAATAATAATAGTCAGAAAATTCTTAGATATAGATGAGGATGAAGTAGCCACCCGACATACACAAACATAACCTTCCATTCAAACATACACACTGCACTTACTTGGTCACGTACCCGTAAGTGTAGTATAATTACCAGCGCTAAAAGCTGAGAAATAAACAATTCAATGTAAATAATAATAATAATATTTATTAGGTCAAAAATACATGTTTCAATTTTATATTTGTTCCCAAAACTTCACGCTAGGATTCCCTGTGTCGTGAAGTCTTGGGCCCTCTTCTACTTACAAAACTTATTAACTAATATATAAACTTTAGATACATAAACAATTTAGATTTATACACATTTTTACATATATATTTTGTTACATATATATATATACACATACACACATGCATATACATACACATACACACATACACACATACATACATACATATTTACACATAAATATAATGGTAATACATAAAAAATAAAACTTAAAGGAACGTATAACATCGGTAAGTACTTCATTCAAATTTCGATTCAAAGACAGTAGGGATGACAATGATTGGATAAAGTGATATGGGTTATAAATTCGTAAACTTGGCCAACCCAAAGCGATTTATAGTTGCTCGTGATGCGATATTTAATGAAAAAATAACAGAGTTCTATAGGTCGAGAAAATAAAAATCCTTTTAAATTTGGTCCAATAACATTAGATGTAGTGGCGGTTCCATGTGAAAATAAAATACTTCGAAATCTTGATAATATAATTATATGTGCCTATTGACATTACAAAGGTCACACAACAATTACACACAGAACCTGTACGCCAAGATGTTTCAAGCACAACAGACGTGGATGAGGTATTCCATGATTCTATTTGTACTGAACCAGGTGAAATTATGGTTGACTCTACAGAATCAGCTGAAAGAGATATAAATAATCAAAATAATATACAAGAGGTGGTGACTCAAGAAAGAAGATATCCATTGAGAGATAGACATTCGACTAGAGATCCAGATATGGTCTATAACTTTTATATGTCTGATGGTACTGACCTTGTGTCTGTACAAGATGCTGAACAATGTTCAGATAGAGAGCTGTGGCGAAAAGTCATGGAAGACGAATACTCAAAGGTACCATAGATGCGAGGCTCACTTTCAAGAAAAGCAAAAGCGAGTTAGTTGCTATGCAGATGCTGACTGGGGTATTAACGCTGATGGACATTCTTTTACTGGCTACACGTTAATTTATCCAAGTGGTAATTTCATGACAGGCTTGTAAACAACGGTGTGTAGCACTAAGGACTGCAGAGGCTGAATACATTGTGAACTGTTAAGCAGCTAAAGAAGTTTTCAACTAGCAATAATCGCACCTCGGGAGACCCTCATCGGTTACGATATTGCCACTGCGCAAAGTTCAGCTAAAGATGTTATGTTCATTAAAGATCTATATGGACAGTTAACTGGTCATGTAGGATTATTTTTAGTGACAAAGTGCCAGATTATTGATATATTCCCCGGTAATTGGTAAACGGTTTAAACACATAAATATTAAGTTTCATTATGTTAGAGAGTTAGCCGAAGGTAAGGACATTAAAGTTGAATATTGCGATACAGGCTCTATGCCTGCTGATGTTCTGACTAAATCCCTTGGTGCTATTAAACACAGTTATTGTGTACAACGCATGGGACTCCAGTGGGGGTGTTGAAGTAGGTTTTATGTGTTATGTTGGTCTCTGGAGCCCGCGCGTTGCTAGGTTACCTTTTTACTGTTACTTTCAATCTAAAGTTAAATAAAATATAATACGCTATATAGATTTCCCTTATTTTATTTCATCATAATTTATTACAAAACATAATAATTTGACGAAATTACAGAACAATTGTTTTTTTTCTATCGAGGCAATTTTGTTATATATGCTGGCAAACTATAAGAAAGAGACAGCATATTCACATTAGATCTCTTTCAACCGTCACGCATTTATAAATTTAATTAAAATTGCCCTGTAACGTTTGACGATAAGATTCAATTTTTTTTATATTCATTTTCGTGTGCGCTTCCAGAGTAATGTACTCTCTTCAATGTAATTCTTTGTCTTGTAGTCTTGTTGTCAACTAATGTCAATAAAATAAAGTCAACCAGGTCCAAGTGTCATGGTGGGATGTTGAAGACTAGAACTAGAAGACACATCATACTTAGTAACCAGAAAAGCAATAGTTTTCACTTTCATATTGTAATGTTATCTATAACTATAGTTGAACTTTTTAAATGCACCTACATTGTAATTTTTTTTAAACATAGGTTAATTTATACAGTTTTCACATTAGTTATTTATTATCCATAAGCTTGTGTTGTTTGATAGTTGAAAACATTGTGATATGTTGATAATAATGGCATATCGAGTTTTGTTAGTTTTTATTTATGCGATATGTGTAAAAACAGAGGAAGAAACATTAACCTCACGTATGTCCAAATCTGAGAGACTGAGCTTGAGGTGAGTATTGAATAAATACAATTATTCAGAAATAGGCGGAAATAAAATCTCAATAGATAAGGCTCGTAATGTAGATAGCATTTAATTTTTTTGCTTAACAAATAATACACTGTATGTTTATTTGCCACCTTCCTGATGTGACAAAAATATGGTGTGGTTTCCTGCAATATTAGAGGTTTCTAATAATAACAATGCTCTATAATTAATTACTTAGCATTATTTTATTCTATGGATACTGTTAATATTTGTTATATTCAGTCAGTAGGTGGATATAATTCTACATAATAAATGGAAGAAAACAGATTCAATGTAAAAATTTGGAATTAAACTAGCAATATTCACAGTCTTTCATTCCACTAATTCATCCATTGCTATTAATAGGTTTTTGACTGGAGAACGTCCATACAGAGCTTAGTTGCTCCAAAATGTATTTGCCTGACTTTGTTCTTACTGTATCAGGTTGCTACACACAGGGCTTTATTTCCAATTGATTACCTTTTTACCTATGTGGCTAGCCTACTATCACTTTAGCTTGCTAATTTCTTAGTATAGATCTTAACAAAAAATTTATGTGTTGTATCATTCTATCTGCAAACCTGAATCAAGTGAATATAACATTAATTTTTACACACTTTTTTCAAACTTACTTGCTTTTTCACCTGAGAAAATATATTTTATTTTCGGCATATATTAGTCTGATTTTCACAATTAAAATGTTATTTTAATTGATCACATTTATCTTACATTATACTTGGTACCAATAGAGAAATAGGCTAGCGGTACCCAAGTACTAGATTAGACTTCTCTAATTTATTGTATAGTATATAAGAGATTGGAATTAATATCCTGGTGGCAAAACAATGTATATGCTATGTCACAAGGTGACTACTAAGCTATATACTATACTATTATATACTGCCTTACATTACATCATAATTGTTTTATTTTCCTACTGATGTAGTCCCTGCAAAACTATGACTATAATTAAGAAATTGAAATGGTTAATTTACCAATTTGTAACATAACTATTTATGTAATATTATATTTGCTTCTCAGGGAGGAAGCTAGGCAAATGTTCTATCATGCATATGATGCATATATGGATAATGCATATCCTGCTGATGAGTTGATGCCTCTCAGTTGCAAAGGAAGATGGAGAGGCATTACACCAAGTCGTGGCGATATGGATGATGTTCTTGGCAAGTAAGTATACTACATTTACAATTATTGTAGTAAAAATTACACTCTATTTAGGGTATAAAATCTTCATCATAGGGGGATGGACTAATATCATAAATTTAAAAGTGAGTTTGTTTGTTTTTAATGTTAATAAACAACTAAATAGTTTTGTTTGTTATTTCTTGGCATCTTAATTGCTCAAATTATCATGATATTTGGGAGTACACATGGTATTAAAGATAGATCCCCAATGAGCAATATATCTCTGTTACTCAAATTAGTTGAGTGGATGGGTATATTTTTTTAAACAGGGAGCAAATGAGTATGTGGTACACTTGATGTTGAGTGATTACAGCCATTTATAAGCACCCACATATTTGTTTTAATATAGGAAGTATTAATAAATACATAACTGAATTAATATAATAAAATTGTACTTGAATCACTGACTTGAGTCACTGAATTACGTGTACATGAATGGACAAAAGGACTGAAATGTTATTATTTATAAAATGGAAGAATAATGATAATAAAGTCTTGTATTGTTTATTTTATACTAAAATTTAACTTTTATAAAAAAAAAAAACTTTATAATAAAAAAAATTGTGAAGTAAATTATGTATATTTTACAAGTTGCTTACACTGGATTCACACAGGTGTACAAATGAAGGAAATTAGACCAAATCCTTTCTTTTGCTTTACTTTTTTATATGATTTCTTTACCTAAATATTTCACTATTTTTCAAATAATTGCCTTCATATTAACCTTGTTCTGACAATTATAAATACAACAAAAATAATTAGCTAAGTAGGTACAGCAGTTCTGAAATGTTGCAGTTACATATATTCGGCGGTTTAAATAAGGTGTCATAATTTTTTTTTTGTATGAACTAAGATTATACATATATATTTATATTGACAAATTAAATTTTTTCAATTTTTTGTGTATTTATATAACTGAGAGCACCAGAAAAAATAAATGTTAATTTAAATAAAAAAGAATATCAGAACTGGACCCTTACATTCTAGTCAGTTGCTCAAGTTCATCTGCTTTGTCTTGATTATAAAAAGAGACTTTATTAAGTTTTCTGGCTTAATCTTATAAAAAAATATGGCTAATATGTTATTCATTAGCAAATGATAAATTTACTATAGTTTTGTTTTACAAACTCATGTTTGAATAGGTGATAACAATGATTAGTCACAAGGTCGCCTTCACAACACTAAAAGTTTGTTTTATTCATTTAAATTGATGATTTTTATTTTATAAAGAACTATTTACTTATATACGAACGAAAGAAAAAAAACTAATTCACTTTCAAATTTATAAAATTGGTAAGAATACATTTTGTATATTAATAATGTTGTTTACGATGACATATGTTTATCATATGATAAATATTACTTTGTTTTAAGACTAAAATAAATTGAACCCGCACCTCTTACTATGCGGGTGCCAAATGCCTTCCAATTTGTCAATCATGATTATGTATGCCCCTTAGCTTGACACTATTCCAGAGACGTATTATGTACTTATCTATGGATGATATTATCCACCTTGGGACTATTCAATTGGAGTGAGATCGACACAAACTCCTAAGAACTATGTTAGACTATAACATATGGTTATCTAAGAAAATATGTGCAGCTAAGTCTAAAGCGACCATATTACCATGTTGTAATAAAATATATTATGAATATGAAAGAAATTACATACTAATACTTATAAAATTAATATGAATTAACAGCACATCTGTCAATTCATATTAATTTTTTTAATGCTAATGTCTGCATGTCTCATCTCAAAATATTATAGATATCTTATTATTTGTCTATATGCTTTGAAAATCGCACTTCAATGTATATAGGCAATAACAGTAGGTCAATAAAACGGCGTAGATCGTGATGATATTGTTAGGCATTTATGTAACATAACATTTGTTAATATATTTTCAGCTTCTCTCTCACCCTTGTGGACAGTTTAGACACATTAGTAGTGATGGGCGACTTTTCCGAGTTCAATCACGCTATCAAACTCGTCATTAGAGACGTAACATTCGATCATGACATTGTGGTTTCGGTTTTTGAAACCAACATACGAATGCTTGGGTAAGATTAATTATATTTACATTAACAACAAGAACCATTATCTTATACAAATTGACTATAAATTTTTAAAATATAAGTATAAATAATGCACAATAAGAAATATGCATATAATTTAAATTTGACTGAAATATTTTTTCTGGTTATCTATTGTTCCGACATTACTTATACAACATTTTTTATTATTATTAAGTCTATATTTAATTGTACATAATTTAAGATCTTGTACATAAAATGAACACTGACTTCAATAATCGCCAAACCAGTTATTTTGATTTAAAAAACTAACTACTAAACTTATTTTGATAAAATCTCTATGGTTCTAATCTGGAAGTATATACTGTAAAATAAAAAAAACAATTTTCTAAATTTGTTTTTAAAAACAGAGTTCTGAGGTAACAAACTTAAAAAAAATATTGGAACTGTCTCCTGAAGTCGGTTAAAAAGATTATACAAAAAACGCAAAATAATATCAGGAAATCGAAATACTTAAAACTTTCCGCTATTTATCGAAGCGAAATGTAACGTCACATACTGCGCATCGGTTTTATCGGTTTCGATTTTCATGTGTAAATAGTGTTTGAGAGAATATTCGTTATAAATCGTGTTTTTCTAATGATTTTCATTAGCTGGTATTAAGTATTCCTATTGAGATTGGTAATCACCTACAACTGTGTCTGAAAATGGTTTACCGATTCAAAGTATTGAACAATCTACAAAAGTCCTTGCCACTCCATTGTCAAACTTGTGATACCATCGATGATGTGCATCATATTCTATTAGAGTGTCGTATTAACACGAAGAAAAGAGAAGAATTCATGCGCCACTTTAACTTAAATAAATTTAATGTTGGTTGGTTGGTTGTTTATTCAATCAATATTAGCTAAACCTAAACCAGAAAAATTTTAACATCTCTGTAAATTATTGATGCCCATTAATTCTTCTCTTTCTGATGAAATTTTCTAAATGCTTATTGTTTGCCCTAACTTGTTAGACAGGCTACTGGATATTTTTTATTACTATAAGATAATACATGAGTCAGGTACGTGATGGACGTAACAACTTTTGTCGGGTCAGAGTGTATATACAATAAATATCCATATATTAGAACCATATATTATGGCCGTGTGGTCCCGGCATAGAATAGGCCACCCCCTCCTTTCCCATGGATATCGTAAAAGGCGAATAAAAGAGGGCGAGAAATGGGCAGCAGCGTCCCTCTTAAAACATCTTTAAAGCCCTGACTGCGGTTGTCAATCCGCCTGCCAAGCGTGGCAGCTACTACTTAATAAATAATCGTTGGTAATTAAACTCTTCTACGTCTATATTATGATATTTTAAAATATTTACGTACTTTTATTTACGTTTACTAAAGTGTATACATCAAAGTTTGACATGAATTATTAAAATAATAGTCTTATTGCATCTAAGCACAAGACAGATCTATAAAAAAATTTTTAGTTGGTCTGTATAGCAATTAAACGTAAAAATCTATTCGAAATAACTGGAATGCCTATAATATATAATAAACACAGCACACGAGATCTTAGTCATCCAAAGCTTGACAAAATGGCGCCGTTTAAACTAATTGAATTTGTAAATGACAGTTAATAATGTTATTTTAATTTGGACATTTCCAAGAGTATTTACATGTTTTAGTATGTTATAACGATGTAAAGAATGAATAGAAAATATAAATATGTGCATGCATATTCCTTATTGCCTAGTTAACATGTCTGTAATTTATGCTATATTGGTGACCGCAATACAATAAATAATAAAATAGTAAATTGTATAATATAATAAGTAACTAATATGAAAGTATGAACGAGAGAAAAGTACTGAGTGGAAGATTATAAGTGAAGCAAATTTAAACATATTTTAAATTATGGCTGTAAAAGCGTGATTCTTTAAGATGTTTGTAGAATATTTAATAAATTAATTAATATCGTATTACACTATAAACACTATTTATTTTAGTGGTTTACTGTCAGCGCACGTTCTAGCAACGGCTTTAAGAATGGAAGTATCAGCACTGCATTGGTATAATGGCGAGTTGTTGAATATGGCGGAAGATTTAGGAAGAAGACTTCTACCAGCCTTTAATACATCCACAGGAATCCCTCACGGAAGAGTAATTATTTTATAGTTATTATTAAATCACCATAATAATAAACATATTAGTAATGTGTTTAATATTTGCGTAGATTAACATAATATTTTTTTATAATTAAACAATCCGATTAAATTTTTCAAACACCGACATAATTTTATTGCAGTCAGTACGTTCCACTCCAGTATGTATTTAAGTGTATGTATATAATATTATGAGCAATCAGATTGTCACATTCTATTTAGTTTTATTGTGAGTAGATTAGCATTATTATATAATATCCAAATAAATATAATTTTTCTATTATAAATATTTCCATTTTTTTTCTATTTAATACATGCCATTTGAAATAATAATAAATGAATTTATTTAGGTGAATCTTCGCCATGGTATCAGAGGGTTATCAGAGTCAAGAGAGACTTGCACTGCATGTGCAGGTACCATGATACTCGAAATGGCTGCGCTATCACGTCTTGTTGGCAACCCCATATATGAACAAAAAGCGCATAAAGCTATGGACAGATTGTGGAAAATCAGACACAGGTAAGTTAATACTTCTTAGTATTGTATGCTAAAGTCTGCAACCTACATTCGCGAGTAACCAAATCGAATCAACCCTTGACGACGCACATATGCATTGATTTTACTAAAACGACAAATGTCAATTATAAAAATGATATGGTATTCAAAAGCTTAAAATGTCAGCTTTAATTCAATATGATTATCATTGAAATCCATCAATTATTTCTTAAGTAAATGATGTCTGAACGTAAGAGTAGGAAAAATAGGAATTTAGGAAAAGAGTCTCGTATTTTGGAAATTAAACAAAAAATGGTAAAAATAAAAAATAAAATATTAAATCAATAATTCGTATTGCCCCTTCTAGTTCTTATTACAGCCTGCAGTCTGTTTTTCATTGATTTTATCAATTTTTTGACATTTTCTTAAGGAATGCCACTCTTCTAATAATGCTGCCTTTAGCTCGTCTACGCTTGAAGAGACTGGATTCCTGGCCCGAACTCTTAAGCTCGTTCCATAAGTGCTCGATGGGATTCGTATCTGGGCTGAGCGCAGGCCAGTCCATCGTGTGCAATTCGACCTCTTCAAGAAACTGCCGAGTGACTCGTGCCGTGTGACAGTGGGCATTGTCGTGCATTAACACAGTCTTCGCTGACAAACCCTGCGTAGGGCACGATGTCGATGATGTACCGATCAGCTGTTAACCCGCCCCCTCAGCCGCCCCCAGGCACCAAAACAAGCTCAGTTTTTCCCTCTAAGGAAATACCAGCCCACGTCATGCAGGAACTGCCGCCATACGCCACTGTTTCAGCAAAACAGGATTGGGAAAATCGTTCCCCCGGACGCCTGTAAACTCGGCCTCTCCTGTCACTGCCATGCAGACACATTCTGCACTCATCAGTAAACAGTACCGACCGCCAATGCGCAACGCTCCAATTGAGATGCTCTCGAGCAAATTGAAGGCGCGCTTGTCGGTGGCTTGCAATCAATTTGAGCCACCCCTCGTACACGTCTCAGTTCCTGCTGCACATCAACACCCGTAAGGTGTCGATTGCGCAGCGAGGTTGAGACAATGAAGCAGTCGTCTCTCTTTGAAGTGCACCGGTAGCGGTGATTCTTCAGCTTTCGAATGACATATCATTTTTATAATTGACATTTGTTCTTTTAGTAAAATCAATGCATATGTGCACCGTCAAGGGTTGAGTCGATTTGGTTGCTCGCGAGTGTCTATTATTATGGTAGGACTAGCCCCTAAATAAGGTGCATAGACATAACATAAAAGCGTATTACGCGTTCCTGAAATTAGTTTTAAATATAAGGAAGCTTTGCTCATGAAATAAATTTTTATGTTTTTACAAACAAAATAATTTAATGAAATAAATACCTGTTTGTAATTATTGTTGATGTAGTTCTGGAGAATTCTGTTATAATTAATATATGATTTCAATATTATGAAGGCAGTATCAATCGTCTTATTATACAATAGATATTAATTTAACAGATGGACGTAACAACGAGCGACACACAGAACTATTCTTTACAAAAGATAAACCTCACAACTTGAAAAATAGTACCAGCATTTTTAATATTTTATCTTAATGTAGCTCTCTAATGTATTTTTAAATAGAATGATAATACTAATTTCTACGGCGCTTAACCTTAATTGGAATGTATATTACATTAGTTTATTGACCCAAACAAACTTCAAATTTCCTAGATCTAGACAACGATAATTTCATAACTGCTTATTACATTTCCAGAACATCAGATCTTATGGGTACAGTTATAAATATTCACTCTGGGGATTGGGTTCGCAAGGACTCTGGAGTGGGTGCGGGAATCGATTCTTACTACGAATATTGTCTAAAAGCTTATATACTTCTTGGAGACGAAAAGTACTTAGCCAGGTTTAACAGACATTACAATGCAGTCATGAAGTACATCAGCAGAGGTCCAGTAATGTTGGCAGTTCACATGCACAGGTAATGTTATTAATATTAGTTATAATGATCATGTTTTTAATAGACATTTTAAAAGTATCATCCAGTACGGCTTCGAGTATTCTATATTTTTTGGTTGTATATTAAACATTGATCAATTTTGAATTAAAACTAACATTTGTTTATTATATTTATAGTAGTAACAAAACATTTTTAGTTTTTAAATGGTTTGTAAATTCCTATTATGTGTTCATGAATGGCATTCACACAGTATAATCGTAAACGTATCCAATAGGAATTTATATAGAAATACGTATTTGTAAAGCTTAAGTGGCAGTGGAAGGCACATTATATGTTATATAAAAAAAGTTGTTTTGTCTATGATCATAGGCCACACTTGCAATCGCGCAACTTTATGGACGCCTTGCTAGCATTCTGGCCTGGCCTCCAGGTTCTCCTCGGCGACGTGCGCCCTGCTGTCGAAACACATGAAATGCTGTATCAAGTCATGCAGAGACACACATTCATACCAGAAGCGTTCACATCAGACTTTCAGGTATTTAATAATTATCTATTTGGTAGTGTAGCAGTATAGTATTTTTTTTTAATGGATAACCATGGATTGATAACGCCGCCTGCGCTATTGCAGTGGAACCGCATGAAGGTCGACCTGATAGGGAATCGGTCTGATACTGCCTCACACTGATATCTGCGGGTTCGATCTCTGCACAATACAATAATTTGGATTCTTGTATGCCTGTTTATTTTTGCCTGTGTTTTTCTATATATGTACACATTAAAAAAAAAGGTATAACTATTTTGATGCCCTTCGTCTAGGGCATTTATTTTTATTATCCAATCAATTTTCAAGTTCCTCGCCCAAAAGTTATTATTATTTTATTTCGAGAAAATTAATCGAAAGATAAAACGTAATAATTTAATTATACCATCGTTATCTATCAGGAATTATTTCTATAATAATAATATTGTTACCCATATAAAAATCTGATTTATAATACAATTTAATAAAGCAGTAGGTAAGATATTCATTTGGGTACATAAATTTTTTTCTTAATTTTAAATTTACCTTAATGAAAGTTGCTTAAATAATTAATAGGCAAATCTCTTTAAATTAATGATTAATTAGATATATTGGTTAGTAGACTTAGGCTGTGCAAAATGAGAAATTTTGTCTAACAGAAGCACATAGAAGCTTCCCTTAGACAAAATTAGTATTTTCTAAGGTTCATTGGGGTCAACATCCTCTACGGCCAGAGTTCCTAGAATCTACATATTTCCTTCACCGAGCTACAGGCGACGATCATTATCTTAACGTCGGCAAAACTGTTTTGAAAGCATTACAACAATATACCAGAGTTCCTTGTGGGTATGCCGCCGTGAACGACGTGAGGACTCGGCTGCATGAAGACAGGATGGACTCGTTCGTTCTCGCTGAGACTTTCAAATACCTGTATATGCTTTTTGGAGAAGATAAAGATTTGCCCGTGAAATTAGAAGATTACGTTTTGACTACGGAAGCTCATTTTTTGCCACTGTCTTTAGCAACGTCGGGCCGGAATACGTCATATTTCACTCTCAAAATTGATGATGAAGATGAAGATAAATATAGAAAGTGAGTATTTTGGTACCGTAATATCTTGTGCGATGGGTTTAAAAAAAGTAGATTTAAAATAAGTAGATTAAAAGTAATACTGTGTATTATTGTTTACAGCAATGGTAACAAACAGCTTCACTGCATATACAAATTATGTTTGTTCTTGTTAAAATACGAAACTTCGAAATTTATCTATGCAAAACGTTACGAAAGTGGCTCGAGTTAAAGTTGTATGTAAGGATACGAGTGTAAACTATTACTAAAAGTAAACAAAGAGCTGCTTACTTTTATAGTGAGCTAGTGTGAATGTCAATATCAATTACGCCTGATGACGTTATATCAAAATCGGTTGCTTATCTAAATATCTGAATTTTAGCTGATTAAAGAAATATTATAATCTACTGATTATAATTTATTTAGTAGTAGATTATAATGATTATTAATAAATTATGAAGTCCGTTTAAAGTTTACACATTAAACTTTAAACGGATTTCACATTATTTATTCATACTACTCATTGTCATTGCACGAATACTATTTAATAAAAACATTATATAAAAATAGAGCTGTTAACAATTTAAAACGTACTACAAGGAGATTGTCTATAAAAGGTGTCTAAATGGGATACAACATAAATACACACAGAGATGAACCTCTGCAACACTAGTGTGTCTGCCGCCGAACATCTGTTTACTTGGTTATATGTTGATTTACAGAGTGGGATACAGCAATCAAATTACAGATATATAGCATAGCAACACACCGTAGACTGTGGTACCATGGGTATCACAGTCTACGGTGCTGTTCATGTCTTTAGGCGACGGTAACGTTTCCATAACGTTTCCTGAGGGGTCAGTTGGATTGCCATTTGCAGTTACATAGAAAAAATGAATAGACACAAGGCATATTCATTTACTTCAGAACGTGTCCAAACACGGCATCGCTGATCGCTGAGAAGGTCCGACAGCCGCTACGTCAGTTGCTGGGGTCGACGGCGGCGCGCCCCCCGGCCCGTCTGCGTCCTCTTAACGACCCTCGTCAGATACACGCCCTTTCCGATATGGGTATATCTGTCCTTACGTTGCCAGATGGAAGAGTACAATTACTCTATACTACTTCGACGGTAAGCTTAAAAGTTTATTATAATTCCTTCAGGAGCTTGTACCGCGGAGACTTTATTTACAACCAACTAAAATGAAGAAGTATTAAATTTAACTGTGTTCATTTTTAATATTTATAATTTAGCTCGCAAATTAATATAAACTGATTTTGATGATTACCTATTAAAACTTTTACTCTACACGTTGGTTCCATGTTTGATACTAATTTTAAAAAATTTATGATTGTATTTTACAAGAAGTAACCTGTGGAATGCAATCTTAAAATTATTGCAATTTTTACTATATTTTTGTGAATACAGACGATTATTTAGATCCACTTGATAAACTGGTGATTAAATCTTAGACTAGACTAGAGTACTAGCACTTTAAGTGTATAATTGTTTATGTTTTAGTTGTAATTGTTATTGATATGCGACAAACAAATATTTTTCTTTCTTTAATTAATCTTTACCTATAAAATTGAACAAAATAGCATTGATACCCAATATTTTTTGTGCCCTCTATGTTGCTGAGAAGTTTTATTATCTTATTTATACTATTGAAAATGGTATACAAGCTGCTAGATCAGTTGACGCTTGCTTATAAAGCGCTTATATAAAGTGAAATAGAAAAATCGAGTCAAACAAAAGTTTTCTAATTCTGTCATTTTGGTTATTTATGGTGTTATTTTTCAGGCTAAATCAGCAAAAGATGCAGCAGAAGGTTTAACGTTCATGCGCGAAATGTCCAAGTGGAATTCCTTGAGCGATATAGAAAATGGTGTAGTACCTGCGGGCGTGAAAGTGAATGATAAAATACTCCCTGCTGGGCCCGGACACTTCGGGAAAGATATTACAGGAGATGACCGCCATTCAGGTACCATTGCACTGGCTACGCCAAAGGATGCCTGTACTACAATATTAAACACAGCTGAGGTCGAAGGAAAATTCGCTATTGCCAGGCGAGGTCACTGTACTTTTGCACAAAAAGTTCGCAACATGCAGGCCGCCAACGTAAAACTTGCAATCATAATTGATAACGTGCCAGATTCAACGCAAGAAAATACCGCATTATTCGCGATGTCCGGTGACGGGAAAGATGATATCGAGATCCCAGCCGTGTTTTTGTTCTCGCAGGAGGGTCAATATTTATTAGACACATACAGTAATAACCCTGAAATTGTAGTCACCGTCGGTGAACTAAAATCTTTAAAAAGACAATATGAAAATATTTGCGAGGATGGCAACTGTGATTCGGTACTCGACTCCCCTGACGTGCCTACGGACAAGGAAAATTTTGATCATTTAAAGAAAGTGCTAAGTCAGTTAGTCACACAGTTCGAGTTAACACTTTCAAATGAAGAACAAGCAATCCAAAGGACTTGTAGTGAGGAGTCTGAGGATGTTTACGTATCAAAAGATAAATTTGTGAGCAATGATAACCAGGTGGAGGGCCCACCAAATGTTTGTGCGATAAAAAATGAACAAAAAAAAGCTGTAATAAAGAAAATAGAGTCATTAATAAAGGAACCGGGCGAGTTTTGACATCACTCTTGTTATGATTGTAAATAATATAAACATTGTATAATACTACCAGTAATATTTTTTTTCTTAGTAAGCGTATTTAGTAAATAATTTTAAGATTTATTTTTCTCAGAAATAGTAATATAAATATATAACTTAGATGGATAATTAAATCATTAACAGTGTATTATTATCCTTAAAGCTTTATTTAATTGTATGAAACAAAATTAAAACAATATATTTTATAAAAAAATATTACTGATATATAATTATATATAGTCAATGCCTTACTTAAAAGTATATTACGTTTATGTTAATTATATTTATTTTGTTAAAAAAAAATAAAACAAATTGTTTACTAAATACGCCATGTAAGAAAAATCGGAATATATAAATATGTATAATAAAGTGTACATATTGGATATAAGAAAAATTAATAAATTTTGTGCCTTTTATTGTTTGTTACTGGGTTTATTTAGTTCATAACTTTATAAAATATGGAAATAACATGTTACCTATGTTTTCAATTACCCACAAAATGTGAATCCATAATCATTTATTTGTAATTTTGTAATCTTGCTAAATATTGCAAAAAATCGCATTAGATTTGTGTATATGTGTATACGTTTATGACATAAATTATGTACATAAAATTAATGCAATTTCCTGAAATATTTATTTATAAAAATTAAGAGTATTTTTTTCAATGAGCTGTGTGTAAATAGACTAATTATTGTAAGTAAAAGTTCAAAACGTGTTCCATTTTTCCGGCTGGCCAGATAAACCATTGATTATGGGAGAATCCCTAAACATATTTTACATAGTTTAATAATAAAAAAATATGAACGAATTTATATAATTTTATTTTAATAAGTAGTCGTATTAAATCATTGCATGCTTAAATAACATTTAAAATAATTATATAATTATTTTAAATGTAATATAAACAAAGATCAATAGTTGAGTTGTATTGCTCTATGTATATTATATCTGACGTATATTTTTACATAAAAAAGTATCACAAAAGTAACAAATCATTATAAAAGTATACATGTTACATGTAGGACGATTTGAGAGCAGATTTCAGCCGTCGAGGCGCCTCGGGACTATAGTCTGGCGCGGGAACAGGCGGCTGCCAAACATCACGGTCGCGTTGCCATTGAGAGATACCGTTCATAGGCGAGCTTGTAAGGTTTGATTCTTCCAAGTAAGAAAACGGTCGAGGCGTCATCGTCAACGACTGGTTTGAGTACGTACGATCGAACGCAGTGCTGTAAAAAGATGTCATAATATCAGTTTTGTCCGAGTCTTAAGTGGTTCATTTCACAATTAATTCTAAATTAGGAAGCATTAGTGATAATCTTCATTATGAGTGGCCACAATAGAACATATAAAATTGCATGCTTTTTTTATAACACAGGGGGGCAAACGAGCATGCGGCTCACCTAATAGTAAGTGACTACCGTTACCCATGATCACCCACTACATCAAAGGCATTGCAGATGTGCTGCTAGCCTTTTAAAAAGGAATATGCTCTTGAAGGATATGATGTCGTATCAGTTCGGAAATACTGCTGCTGGAAGTTGATTGCAAAGAGTGGTAGTGCGTCGAAGAAATTGCCTTGAAAAGCGCACGGTGGAAGATCGCCACTTGTCCAGATGGTTGGGATAGAACTTTAGTTTAAGGCGGATTGTATGGTGGTGAAAGTCAGCAGCGGGTATCAATCTGAATAATCCTCAGAGCACTCCCCATGATAAATTCGGTAGAAGATGCACAGAGATGCAACATCTCTATGCAATTTCAGTGGTTCGAGTTGAACAGTAAGGTGCTGATCATTAATAATTCGTGCCGCTCGACTTTGAATGCGGTCTAACGGAAGGAGCTTGTATTGTAACGCTCCCGCCCATAGGTGATTGTATTCCACATGTAGTATTCCATATGTAGCCCTAATTTGAGCTTTATTCAATTTCAACTAGTGTTCATGAAATACCGTCTCACTCTATTTTTTTTTATGGGTGATAATGTAATAGTAACCCCACCCGCGCTATTGGTATACACCAGCGGGGCACCAGTGAAGGATGATAGATGAGGATGAAGTAGGTCAGTTAGCCCATCGTGATGAATTCAAAAAGAATTGTTTACGATGGTTTCCAGGGTGAACCATGTGGAGGTCGACCTGATAGGGCATATTGCTAGCAATGGGGTTGTCAAACTCCATTGCTAACAATCCCTTTCCCTCCATCTCACTTTGTTAGACATTCCTAACTTTTTGGAAGCCATCTTAGCCTTTTCAACATATATATGTATATCAACGCCAAGGACTCCTAGATTCGACTTATTATCAAGGGAAGTGCACTGCAACTAAGGAGATACGACAAACTGCGTCTTTTTTGCGGTGAACGCGCAGACTTGTGTCTTCTGAGGGTTGAATTGGACAATTGTGTTGGCCTCAGCTCAAAACTTGATCGAGTGAATTTTGGATTTCAGATACAAGTGAAAATTGGCGACCAAACTGTATAATCTTGCAAGCAACCCAAACGAAGGTAGTTTTGAAATCAGCGCTTTATGCTACATCCTATCAAAGGCTTTCGCAATATCCAGACTAACAACTAAGGTCTCTCCCTTATTCTGGACTGCCACTGCCCATCGGTGTGTTAAATAAACCAAAAGATCACTGGCCAAGCGCCCCTGTCGAAAGCCGTACTGGCGGTTACAGATCAGGTTCTAGGTACCGGAGCAGTTGATGGTTAATGATAGATTCTATGACTTTTGAAAATAAGGTAGTGAGAGCTATAGGCCTATAGTTAGCTAACTATAGGCCATAGGATCTGAGCGATTTTTCTTTTTAGAGATAGGATGTACCAGGGTAATCTTCCAAATCTTAAAAAAAAGGACTATACCTATAAGCAACAGAGCCGAAAAAGACGCGTAAGAAGCCAACTCTGGTGCGCACGTCCTAAGTACAAAAAGAGGAATACCATCGCGCCCACTCGACTTATGGATTTCAAGAGAGAGAAGTGCTCTACGCATTGTGCTTTGCATGAATTTAATATCAGGCATAGAGCTCTTACAACACGGGATGGTCAGCGGTGGTTTCTTCCCGTCATCCAACGTCGAGTTTGATGCAAAGAAGGATACAAGTAGATCGGATCAGAAGGACCAGCAGTGAAGGCGAATAGTCCACCACATCAGGTATTCGCGTAGGCGAGGAAACAAGCTGCGTCAGACTATAAGCCAAAGCAAGGTCATGAACAGATCTTCCCGCATAGTCGGTTGTACGCGAACCAAGCCATTTGGCACGGTGGGCATTAAAGTCCCCTAGAATTACGACTTCAGCTGAAGCAACCAGTTCGAGCAGGGAATCTGTAGACATTTGGGCGTGCTAAATGAGTTGGTCGATTTCGATGATATCGCTGTGGGACCTGTATAGGCATGCATAGATGCGAGAATGGTCATTGCAGTCTACACGCAGCCATTGAATGGACAGGTCCGTAACTTCAAGTGTTCCAAGGTGGCGACAAAGTGGGTCCTCTCTGACATACGTGCATACGCCGGCACGCGAAACAAAACGTTCTAGCTTATAGCCTAAGTAGGTAAGGTATAAGGTTTCGTTTGGAAAGGATATCTGTGTCTCCGTGAGAAAGAGCAATGCCGACCGCGCTATTTCTAGGTGATGGTGGATAGCACCCACGTTGGAGTGTTGCAGAAGCTTAGTTTTGGAACAGAAGTAGAGTTTTGGAACCAAATTTTGCCCCCCCCCCCCTCATTCGGAATTCGCAGGGCAGCTCGAGCGTAGTTGCTCGAGGGAGGATTCTCCTGCAACATGGTTACTGGTACCTCCCTGGAGTATATTATTTTTTCTAAATGCCACTGCTATGGTAGTATTAAAAGATGAGGGACCGGGTTGGGGGAAGGATTTTAGGATTAGGAAAGGAATGAGTATATGATGGGCTTCCGGACTCCCTCATTCACCATACGGAATGTGGTTGCACAAAATGTGCGGCCACTCAGCGTCTGTATTTTGTGAGGGTGGTACTTCCCCGGTCGAGCCGGCCCATTCATGCTGCAATGCCATACAGGATTACAGCGTGGTTCTACCACAGTAAATGCTATAATCATGTCCGTGTTCTACAAATATGGTTACAAACTTTTACATTTTTAATATCAATAGAATATAATACTTACTTCATGTAATCTGATCGTGGAGTGTCACGATTTGGACTGCGATGTTCTTCATCATTAACGAATAAAGGGTTTGTATGATTGCTGTAAATTTAAAGTTATATGTATTATTTATTATATCGGCCGTTAACTGTCCGCTGCTGAACATTGTCCTTCCCAATAGTAGAGGACGAGGAGGGGCTTCAGTAATTTATACGCTTGTTCACATTTATGTTTTTGATGAGATTCGCTTTTACCCGATGTTTAATATAAACAGATTTGAATAAATTTAAAACTATTATTTCTTTCAAGGAATAATACAGATTACAAAGATTAATAATATGTATACATACATAAAAAAAATATTATAAGAACTTACAAACAGTGCGTAAATCTATAGATTCGTGGCCAGACAGATTAAAAGCCTGTATAAAAGCCAAAGGTGTCCATATCGAATAGAATACTATTTTAATTTTTACTGAGACTTTAATAAATATGTAGGTATAAATTTTGCTTTTTCATTTGTAACAGAACTTATGGCCGAATTAGGGAGAATGAGTAACCTTATCCCTAAATGTCGATATTCTGCAGGTAATAAACAAACAAACTCACTTTCTATATCTGTAATGTGAGTAGGGTTGTTTTGAAATACTGACAGATAACTTCGGTACAAACAGTATTAATGAGAAGGAGGCACTCAAATCGACTGTATTGTTTGTGTACTACTTTGTGTTTATCTTACAAATCCCCCAACTTCTTTATTCCATATACTATTCCAAATTTTATAATACATGTATATTAAAAGTAACTTACTTTTTGTAAGACAAGAACATTGTTTCAGGTTGTTGTTGCGGTGGATCTTCATTACCCTTTTGTTGCCTGTAATTCAAACTTTAGTTTTTCTTTTTACATAAATCAGTAAGTATAAAGTAAATCTGACCCGTTTCTTTTTTATATGGGCTATCTAATTTAAAAAAAAAAATACTGTAGAAATCATAATACGGTTTTTATTAACCTGATTTAATTTATAAATTTATGTACATATTTTATATATTTATATTAGCCAACCTGTTAAGTCGGAAAAAGCATGTTTAGAAATGATTTATCACGTATGCTGCTTAAATAGTTTTTTTCACATCTGCTGGTATTCTATGCATAATACTTGCATATTATATGTATAAAATATAATGGGCATATATTTACAGTACAAAATATATCTGTCAAGTCCCTAGTTTCCATTATATACCTAAGCTTTCTTTTGTACAATATTACTTAGTTGGAGCTATATAAAATGACCAATAGTTTATGTATTTTAAATAATGATTGTAGGTTATCACCTATCATCATCATATCAGCCGTTAACTTTCTAATGCTGAACAAAGACCATAAGACTAGTTTTGCCAATGCTGCCACGCTTGGCAGACGGGTTGGAAACTGCAGTTAGGTTTTTGTGATGTTTTAAGAGGGACGCTACTGCCCATCTTTGATTCTAAGGGTTTTAAAACTTATTCATTTTTTATACATTTAGTACATATAATTTTATATATAGGTATATATAATTAAAAAACGATAATATAATGAACTTCTTATTGTACTCATTCTGAAAGGGGGGAAAGGGATTGTTAGTAATAAGGTCTAACTGACCCATTGCCGGCAATACACCCTATCAGGTCGACCTCCACGTGGTTCCCCCTAGAAACCATTGTGGTTAATTCTAGTGGAATACGTCACGGTGGGCTGACTGACCTGCTTTCATCCTCACCTATCACATTTCACTGGTGTATACCGCCAGCGTATACCGATAGTGCAGGCGGGATTACTATTCTATTATCACCGCTAAAAAAACTCATTCTGAAAACAATCGGAAGAAATTGAAACAATTGTCAGTTACTAATAAGTAATGTAGTTCTTTAATTTCCTGTTTTTCCTACTATGTTCTATTTTGTGAGGGTGTTTGGATATTTGTGACTCATTCATGCGAAAACTACTAAACAAATGTAAATAAAATTTGGTACATGTATAGTTTATATCCCAACTTAACTCATAGAATATTCTAACTAAGCTTTATTTACTGAAACACGCAGGCTATGCAGTAGAATACAGCAAGATAATCATATGTAAATACTAGCTGTATCCCGTGACTGCGTACCTCAGTACAGTATAAATTGTTCTATATCCCATGTTTTAAATCCGTTCAACTGTTTAAGTATGATCGAGTAAGAAAAATACAAACTTCATAAACTTTCACATTTATAAGTTGGCTTTGCATGAAATTTCTCAAGTTTCTCAAGTCAAGAAAATAAACAATAACGTTTTAAAATTTACAAATACTTACTCAAATGCATGTAGAGCGCCCATTTTATGAAAAGCATGCTGAAAAAGAACACGTACGTATATAAAATGGTTATTGTGCTTACAAATTATAGTACTTAATGTTCTAAAAACTAGAATTTGCTAGTATAATAATACAAAAGAAATCCTAGTCAACTTTAACTGGATAATATATAGATCATAGCTGCTGCTGCTAAAATGCATCGATTGAGAAATGCTAATGCTATACCTCAATATTTGGTGTGTTAGGTACCTGCTTCTTATAAATAACCAATATTATGTTGCTTTTTTTGTTGTTGTATTTTATCACAGAAAAAAATTGAGAACTTGATCTTCATTTCATGATAAGTTGTACAAAAGTCGATTGCTTGGGTACCTCTGTCCCATTCGTATTTCAACTGTGAAGCAGTTGTGTTTGTATGGCTGTGTTTCAGTTTGAAGGGTGGGATATGGCGTGAATTTACTGGGTACAGAGGTATAACACTTGAGTCCTCAGGAATGGCAACGCATGGGGGGTATCATGGGCGAAACTGTATACTCTGTTATGTCCATGGTACTGCTTATATCTATAGGCGACGGTTACCATTTTTCATCAGGTGGGCCGTCAGCTTGTTTGTCATTCTAAATCGTATAAAAAAAAGCTAATTAATATGATAATCGCTATTATCCTGTCTATTCTTTCATTATACCTTAAATAAGATATAATAAGTTTCAACATAAATAAAAGTATAAAAATATAGGTACTTACTATGTTACTCTTTGAATGTTTTCTGTGTTCGACTAAATAGAATATAATTAAGATGAGAAACAAGATATTGATGCCGTGGTAAACGAATCCTTTTAATGATATCGCCATTAGCAACAAAGAGCCAAGACTTAACAACTGCTGCGTATAGGTGTTCAAGATATGCTCAATCTGTAAAAAAATCTTTAATTATTTGGTACTAATTATAAGTAACTTAACTATATATTGTTTGAATTGTAAGAATGACTTATCTGTACTTAAAAAGTCGTTTGTTCTGCATGACTGATTATCAACGTACATGCAAAACTACTAAGTGTAATAACTTTAAATTTGGAACGTAGATTTATATATGAACCAAGAAAGGATTTCTGAAAATTTGAACTGAAAGAGAAACACAACATCGAGCGTGCAAAGCCGCGGTAACAGATTTTTTTATACAACTTAGAATGGTAAACAAGCTTATGGCCTACCTGATAGAAAGTGGTAACCGTCGACTATAGACATGAAAAATACCATAGACAACAGAATATATTGTGTCGCCCATAATATCATTCTTGAAGACTAAGATGTTATGCCTCTGTTCCCTGTCATTTCATTACCATATCACACCCTTCAAAGTGAAACACAGGCGTGCAAACACAACTGCTTCACGGAATACGAATAGGATAGAGGTACTTTTTTTCAATGGATGATAATGAAATGGTATGGCCTGCGCTAACGGCATACGCTGGCGGGGCAGTTGGAGTGGAGTTTGTTCAGAGCATAATGCGTGCTTCTCATGTCTAAATTGCTTTCTATTTAAGTTTAGTTATAATTATAATAGTAGATAACCTGTTTAGATTTTATGGGATTGACATGTTAAAAATATAAAGATCCCAAATTAAACGTAGATTAAAAAAATACAATTGACGGTATTCACGTATTTATTATAGATATTCATTATAGAGAATATATATATATATATATATATATATATATATATATATATATATATATATATATATATATATATATATATATATATATATATATATATATATATATACATAATAGACAACGACATATTAGATAACATATAATATACATTATATATATATATATATATAAAATCTCTGGAGTAATAAATAGTAAGAATGATCTCACCGATTCTGCGTTGAGTTCATTTATGGTGGTATAATCCATTCCAAATAATGTAGCTGTGACCAGATCCACGACCAGTGATATTACGGATACTATGATATATGTGTATCCAGCTACTTGTACGTACTGTGACATTTTCTTTACATTTAGAACTGAAAACATAAACATGCTAGTATGAATATTTCTATCTTTATGCCAAGTCTCTTAGGTACAGTGTAGACATAGCATCATCCAATCTCTTGATACCTGATCCTCTTTTATTGATTAACATAAATAGTGCTCCCATCTGACAACTAACAGTGGAACGAAGCTTGCTTCAGGTAAGGAAACACGGTCTACTACATAATGTGGACTTTTTATTTTACCATTCCGCGTATAAAGGAACATTTGCCATTAATATGAGCATGAATAAATGACGATTAGTAAATATATAGAATCCTGACTAATATTGTACCTAAATATTTGTAAATACTTTTGAATGTGTGTTACTTAATCAGAGTTAAACAGTTGAATAGATTTGAATGAAATTTTGAATTCAGATGGAGCATCTTCTAAAAAAACACATATGATACTTTTTATCATAATTCACGGTAAACAAGCGATTGGCCATATGGTTAAGGTTAGGGTAAACATATAATTAATATTATTTTGATAAAGTCAAATATTTAACTGAACTGAAATGGTTACTGAACCATTGTATAGGTACTTATTTGCTGATGAAATCATACTACATACCTGTGATACAAATTATGGCTGTTATTAAATTGAGGATACTGAAAATCAAAATTAGAGCCACTAATATGAAAACGGTCTGTTCTTTGATAACATTTTCAATTAATAAGGCATGATGGCAATTTTCCTCTGAAACACAAAAATCGCTAAAATTGAGCATTGGTAGCTGGGTACACGTTTTGAACTATTGATTAAACAGTAGTTACAGACACCTGCATAGACAAGTATCTACATATCTATTCAGAAATTAAAGATAATACGCATACTTTTAAAAGCCACAATACTAGTTATCATAAATTAAATTACTTTTAATCATACATAGATTACGTGAAATTTTTACACCGGCATTAGTTGAGTGAAAGTATAAGCGAAAATGGGAATTATTGTTGAGGAACAAAACTAATGGGTGATGAAAACAAAATTGTTCTATGTAATGGACAGATTTGGTTTAGCAGGAAACCGACTTTTAAAAGCGTCTTATTCTAAACATATAAACATATATCCAAAGCATATTTGTCTATATAAATTTTATATTAGTTAATATTGTTAACAGACTTCGGAAAGAAGGAGGTTCTCAATTAGGTTATATAATTGTTTAGTTTCTTACCTCATAACTCTATCAGTTGTAAACTGATGGCAAATTCCTTTTTATCTGAAATGGCTTATAGATTGAAACAATAGAAATTTATTAAAATCAGTTCAGTGGCTTAGTTTTTAAATTAAAATAACTAATTTTGTCACGATTGAAGTTGTTTTATTTTTGTGGAACACAATTATTAATAAATATTGTGATAGATAGATATAATTACCTATTTATAAAAAAAAAAAACATTCTGTTCAGTTGACAAATATTTATACTTATAAATAACTGGAGACTTATTTATATTATTTCCGCCTTTAATGTATTAACTTCTTATAGATAGCATAATAGATAACATAAATAATAGATAGTATCTATCTATTGCCATGAGTTCGAATATGACCAACATTGTTTTATGTGCCACTAATTCCAGATTCTTTGAGGTGGTGATAGACTAGCCTGCTGCTTTGGATTTCATTATATTGAAAATGTCAGCCATGTAACGTTTACCACAATGATAATAGTAGTCATAGTAGAGCATATTGCCTCTGACTACAGAACTAGTAGGATTGTGTCATATAAGATTGCTTATTTATTAACTTATTACCTCAAGTGACTCATCAGAATACTCTCAATCCTAGAATACATAATGGTATACTTTGCTACTAATCGGTTTACATATGTATTTACTTGTGTTTAATTGTATCCACGACTTTACGTTGTAGTCTAAATATTCCAAATTAATTTATAGACACGATGTTAATATTAGATACCTACTATTTTGTTATTAGATATTATTTGATACTAGGGCAGTGGAACCAAAACTTAAGCTAATTTTCAAATAATAGATTATTTACAATCTATTTTTCTGTTACAAGTTTTATATGCAACAGAAGTTTTAACTGAAGTAAAATTTCAGTTGTATTTCCCATATTGTGAATATGGATTTGAAAAATCGCCCCGTTCATCTATAAGTCAAAATATATAATTTTTTTAAAAATATCTTTTTTATAAAAAGCTATTTATTAAGCTTTAATTAATATGAGTCAATTCTTAAGTATATTTATTTTTATTAAAAAATATAGACAACCAAAATCTGTGAAAAAGTGATTCAAGCTTAAATGTTCGTGGTCGTTCGTGGTTCGGGGTCGTGTAATTATTGGTTCCACCACACTACTGTAGACTTTATGGAACATCCAAAAGAAATCTATATTACACCTACATGATTTCATTAAAATGTAGATTCACATTGCATCTTATGACTCGAATCATCGTTTCTAATAAAAGACGCGTTAAGTAGGTATGTGTAAAATATTATTTAAATCCGTTCAGCTTAGGTTATTTCCGTATGATTTTATAATTCTGTTTAACCCAGCCTCACGAATATAGATAATGGTATATAGAAATTAAAATAATGAATATAATAAAATAATAAAACTTACGCTTAAAGTAAACTCGAAGAAATAATTCTATAAAATAGTACTTATATGAGGAAGATAATATACCAGCATTACAGTTGATGTGGTAATATATAGCTAATGCGCATAGCACTATATACACGATGGCACTTGTCTGAGAAGTAATAAAAAGTTATCCTTCAATAAAACTAATAATATATAGGTATATATACCTACATAAATAAAGATCGCATCATTTCAGATCAGCTGCACGCACCTACTTGACTAATTATTATTTTGTTGTGTTTGTAACGGTCAGGATAAGATTTGTGCTACAAAAATTACAAAGTAACTAGTATTTAATAAAGTTCACTATAAATATGTGATAAGTAAAAAATGTTTATTCGTTTGTTTACATTATTCAACATTATTGGCAAAAAAGGTTATAATCCTTAAATCTAATAAAATAACATTAGGAAACATTCACTCATAAGCAAATATAACAATAATACTGTAATAAGAATCATTTCAATTGAAACTCATAGATACCATCTACAACTATTGATCACCGCTAAAATATAACGAAGAACACAAATCAATAAAGTGCTTATACTGATATAGATATATATAGGTTTGTTGTACTTACAATTGTCAATCCACAGGATAGTCGAAGGGTTAAAGCTAGATTCGATGCTATTTTTTTATTAAAATTTTTATCCATCTTTTAACGTTATCTTTTAACATTTACTAGCGTTCAAATGAAAATATGTCATACCTACTTATTGTACGATTATGAAATGACTGCTATTAGTATCGATGTACAATCGAATCGTGATAATTGTTATCGACAAGAATTAATGTATACACTATCTATGTATGTACCTGTGCTTCAGTGAGTCGTCAGTCATCACCGACCATGGGGAAATGGGCTTTATTTTAATGTATTATAGATAAATTGTGTGTTTACCTATTTTTTTTAATGAATGATAATAGAATGATAAGCCCGCCTAAGCTATCGGTATACACTGACGGGGCACCAGTGAGTGATGATAGGAGGGGATGAAGTAGGTCTGTTAGCCCATCGTGACGAATTCACTAATAATTATCCGCGATGGTTTCCAGGAGAAACCACGTGGAGGTGGAAATTTAATGAGTGGATAATTTAATTTATGATGCTGTACCATCATTAAATTTAGGTTATAATGCTATAACTGAACTTTTTTATTTATTTTATGTGTCATGATTATTTAATACGTAAAATGATATTTCAACCAGGGTTGTATCTAATATATATTTAAAACTGAAATAATTTGGATTTATAGTAGACTGTATCCAGAAAATTCGCTGGCGTTAATCAGTAAATTCATAAAGTATCCTATGTACTAAATTAGGATACAACCTACACATGTATCAAATTTCATTAAAATCCGTTTAGTAATTTTTGCTTGAAAGAATATTATCCAATCATTCACCCATGCTTACAAACTATCAAATTTATATTATTATCAGGATATTGATTCACAAAAAGTGAAACACCGTCAAGCGTCAATACCAGTTATTGTGATTTAAAAATTAAACTTTTAAACCGATGTTGATAAAATTCCTTTAGAACCAATCCGAGAGAACCTGATAATATCATTTCAGATAAAGAATGACTATTATACATATTGGTTTACAAATGTCGTAATTCTAAGGTAACAAACAGATAAAACCGAATAAGAAACTATCTCTCATTTAGAAGTCGGTTGAATATAAACACGTCAAAAAAGTCTAAGCACATACTATTTCAAATTATTAATCAATTATTATATCATTTCTTACCAAGTAGGTAATACCTATGGAAACTTTTTAGATCTAGAGGACATACTAGCTGGTTGTAAAAAAAATCGAGTATTGTTTTTTTTTTTTACAAATTCCAAAGCGAATGCATTTGTTCGAATTTTATAGAGTTTTCTTTGCTTATTAAAATTTAGTATTCTATATCAATTTTATAATTTATTTTAATTATTTATAATTTTTGTTTATTTATTATTTAAATTTTTTTTTTAACAAATTTGCATTTTGAGATATTTTTTACGTAATGGTGCGACGTCATTTGAACGCAGAATAGAATAGAATAGAATAGAATAGAAATCATTTATTCAAACAAAAACTTACATTGAAGCACTTTTGAAAAGTCATTACATTTTTTTTAATTTACCGCTCGTTCGGATGAAATGCAAAGAGCTGTAGGAATGTTGCAAGCGGGAAGAAGTCAATCTCAGGTATCTCGTATATTTTGGTGTCAACAGAAGCGTTATTTGACGTCTTCATCAGCGTTACACTAATACTATAATAGATTAAATATAACTATAATAGATTAAATAAACTAAATATAACTAATATAGTGTTGTTGTTAGCTGCCAAACTGTGCGAAATCGGCTGCATGAGTATGGCTTACAAGCACGACGGCTAATTAGGTGCCCACAGATACGTCACGGGAATCGCGCTCATCGAAATGAATTATGTAGGGAACATAAATGGTCACATGAACGCTGTAAATTACGTTGAGAATGTTCTAAGGCCTTACGTCAATCCATTCGTACAAACGCTTGGCTCCGATTTCACGTTGATGGATGACAATGCGCGTTCGCATGCAGCTTTGCACACACGGGAGTACTTGGCAAGGGAAAACATCCTGGTATTGCCTTAGCCTGCATAATTAATGGCGTGAATTTACTGGGTACAGAGGAATAACACCTGAGTCCTCAGGAATGGCAACGCATGGGGGGTATCATGGGCGAAACAGTATACCTTATTATGTCCATGGTACTGCTCATGTTTATAGGCGACGGTTACCACTTTCGGTGGACTGTCAGCTTGTTTGCCACTCTAAGTTGTATAAAAAAAAATCGCCAGACCTCTACGCCATCGAGCATGCATGGGATTTGCTCCAGAGACGTGTTTTAAAGGACTTGGATGGAGTGACAACAACCAAACAATTGATGGAGTTACTAAAATTTCATTGGAAGCAATTGCCGCAGGATAACATTAACAGTCTCATCGATTCTATGAATAATCGGTGCCAGTAAGTTCTCCATAACAGAGGAGGCCACACTTTGTATTTTTGTATAACCATTTAATTTTAGCTTAAGTTTAGTTACCTTACTTTGTACAACGTACATACAGTACTTACTCGTAATTATTGTTAATTAAGATTATTAATAAAATAACAATTGTTGTTTAATATCAAAAAGTATTAAAAAATAATATAAATAAGAAAATACTAAGGATTTAATGCGAAAACACATTGCAAAATTGAAATTTGTATGTGTTGCTTAGACTTTTTTGATGTGTGTATTTACAAACAATATAGTTAATTTTTTTTGTCTAAATAAAAGCTTTTAATACGGAACTAATTACAAATTTTAATCATTATCTACTATTTATTGCTGAGCCGTTTCTTTGTAAAGGTAGTTTGACAAACAAGTTGTCCACAGACAACTAAATAGTAAGTAGACAATAGTGTCCGAAAAAACAAAAAAAAATATTGAAAATAATACTTTTTATCGATTTTATTATTACGAGTACCATAACCAAATAAAAATATTGACAATTTCACTTTATCGACAGCAACAATCAATATCCTTTTTACACGCAATCTATACACTAGCTTGCTATGAATTAGAACAGCAACTAATGGTATATCTGTGAGGGTTTTCCTACGTGAAAATAACGTCTAGCTTAGCAAGTATGTAAACTGGATTTATTAATATGTACAACAGTGAAATAAGGAAACGAAAAACAATGAACATTGACATGACATTATTTCAAATACGACAATGTGCTGTGCCAGTTCTAACACTCCTTTTTACGGCACTGGTCCTGTCATGTTTAACCAAGTGCCAAGCTGCTTCGCAAATTCTTCAACCGCGGACCAGCTAACGCTTTTATCAGCATACCTTCCTCCATCTCTTCGGTTCGCAGATATTTGACTTCTATTATTCCTTCTTGTATACAGTTTCTGATGAAATGTATTTTTAGGTCAATATGCTTGGAAGTCACCATAGCATTTTGGCTAAATTTGAGGGCGGCTTGATTATCATTCTTTATAATAATACTTTTACAGCTGGTTTCCAGATCCTTATAGATATTCTTCAAATGAATGGCTTCTTTAGTAGCTTCAGTTAGAGTTACGTATTCTGCCTCTGCTGTTGACAAAACCACACTTCTCTGTTTCTTTGACACCTAACTTATAGTCGTTCCAGCATAATTGAAACAGTAGCCTCAAAAAGACTTACATGCACCCCAATCTGCCTCTGCCATGCCATACAGATCTTCTCCGGTTTTTCTGAAGATCAGACTAGCACTCATCGTTTCTTTCAAGTAACGAATTACTCTTTTTGTTCTTTTGAAATATTCATCTCCATGACAGTCATTGAATTGAGATAGATAGCTGATAGCGAACATGATATCAGGTCGAGTAGCTACTGCTAAGTACATAAAGGAACCAATATTTCGAATATATTTAAGTTGTCGAACTCTCCGTCGTTATCGCTGAATAGTTCCTTGACTGTATGTCCTACTGTCTTAGCTTCAGCTAGCATATCCTCTAATTTCCGGTATACTTCTGACTTCTTGCGTAGAAAGTGAACATAGCGAAATCGTGTGTAGTCGTTCTTAAATAAAACAAAATACTTATATTTTGATGTAGAACTTGGGATGGGTCTATAAACATCTGTGTGAATAAGTTGTCCAGGTGCAGTTGCTCTTTCACGTACACCAAACTTCCGTCTATGTGCTTTTCCGAAAATACAGCCTTCACAGACTTTTTTATTAGACCAGTTTGTTTTAATTCCCAACTCATGTTCGATTACACCCTTTACGTGTTTTTTACTCTGATGACCTAATCTCTCATGGTATAGTTGCAATTTATCTGTCTTGTCTACCAGATTCACCCAAGCTACAGGCTAGTGATGGGACTCGAGTGATTTTTTTTCACTCGAGTCACTCGGTACTGATAACTTACTCACACGAATGCGACTCGAGTGAAGATAAAACTCGAGTGATTTTTATTGACTCGAGTCACTCGGAATATAAAACTCGAGTGACCAAAATTTTAAAACGAATAAAATAATATTAATTTTACATAGAATACGTGTATTCATTTTCTCAACAAAAAAAAAATTGTATTGTTTCGTCATGATAATAGCCGAGGCTAATGATGTTTGATTTGAAGTACGTTCCGAAAGTTTTGCTTCAAAATACTCTCATAAATCATTTACGTCAAATTTTAAATTATAAATGAAATGTATTGTAATAGTTAGGTATGCTTTATTATTGTCAGAAGTCCATAAATCTTTTGTAGCAGCCGTATATTCAACTAAATGTTGAATATCTACAATTACAGTGTGTGCGGCATGATAAGCATCAGGAAGAATTTTCTCTCTTTAAAGTTTCCTGCTACAGCGGGTAAACTTGTCACAATTTGAATTTCTTACTCCGCTCAGTATAAACCACTCGAGTGGTACGAGTCAACTCGAGTCACTCGTAATTCGAGTCGCCTCGAGTCACTCGAAACTCGAGTTGTCAAAAATTTAACTCGAGTGCAAGTAATATAAAAACTACTCGAGTCACTCGAGTGAAAATCAATTCGAGTCCCGTCACTAACTACAGGCATACAAATTTAAATTTCAACTTATATAAGCCACCATACCTTTCTCTGATTCCTTTTATGGCAATGTTTCCGTCGATTTGGACATTACAATATGTTATACGGGACTCAAACAGACTATCAGGATTTCTGTCCTGAGCCGATAGAACCGAAAATAAATTCTTACTAATTTGAAGTACATACCAGACATTTTGAAGATATATATTCTAAAGCAATAGTTCAACACGACACATGCAAGGACAAGTATTCAATAACAAAGGAAGCACAAGAGATAGAACTAGATCTGAATTTACTACAAGCAAACGTATACCGATAAAGAGATAAAAGAAGCAATAGTAAAAAATCATAATAAAATATGGAAAAATAAACAACTACATGGTCAGTTTCCTAAAGACGTACTAGATAGAGCTAACATAGACGGTGAACTTTCATTTAACTGGATTAAAAAACAGCAAATATTCCCAACTATAGAGCCGTCAATATTTGCCATACAAGATCAAATTGTAATGACACGACAACATCAACGTGACATACTACAACAACCTGTAGACGGAAAGTGCCGCTTACGTGTTTATAAAGATGAAACCACATAACACATCATATCGGGGTGCGAGAAACAGGCGGGGACCTATTATGTCAAAAGACACAATAACCCTGTTCAGTATATCTACTGGTGTATGGCCAAAAACACAATATACAGGTTTCTGATCTCTGGTGGAAAGAAACTCTCACCTAACCCCATGTTAACGAAAACGAGTCTGCTAAGATCCTGTGGGAAATGCTCGTTCAAACTGATGTCACCGTTACACATAATAGACCAGACTTAATATATATAGACAAAAATAAGAATAAAACATATTTAATAGATATAACTGTACCATCTGATTACAATATAGGGGCTAAGGAAATTGAAAACCTAAGTAAATACCACCTTCTGAAAACTGAAGTCAGTCATTTGTAAAACACATAAACGATTATCATCCCGATAGTAATAGGCGCAACAGGAATAGTAGCTAAAAATATTAAAAACTACATAAATAAGCTAAATGCTAAAATTGACATCACAGTCTTGCAAAAACAAGCAGCCATTCACACATCAACCATACTCAGCGAAGTATTAGGAGATACCGTATTCGTACAAAATACACAAAATCATCACACTCAAGACACACACCAGTCACCAACCACCCAACAGGCAATTAACACACAACACTCAACAAACATACCAGAGCCACCTAACACAATTCATACACCAAACACACAATCTCTCACAAATTCAGTATACACTCAAAAGAGAAGGCGAGGTAGAAGATGGACATAAAAAAAAACTGGGGCATATGTACCTTTTTTCCTATGGGTTACAGGACGGGGTATGTTTTTAAGACGACATAAGTCGAGAAGGTGAAAACCAAAAATAACATAATATAATATGTGTTAATAATATAATATGTGATCATGCCGTAATGAATATTTTTTATAATAGTGGTCGCTATGTACTTGCATAGCTGTGTTTTGGTTTAAAGGACATATATTTCTATGACAGTCAGGAGTTATGGTGGCATAGAACCATTGTATTCAGAAAAGGCAATACATAGGAATAGCATGAGCATCACAATTTATTCTATTCATATTCATAAGCGACAGTTTCATTTTGCATCAGGTCATTTGTCAGCTTGTCCGCTGTTTTAGGTTGCAAAAAATATTTTTTTTTGATTATTTTTCATTACGAGGTGGGTTTGCGCTTGATCTTACTTCAACTGATGGTAAATGATATCTCAATGTATCGACGACAAGGGCATTACATATATTTTTATAATTATTAATTCGTATATATGTCAATCGTCTCGACATTTAAGATGCACATGAAATTGTAGACACGAGGATGAAATTCATTGGGCATTCAGTTCCAGCTAGTTAAACATGAGAGATCGCATCATAGCATGGCCCACAAATAGCTAGACTACCGCCTGCCTCTGCGTGATGTTTCTTACGATATTACGAATAGTAAATCGTTACTACTAATTAGTCGACTGTTGCGGATATCATCTTTGGTCTGTGTCTTAAGTTTAAAGTTAATACCTATTACACTCCATTTGCCTCTTTTCAAACTAGTTGGGTATTAATGTAATAAAAATCTACATTAACCAACAAAAGACCAAGATCTAGTAGATAAGGATATCTGCAAGACTACAGGTATGCCTATTATGAGAGTAAATAAAATACGTCAAATAAAAAATATTGTATAATTATTAGTAGTAATAATAATAAAAAAGGATTGTTGAGACGGATGAAAGTTATACAATTAAGTTGCTATTATAAATTACAATGCTTATCGCCATCTCAAAAGAGAATGAGATCCGAAAGCATTGTATTAGATTACATGGTTGCTATATACATGTAAAAGGTGAAATAACAAATTCAATTTCAGTCTACACACAGGCCGAAATATAAAAATGGTTTCTGAAACCGTGCAATTACATGGTAATTTAAGTGGAATGGAAATTCTTTTTATATTTCGACTCATGTTCCTTAAAGAAAATTGTTCAACTTTGTAGATACTCTCTGAGTTTGTACTTATTAATAAAAAACAGTACATGATATAAATTATATCCGTCTCTTACTTTAAAACTAGAAAGTAAAGTTGCCAATACAATTGTCCTGACAATTGTATGTAACAGAATTTGGTACATTATCATAATCTAATATTCACTTAGCCTAAACAAGATAAATATTGTAAACAATATTTACAAAATGAAAAGTAGGAAATGCAGTCAGAATCAAAACTATAATTTTAAAAACTAATACTTTGATAAACTTTAACACTATTTAATACTATTGATGTTATTTCAATATCATTTGTACGTTACGTAAATAATATTTTGGATACGATTTAGTTATGTCATAGATTCCATTAAATTTTGACAGTATCACGTAAAGTAGTATGCACTTACATATAACGTAAGTTTGCTTTTGGTTTTACGGTAATAAAATTATAGTTAATCTTCATAAGTACTAAATTTTCTTCAAACAAATGGCATAAAAAACTATCGGTAAATAAGATTTTGTTACCGCGTGCATGAGATAGAACAAGACACTGTTTTCGTCTCATTCTATGTCATGTATACAGAAATGAAAGGTAACCTGTATTATATTGATAGATTTTGTTCATCTAAATATAACTACCTATAATTTAAAGCATGTTTACAAACATTTACATTGTCAATTAATATCATAAAAAACACTTCATCATACCATACGTACACGTACATTATTGAAAACTTTCAATTTTTCACGCTATTATAAAAACTCTTTTTTGACATCATACATGATTTTGACAAAATTATTTCTTCTTTAATATAATACATCTGATTGAGTTATTGTTGCTGAAAGAAAAAAAAAATATTTGCAATAGCAATTTAATCTTTAAGAGTCGTAAAGGTTGACTAGGGTGGACTTGTATTAATACACACAATCAAATAAGATAAATAATTCCTAAAAAGACAATAATTATAAGCATATTTATCCCAATTACTCGGAGATCCTTGGACCAATTCAGAAATTCATTCTTATTTTATTTGAAAGTTTATAAAAAACTATCAAAATCGGCTCAGTAGTTTAGTTTTTAAATAACTTTTTAACAAACTTCCTACATTTTTTAAATTAATATATTTAATTTTGCTACGACTGAAGTTAGTTTTTATTTTTGAAGACCACAATCTTAAATTACCATTTCGAATGATTGGTTTTCATGATTCTTCTTGTAATTAATGGGATTTATTTTCGTATTCCTAGATAAGTTTAGTGAGTAAAACAGAACATTTCGTGCAAAAATGATCGATTTTTCGAAAAGCGGGTTAATATATAATCTCAGTTCTTCAACTCATTAAACAGCTATCCTTTTCTCCCCATATTTTAGCATCATGCGTGAGGATGTTCTCAAAATGCTCAAACATATACTAAGCTCTCTTTTTAATATGCTAGTCGGCTAGTCCCTTAGTTTTATATCACATGCTGAATATGGTTTTTAAACTTTCATCTATTTTCATATATTGTATTACAGTCTTAATATTACGATATTATAATCGTTTGCTATTTACGAACTCCAGTGATGATGAATCAGGGCTTATCCATTTATTTGTAATATTAGGGTTGATTCTGGAGCGTTATTTCTATAAATATATCTTTAAAATTAAAATTTCAATTTGATATCACAGAGAATTTTTTATTGTAAAGACTAATATGAACTAATCTTCTAATAGATTTAAATCAAATTTAACATAACTTTATTATAGTCTATAAAATAGTAATGCAATGAAAATATAAAATTAAAAAAAATCGATAAAATGATAAATTGGGAAAAAGAGTAACAGAATTGATTCCAGTCTACTCATATAATTTTTTTTTTATACAACTTAGAATGGCAAACAAGCTGACGGCCCATCTAATGTAAAGTAGTAACCGTCGCCTATAGACATGAGCAATACCATGGACATTACTGTTTCGCCCACGATACCCCCCCATGCGTTGTTATTTCTGAGGATTCGAGTGTTATTCTTCTATACCCTGTAAATTCGCCCTTCAAACCATAATAATTCATCAGAATACTTACGACGTGATTGTACTAAGGCTTCCCTTTTTTGTATCAATGAACTTAAGCTAGACGCAGCACGGTGGACAGCTGAAATGAAAATTAGCACTTACTTAAAGTATTGAGTGTATTCTATATAGATAAATATTAAAATTCATTAATTCAATATATGCATAAAACCAACCAAGATACTGACATCGCCGGCTAAATTCTTTCTTCTTAGTTTTAGGTACTATGGAATTCAAAATGACAAAATGAATATTTTAATGAACAGTTATCATAATTAACAATATCGAATTGTTTGTATAATACAGAGATTGGCGAATTTAAACAAGATAAAAATACATATCAGAGCAGGCAAAAGCGATGTATAAGTATGTGAATATTATGAATATATGTGAATATTACTTATATGAACTGTGGAAATTATTTATTTCAAAATAAAAATACTTACATGCCTTTCTGAACGGTTGTATCGCTGTATAATCTGGTAGCGGTACTGGAGGTAGATCTTCATCGGGCGGAAGCTGATCTCGCATACGATGTGCAGACGACGGGATATACGCCCATGGCAACTGGCCTTGTAGTTCAGCGGCTGTTCCTCTTCTTCTACACACAATACACGTGATATTTTGTATACAAATAAAGTAAAACTATTCTTCAAATTATAATGGAATAATATCTTTCATTGTATGCGGGCGCCGGGCGTATAGTAGAAGTTAATAAACGGCATTCCCGCAGTAGCTTGCAAAATTTGAACAAAGAAGCAGTTGTCATTTTTCTAATGGTTCTCACTTATGAAAATATTGCACATCTTTCTTACCTTAGCAATTATTTTATAACACATTGCGATTCATATTAAACTTGTAATTCTTCGAAATTATTTCAAATTTTCAACTGACTTAAAAAAAGGAAGGTTTTCAATTCGGTTGTATTTTTTTCATGTTTTTACCTCATAACTCCATCAGTTATAACCGATTTGGATTATTTTATCTTACAGATTAGTGCCATAGGCATTTTATCAAAATCAGCCCAATAGTTTAGATCTTAAATCAAGATATCTGGTTTTGCCACAATTGAAGTCGATTTTTTTGTGGAACACAATTAGTTATAAAATTAGATGTAGGTACAGCACGTGTTTGTGAATGTGACTATACTGTAAAATATAAATGTTATATCATAAGGTTTTACCCTCGCGAATCTTGTTCTGAAGCCGTGTTAAGCTGTGGCATTGATTGCGAAATTCGCGGCGGACTGCGTCGTCCAGAAGTGTCTATGACCGCCGTGTCTAGCCGGCGCTGCTGCTCCGCTATTAAATTCTCCAATCGTTGTGGTAATGATAACAAGTTCTCTGGGAAATTCACTGTTCGTTTCTTATCAGTTTCCCCAAGTTGAGTATGAGTCGACCTGAATATTTCAATCACATGAAAATCTTAATCATATTTATATTTTTCAACCGAGTTAAAAAAGGAGGAGCTGTATATATATTTTTTTTTATTACTTCATAACTTTGCATTTCTAAAACGATTTTGAAAAATCTTTTTTATTTGAATGATCTGAATGGTTAATGAAAATTTACAAATGGATATCATAGAAATTTTATCGAAAACGGTATAGTAGTTTAGTTTTTAAATTGAAATAACTTGTTTTGTCACAATTCAAGTCAGTATTTTGTGGGACACAATCTTTAAATTTAGCAGTCATAATTTAAAACGTTTCCGGTGTGAAGCAACAATACATATGATTGTTTCTTCACACTGGAGACAGGTAAATGTTTAGGTTTGCATAGATATTTTAGTTTAAAGAGGTATAGTATATTCTAGAATATGTTTATATAACGTATATAGGTATAAACGAAGTTTAACAGTTTTTATCAAATGAGTTGTTAGCTCGTTTGTTACAATACGTGATAATAAATAGAAGCTTCCATTGATTTAACGAACAGTCGGTAGTATTCACCTCTACATGATACCCCTGGATACCATCATCGTCAACTTCATCATCACTTGTCAAATTTCACTGGCATATCACTGGTACGCACTCAATACCCATACAAGCCGTTCTAGTACGTCTTGCTCGCACATTCAGTCATCTTCTGTGCTGCTTCTGAGAGACTCACGCGCACGACAAAGATCTTATAAAACAAAACGTCATTTAACATTGACGTTTTATTTCGTTTATACCTTATATACTTAAATTATTTAGAAAACCTGAGATCACAACATCCTTAGAAGCTGCTATTGTTTGTATGAGAAAAAAAAGTGCTACATCACATTTAACCGGACCCGGGATACGTGCTTGGCTTTTATAACACTATAAAAAAAATATTTCAATTTTGATTTTGTAATAAACGAAAGAAGTATGAATTCACCTCAGAGGGGAACTGTTCAATGTTTCTGAATTAGAACGTGCCGTTGGCGGAGACGGTTTTCCAAACAGGAGTTCTTTCATTCTACGAAACGATTGGCTTAGTCCTGGTCTAGGGATTCTGGTGTTGCGACTGGGCAAACTAGAAGTTTCTGTATCCTTATTACTAGTTGCATCATCTGCCATAGTCGGGGCTTCCACTTGCTAAAATGACATGGCCAAAATAAGTTTAAATAAATCACTATTACACAGAGAGGTTTACTACGTGCAGTTAAAACAAAATACAGATAAAAATTAAATTAAATATAATGCGATTAAATTGAATATTGTTATACAATCCTCAGAGATGGACAAATGTCCCTCAGTGTAGATTACTAATTTCTTATATCTAAATCACGTACGTGTCGATTAAATAGTAAGTGATCTAACGTGAAACAGCGTCTCAAACAATATAACTACATCAAAATTATGATATTATAAAAACAGGACATAAGCATTGATTGTACTTACAACAGCAGCGTGGACATCAATACGACGAATAGCATTACCATCGATGATCACTGATATAATAAAAAACATATTGACAAAGAAGAAAACAACAAATCTTGAATATAATATGACCATCACCCAAGACGCCCATGATGTATCCAAATCCATGCCACCCGTACCGCTGGCAATTCCATTGATATATTCCATTATATCCGACAACGTCTGTATAAAAAGAAAAGTTAAAATAGGTAGGTATACAGCACAATTAATTTGAAATTTTTATATATGTATACATATCACATTGACAAATAAAGATGGTAATATGTGTATTCTTCAGTATGAATGAATCGTTATTTCGTAATTCAGAATAAAATTCAAAGTGTTTCATCATATGTATGTTTGACTTCAAAATGTCAGTATTAGGTTTCGTACCACAAAACTTTATATTTACTGAACATGTCACACAGAAATACTACTTCAACTACACACCGAGGTTATTAACTAATAAAATATAAAGTATTCAGAGGTATTTGTCTACTGTTACTATTATAATTATAATATTAGGTATCTAGGTAGATATCATAAATCCCATGTGGCAGGGAGCAAGTCTATTGCCGTCTCTCGGAATCATTTGTTTGTTTACGATGTTTTACTTTACCAGAGAGTTAATAGGAACTCCAAATAATAGAATTTTATACACACCCTAGTATGGAATGAGTCATTAGCGTATATGACAGTAGCCACCAAATCTACTCCACATACTGCCACAGTAACAGTGATCCACGGCCAGCGCATTCCCTTCGATTGCTTATTCTTTGCTCCACCGACTGTAAGAAATTTTAAATTAAAATAACTTTAATAGTACTTATCTATTATAAATTTGAGGGGAAGGAATAGTGAATAATGGAATCAAACAGCCCCATTCCTAGCAATAAACAGGTCGGTTTCCCCTAAAAACCATGGTAGTTAATTCTAGTTGAATTCATTAGGATGGGTTAACTGATTTGCTTTTATCCTTACCTTTCATTTATCATCGGTGACTTGCCATTGTATACCGTAGCGCAGGTAGTTACCATTTTATTCACCCATTAAAAAAAAACTATTAATCTAAGTCTAATTAACTAAACCGTGACTAGCTCGATAACTTTAAGATTATATTTAAGGTAGTGAATCGACAACCTTGTCATAATGTAATAGAAAGAAAATAGGACACAATGAAAAATAGCAGAACGACAAATGAAGTGAAACATTAATACAGAGAAAATAGAAATAAAAAGATGAAGAATGTGTTGAATGAAAGAGATTTATAAGAAAGTAACAAGAAAAAGTATGTCTAGCCAAGGCAAAAAAATGGTTTATGATAAAGATTTAATATCCAATGGCAAGTGTGATTTCGTTATTAAAAAAATATTTCCAATGGAAAACATATGCTACTTTTTGTCTTGTTCAATTAACATTTCCCAGGAGTGAGGACGAGTCACGAGTACAGCTAATATATTTAAAGAAAAGATAAAAATGCAGGATAAGGATAAGAATGGAAGGTATTTGAAAGGTATAATAATATATAATAATACAGAGCCTTGATTACTACTTACTTATGATAATAACGCTTGCGATCATCCATAAAATACTAAGCCCGAAGCTTGTGAAATTTATTACAAACGTCCGAAATGTAGTTAATGGTTCTTGATTTAATGACACGAATGCTTGATTTATCATGCCATCAATCGCATGACCAATATTGATACGGACACCACAGTATTCAGGGTCTGCAGAATAAATAGGAATGTAATTGTGACTTCTTAATAAATATGTGAAAGATTTTGTAAAGATGTTTGAATGTTTATGTTACATACGTACAGAAAGCAAGGTTTAATTTATTTCTAATAAAATCCTTTAGCAACCAAACCCTAATAATATCTCTTTTTTTTTTCTAAGACGTTTAAAAACAACAATTTATTTTCTACTATTAAAAATTAAATTTTATAATGTTTTGTGACCAGTGGGTGTGTATTAGGTACTCACTGTGAAAATATAATATTCGTATGTAGATAACTAGTGGTAGTTCTTTCAGAAAGTCAATTAGACAAAAGTACTGTGCAAGACCCAATCCGGTGAGGATCATTTGCGTTACAGCTTGCAACTGGAAAAAATTTATGATAAAATTAAATAAATAACTTGGTTCTAAGCCAGATAGGCAGAGATACAAATTCGCATCCATTAAAATTCATATTTAAAATGGGAGTAGTAAACCCAGTAAATCTAGTCTAGACAATTAACGTCTTGAAGTAGTATTATTATTGAGCCTGTTATTATTATTGACGGAAAATTGCGTTGTGACATGTTTATACAACAAAAAATTATAAAAAAGCTCAATCGGTTTTTTAGAGATATTAGACAATTAATAACTTAGAACAGTTAAATATAATTCAGAAAATTTCATTTACTAAATTGGGCCGACTGGAAGTTAAACCCGGTACCTTAATTATGTAGAGCAACGGTATTCGAGTGTTTTTACTAAACAGCTATAGAACATAAATATTAAACCACACGATATGAATTTATTGAATTCGGTATTGATTAGCTTGTGAATGGTCACTTTATCTCTACTGAAACAAGTTATTTCGTAATAGGGAATACGTAGATATCAAAGAGTTGAACGAAATATTTCGTCTACTATGACGAATCAGAGATAAGATAAATAGAATATAATCATATAAAAATACATGCATACGATGTTTGTACATGAGGGACAATCTTTTGGACATGTCTCGGTATTTAATTCTAAGTATTTTGAGAGGTAAATACCCATAAATATTGAGTAAAGTTTCGGATTGAAATTTAGAAATGTACGATAAAACACGTTTACATTAGAATTCAGAATTTGCGTTCATCACGTGGAAGGCGGTCACGCGTATAAATTAAACCTACGCGGCTAAAGGGGCAATGGCAAAAATAAAGATGGCGGATAATAATAACGGAGAGAGTATAGGGTCGCTGCCCGGGGGTCGCCGGGGCGCGTCTACAACTGGCGGTAGGCGCGGCAGAATGCGAGCCAGCCGACCGGCCCCACCACCTGGCCGGTCCGACCCCTCGCCATCGACATCAGCTGGCTTGGCGCCGGCAGGGCCGTCACAGGCCCAGCAATCGGTGCCCGCCACTGGTGGTACACGTCGCATGAGGTGGACAAGAGCCATGAATGAGGACCTCATGCGTGCGTTCTTCAGGGCTACAGGGACAGAAACAGGCAGAACAGGATACCGGGCAGTAATGCACCGCGAGTTTCTGCGTCTTTTACCGGATCTAACCGTCTCGGAACAGAACCTAGCCGACAGAGTTCGGTACATACAGCGCTCTGGTATGTTTAGCGCGACCGAACTCGAACGATTGCGAAGTGAAGTTGTTCCAGAAGCAAATTCCGCGACCGTAGAGCAACCCATCTCAGACGTGCTACCTAGCGTAGAGGTGGTTGCCGAAACGCTTTCAGAAGCGGATGCGGACGGAACAACTTCCCAGGATATAGAGCATATGAGGAGCATACTAGAGGAGGCGATTCTAGAGATCCGAAGAACTCCCCTCGAAGAGAGACCGAAGCTTCCCCGGATATATCCAAATGTGGCGACGCGGGATGCCATTGAGGCCACAAATGGACTGCTGCCTCAGTACCTTGAGGGCAGCGGTGACCTGGGAGAGACGAGTTCAATCCTGTTTGGCGCTGCGTTGGCAGTATGCCGATATACCGGCGCAAAAATGCCCCGGGCTGGACGTAATATCCAAAGGGATAATATGAAACCAGCCTGGAAAAGAAGGATTGAACGACGGATCGCCCAGGCCAGAGTCCTCATTGGTAGACTGCTCTGCTTCAGGGAGGGCAACACACGCCCGAGAATTATGCGCTCCGTAAAAGAGGCCTTTGCTGGGACAGGTGTACGTCTGTTCCAGCCGGACTTCGGGCACAAACTTACGGAGCGCATAGATGAACTGAAGCAGAAGATCGCTGCATGGGGGAAGCGACTCCGACGGTACTCTGAGAGGGTTGAGAGGTATCAACAGAATCGCCTCTTTATGAGTGATCAACGGAAGTTTTATAGGAACTTGGAGCGCCCAAAACTACAGCCCACAGGACAAAGACCCGAAACAGCCAATTTCGTCGCCTTCTGGAGACAGCTGTGGTCTGAACCTGTGGAACATGAGGAGGGCGCATGGATGCACGATGTTGAGGAAGCATGTGCTCGAATAACGCCGATGAACGCCATTGCCATTACGGAGGAAGACGTGGTTGCCGCGATCCGTCGGGCTCCGAACTGGAAAAGTCCGGGGATCGACGGATTGCAGCACTACTGGTTAAAGGCGTTCTCGGCCAGCCATGCGACCTTAGCCGTGCAATTCCAGAGTGCCCTCGAAAACAGGGCGCTCCCGAACTTCCTTACAACCGGGATCACTCATTTAACTCCTAAGACGGACGATACCGCGGATCCATCTAAATATCGCCCCATCACTTGTCTTACGACAATATATAAGACGTTAACATCCGTTCTGAGCGCTAAGATCTCTCGTCATGTGTACGAGAATAAGATCCTATCTAGCGCTCAGAACGGATGCAGGGGCGGTAGCCGCGGATCGAAGGAGCTGCTCCTCATTGATGCTGTCGCTGGGCACGTGGTCAAGCGGAACCGTCGGAATTTCTCCGCCGCCTGGATAGATTATAAAAAGGCGTTCGATTCCGTGCCCCATTCATGGCTCCGGAGGATACTCGAGCTGTACAAGATCGACGGTACAGTTCGAGTGTTCTTGGAGGCATGCATGAGGCAGTGGACGACGATCCTGACTATCCAGGGCGAGCGATTGACGGATACCGCTGACCGGATAGAGATAAAGAGAGGAATATTCCAGGGCGATTGTTTGAGTCCACTTTGGTTTTGCCTGTCCCTGAATCCACTCAGTACTTTACTGGAGAATTCGGGGACTGGATTTCAGTATCGGAGAGGAGGTACACGAGTGTCTCACCTTCTGTACATGGATGACTTGAAACTGCTAGCTCCGAGCGTCGAACGCCTGACGGAGCTGCTAAATATCGTAAACGATTATAGCAGCTCTATTAGGATGGCGCTCGGAATAGACAAGTGCGCGGTCCTCCATGTGCAGAGGGGACGGGTCACTCAAACTGAAGGGATCGCCACAGATCTCTCTAATATTAAAACCCTCTCCGAGGCTGAAACATACCGGTATCTGGGCATGTCACAAAACATTGGTGTGAAGGAGACGGATATGAAACAGTCAGTCCGCGAGGAATTTTTTGCGCGCCTTACAAGAGTACTGAAAAGTTCTTTGTCGGGCGCCAATAAAATCCGAGCTTATAACGGCTGGGTCATACCCGTACTCCTTTACACTTTTGGCGTGCTCAGATGGTCTCAAACCGAACTCGAAGCCCTGGATCGGAAAGTCCGCACAACTATGACCCTCCATAGAATGCATCACCCGAAATCGTCAGTCATGAGGCTGTATATCCCGCGGAAAGCTGGTGGTCGAGGCTTGTTAAGCGTTAAGACCATGCACAACCGCGAGATTGACAGCCTCAGGACATATTTTCTGGAGAAAAGAGACGAGGGTTTGCATAGAGAGGTCATAGAATGTGACAAAGGATTCACCCCTCTTTCTCTGGCTAAAGAGGACTGGCGAAAACCCGAAGTTTTGAGTACCTCTCAGCGGGAGGCCGTATGGAAAGAGAAGGAGTTGCACGGAAGGTTCTTCAAAGCCCTTCACGGGCCGTACGTAAACACGAAGACCTCCGTGCACTGGCTACAGTTCGGTGATCTCTTCGGAGAGACCGAAGGTTTTGTCTGTGCAATACAGGATCAGGTGGTTAAGACGAACAATTACCGAAAGCACATTCTGAAGGATGGCACTGAGGACATCTGTCGAGCATGTCGCCATCCTGGAGAGTCACTCAGACATGTGCTTTCGGGTTGTTCAGCTCTTGCCAACACAGAGTACTTGCACAGGCACAACCAGGTAGCCAAAATACTCCATCAAGAGCTAGCTCTGAAGTACGGCCTCGCGAATGAGAGGTTGCCGTACTATAAGTACGAGCCACAGCCGGTCCTCGAAAGCGACAGCGTCAGGCTCTACTGGGACCGATCCATCATCACGGACAGGACTGTTCTTGCGAACAAACCTGATATCGTGGTGATGGACCGGGCACTTTCGAGGGTGTTTTTGGTGGATGTCACCATACCGCATGACGAGAACCTCGTGAAAGCCGAAACCGAGAAGAAGAGAAAATATCTCGACCTGGCTCACGAGGTGACCGAAATGTGGGGGGTGACATCTACCGAAATCATCCCAATCGTTATGTCGGTGAACGGTCTTATCCCAACCAGTCTGGAACAACATCTCAGACGGTTGGGATTCCGAGTCGGCTCACTCCCGGGAAAGATGCAGAAAGCGGTGCTCTTAGATTCTGCCCGCATTGTACGCCTGTTTCTCTCCCTGGGGCCCTGAACCCCGGCCGACTGTGCTTCTACCGGGGGTTAGTTGCCATCTCCTCTCCTTAAGAGGGGAGATGAGAATTTTGGTAAAATTTAAAAATAATAATAATTCATTTGGAAGCCATTACAGTAAATAAATAAAATATATAAGAATAATAATAATAATGCATTCGAAGCTTGGAATAAAATTGATTCTTTCAGTAACTAGATGTTTTTGTGCAATAATAATAGATTTCTTAAAATAAATAAAAATATTTGTATAATCACAACTATAATTCTTAATTAGGTAATCATAAGTTCATAATTGCTGTTTTTCATCACTGGAGAGTTAGTGGGGAAAAGTTTTTGTATCGGTCAAGTTCGATTTTACGATCTTTGCGGTCTAGAAGTTGGAACATTCATCGGAACCATGACGCTTTTGCACTTAATAATAATATTAGGATAAGTAAAAGATTTATACATAGTAACTGATTCCGTGTGTACGACTATCATAACGTGTATGATGGTATTATTATCTTTATCAGTGACATGAGAATTTTTTACTGATAAATAAGCATTTCTTACTATTTATGATGCTAGCAAGACATCCTATCCAAAGATATATTAATACAAAGATATCATATAAATGTTTGTTCTTTAAAACAGGTAACATTTACATTACTATTTAAATTACTTAAAAAGGTTACTTTAAAATCTACTAAAGATGTAGCAACTATTTCGTATTTTGCTTATGAAGTTTCCAAACATTTTTTCAACATGAAGTTTTAGTTTCTTTTTTATAGTTTAGGATTGATAAGAATCTTAATTGTGCATAATCTTTCATTGTTTTAGCTCGCTATAGCTCTTGTTAAATATTGTTGTGAAATAGTTGAACTAACAGGTTATAAATAATACATAATTTTTATTGTAGAAGCAAGCAGAGCAAGGGGAAGAGCAATATATACCTCATTATGTCAAACAAAAGAAATATTAGGTGTCATGTCGCAGAGTAAATTATATGATCTAGGATAGAGCTCATTAGAGAAAGTTATTTAAAACAATTCCCGCCAAGAGACAACTCTTAAATTGCGAAGTAGAAAGTTATTGTTACGTTAGGTATAAACCCTCTTAATTCGTTAACTATCGACGTCATATTTAAAATTATGTTAATATATGCAATAATCATGTAGCTATGTTTATCATAACCAAAAAAAGAGTGAGTAGTTTAAATATAAAAATTGCGCTAGTTATAACTTTATAACATTATTACAAAGTAAAATCGAGAGCAATGTAGGCGTGATTATTCTGCATAAACGTGGTAGGTATAAAATACATTCGCTTTGCAGCAATCTCATAGCATTAGATATTTATGTAGTAATTACATAGTATATTAATACTTCAGATTATACTAATTACCATTTTGTATTACTATAACCTAAAGAGCAGAATTAATGTTCGCCAGCCAAAGTAATAAATAGGTAATAATAGTACATATGTAAAAGGTTACTTATTGTGAAAGAAATTTTAAAAGTATATATGGAGTTATATACATACATTTGCACATAAGTTACAGTGAAATATTACACCCTTGAATATTAAAATACTTGACCCTTTACATAGAAACTTTATTAATATTTCTTTAATTACATTGCATTAGTATACTGTATAAATGAAGACTTACCAGAGTCACTACGCCGGCGGTAATCATAAGCTTGTTCATAGACATCATTTGGATGGATCACTTAAATCTCACACAATAGAAGCTAAAATAGAATTCAACAAATCCCGGAGGCAAACCTCTGGAAGCGCTAGCGCGCTGACCCTTTATCCCGCGTCGCACACTCACACTACACCTACGTTATTACTCACAACAGCATCCACTGAAACTTGAAGCATCCGAAAAAAAACGCCGTTTGATTGTCTGATAAGTGATAAGTCACCTCAGATTATTATTACACGTCCGGAATTCTATTATTCTCGTATGTGAATTTCGTTCAACATAGATACAATCAAATTTTATATTGGATAGTATAGATATAAATAAAGTTTTAAATTAAGTATTTAACGGTTTTTTTTGAAGTTTCATGTAAACATACGTAGATACAGCAAATGATATTAAGTGTCAATAATTTACCCGCGACGGAACAGTGAAAGTTTACCTATGCGTTTGTGGTTCTCGTCAGCGCACGTTCTTATTTTTTAATAATGGTGGGGCAATTGCTTCGTTTGCGAGCAGGTGAGTTTATAATTATTATTTATTTATTGATGAAAGCATCCTAATCCTCAGGAATAGCTACATTACTAAGGATGCAATAATAGGCAACCATTATTACTATTTTCAAAAATGGGATAATTCTTCTTAATTAAATAAAAAAATAATAATCACATACGTCTCTATCTCATTCATTATTTGCCTTAATTTGTTTGTCTTTATAGCAAATCTTCATAATTAAATCAAAATTCATTAAGTATAAATAGAGTAAAAGTCACTAGTTATTTTATATTATATTATACACTGTTATAATAATTTTACTTGAATTATTATTAAAGTGTATAAACGAATTTTTATTTTGCTCTTCCGTCCTAAATTTGCTTAAAGATATTTAGAGGTTCATTATTCGACCATGCTTAAAAAGGTGAACAGGCTTGAGTGAAATTTGATGCGCAGATAGTCCTGACCTTGAATTACATTTTATCATAATTCAAGCGGGCGAAACCCCGGGAACACGTATATTTTTTTATAGCACAAAGGCATACTGCCCGTCTGATGCTAAACAGTTACTGTAGCCTCCATAGGCTACAGTGACTGTTTAGCATCAGACGGGCGTCCATACGCCTGTGATACTAGGGATCACGTGCGTGTTGTCTACCCTTAAGAAACCTTAATAGACCCTCTTTGAAGAACCCCTACTATACTGTAGTCTATAGGAAAACTCCAGCAGAGAGCTCATTCCACAGCCTTAGCGTTCGCAGGAGACAATTTATAAAATTTATTTATTTATAATAACATATTATAAACTGCACTGTACGTGACCATTTAGGTTCAAGCGTGTGATAGTGTATTTCCTATCAGTAAGTATATCCTACTTGTAAGTATATCCTATTAAAATTAATAGTATAAATACAAAAGTTTGTTAGGGTGGATGAACATTTGTTACTCTTTTACGCAAAAGCTATTGGACAGATTTATACTGATTAATACTGGAAAAGCCGCGGGAAATAGCTAGTCTTATATATAGTCTGATGCGCAAAACAATGGCAAGATGAATATTTTACTAGTTTTGTTTTATTTCCTTATTCTATTAAGTATGTTGTGTTATTTATGTATTGAATTAGAATAATCAGCGATAGATGATTCTACCATTAAAGAAAGAACATCCTATGTAGGCATATAATATTTAATGTGTATGATTTATTGTTGTGGTATTTATACCTCCATCTGCAGTATACTATTAGATATTATTAGACTTATCTGCGTGGCTTCAAAACAGTCTTTGTGATATTATTCATCAAGTTATTCTGAGTCGAACAAAGATATTAGTCAGAATTACTTGGTTGTCTCTTTCAAAATATATGTATTTTATTTAATTATTATTAAAATGTTCACTACTTAAAAACATAGTTTTAAATAAAAGTAATGAACATTGGTGAGCTATTGTTTTTGAATCTCCACAAATAGACTTAGGTACTTCTTTTAGATCGTTGCGAAGATGTTCTAATTTGAAATGTTCAATACAAAAGGGTGGCTTAATTATTCAGTCAATCATAGATAGTTATGAAAATATTTTAGAACATAAAGTAATAAACTGTACTTATATTACGTTTTTATGTATTTTTCTATATACCTTATAAATTAGTTAAAACAAAAATGATCTCTCCGTTATTAAACAGATTTTTAGGGTTCTATACAAAGAAAGCCTTGGTTTATGTCAACTCAGACAGATGATGAAAAATTTAATTTCCTCTTTTCAACAGGCCTTGACTACAAATAATTCGCGGGGTGATTTTGGACGCAACCTAACTGGGATACGTAGATGTTCGTTGTCAATTCATTATATCACAATGAATACTCTATTCAAACAATAATTTATAAATAGATATTTGTTATAAATTAATATACTTTTAGTTATTTAGTTATCGAATTATTTTTTATAATAAATGAATATTTCTTAAAAGTATAAAACAAAATATTTGTCCGGGCTTGTTTTTATTTCAACTTACTTCAATTTATTATTCTTTTGATATTTTTTCAGTACATTTTGTATAATAAATACAGTATAGTTTGTACCCGGGGCAATCTCATTTTAGCCCGAAGCGGATGGCTAATATTGTCCTAATAGCATAATTAATTATAAGAAACAATTAACCTTCGTAAGCACATAACGTAATGTAGAATGTACTTATAATCAATAAATATCTAAATATTTTGTAATACACTAAATACAGTTGAATTGTGCAATATGAATTTTATTTATTTCCCTCTTATTAATAAAAATGCAGCATTTTATTATAAATACGACATAAAATGATACTACTGTGACTGCATTTAAGTATAATAATTTTAATTTATATTATATTCTTTCTTTACATAACTCCATAAAATATCATTATATGACATGATGTTAAAATAATATTAAAATATACCGGTATGTACTAAGGGCGCATGTGCAATCTACCTGTTTCACGCATGCGCCACTAAGAGGTTAATGATTAGATTTACATTAGACTCGCCCTGATGTAATTCTATAGTATATGACTAAAATGCTCTTTATACTTTTCATAACCCTTATTGTTAGTGGTAAATTAAAAAAATGAAGCGAGCATATTTATATTAAAAGTCATCTTAAAAATCTATATAACAATGAGTTCACCAAAACTAAACGAAAGGTGTCCGAGCAGCTTAAGCAATGGCAAAAAATTACTCAGCAATGATTCGAAAGAAGATTCTTTGGATAATTCCGTAAGTATTTATTACTTAGCCATATTAGTGTTTGTAATCTTCAGTAGTTTATAATAAATAACATTTATACAGTAATTAATAACATATAGTTTTATATCGTATTGTAGATAAGGGAACCGGGAAAATCTGATAGACCTGGAGGAAAGGGTGAGGAAGATTGGCGAAGACGTACTATTATAGTTGAAAAGAAGAATGGAAACTACGGGTTCACACTACAAAGTTATGGCATACATTACAAAAAGGTTTTTATAAAGTATTGATTAAAGTAGTATATTATAATCACCTGACATTGGTGAGGGATAAATTGAGGTGGAACTAATTTAACCATTATAACCCATACAATGACTGCAAATATCTAAAATAAAATATTTGCAGTATGTAACCCGCCACAAACTAAAGTCCTAACCATTTGGATAAGTGGTGGTCCTTAACTGTGTGTTTTCAAGGCACGCACGATCACTTTCTTTGGAATCAATTTTCAACAGTAGTATTTCCAAACCGATACGACATCATAACCGTAAAAAAAGAGTCTACTCTTTTTTAAAAGGCTAGCAGCACACTTGTAATGTTTCTGGTATTGTGAGTGCTGATGAGTTGCGGTAGTCACTTACCATCAGGTTTGCCTCCTGTTTTATAAACTAAAAGATCACTGACCGACAGTCCCTGCTGAAAGCCGTACTGGCGATTACAGACCAGCTTGTGCTCCTCTAGGTACCGAAACAACTGACAGAGTGATAAAAATGTATATAGTAGTAGTATAGTTCTATAATCGTCAATTTACCGAGCCGATTTCTTTTAAAACAGATATTAATCCCGTTTAGCAACATTAATTTTGTATGAAAATTATTATATGTATCGTTTTATACCTATATTTTATATTTAATAAAAAATGTAAGTATAAATTATGAATCGGTTAAAAAAATTATAAAGCAAAGTTTTTTTTTTTTTTGGGTCAATTAAATTATGTCGTTAAAAGGGTGTCCAGACATTATCAATGTCAACAAATCAACGGCAGTTTGGATTTGCAATTATTTGGTAACGAAAATAATATAGTGACCTTATAGATAACATTAGAAGTGGACCAAATTTTATGTATAATAAACGTATTATAGGTTTTATTAAGTTGTTACTATATATACAATATTTTTCAGGAACAAGAGATAGAAGTGATTACATATGTCGATCATGTGGAAGCTGACGGTCCAGCTGCAGCAGCGGGTATGCGAGAAGGTGACGTTATATTATCAATCAACGGCGCAGACGTAGAACGAGCTGATCATGCTGTCATTGTCGATGCTATCAATGCCTGTGACTCGCGTATGCGGATGGTAGTAATTTTTGAAGATTGTGTGCGTAAAGTTGAGTTACATCTTAAATATATCAACCTTCAAAGAGCGATTCAATCCAAAATGCGAGAACTCGACCAGCTAACTGTACGTGAGAGACAACTTTTTGATACTAATTGGAAAACTCATAGCTTACCTTCGCAAAAGAAGAAGAACTCCCCGGCGGATGTTATTTCTGATAGTGAAGAAAACAATATCGGAGATAATATAAATAATCCTTATTGTAGACCTACATTGTCAAGCGAAAATGTTACGGCCGCTAAACCACCGCAGACTAATGTATTTATGTATCAATATCTTGATCCACGTTATGGAACATGTCTAATACAGCCAAATATACACACAGGCAGCTTTGTCATTACCGTAGGCTCCCCACGGAATAGACGTGATTGCCATCATTACGTAGTAAAAACTCCAGGAGAGTGTCACCGTGCACCTGATGGCCACAAAGCTAGTAGCGGAAAGCATACAAAGGGCCACAGAAGTAATCATAGTCACAGTTGTACGCCTTGTGTACCAAATTATAACAATCAAGATGCTAATAGTCTAGAAGCTTATGACCTTGCTAGTCCTTGCTGTGACCCTCATTGTGTGCCGAATACCCGAAAGAAAATTAGACGAAAAAAAGAATGCTCTAAAGAGCATAAAAGAAAAGACAAATGTCAACAAGTTGATAAATCCACACAAAAACCTGACAATTGCTCTCATACTAGAACCAAAAAAGTGTGTCCTTCAGGACATTGCTCAAGTCGTTACCGATACTTAGCAACAGAGTCTACTCAAACAAGTCAGTGTAGTCTGCAATCCTATGCAACTAGTAACGCTACAGTACCTTGCGATAATTCAGCCTCAAGTTACAGTACTTCGTTAAGTAGTGATACATTGTTTTGGGATAATGATCGTACCGAAAATAAATCATCACCAAAAATACAGTATCAGAGTTCACATCAACATGTCAAACCAAAGTCTTGGGACAATTTAACAACTAAAGCATTTGGCGGTTATGGTTTTGGATATGGTTATTTAGACACAAGTACAAAACATTCAAATCGGTCAAAAAGTCACGGGCGAAGTCACAGCGGGCGCAGTACTCAAAGTCATCATGAATATCAGCATCATTCACAGGAGAAGCATTCCCATCGACAAAGTGCAACACCACACCACTACTCTGTTTACAGCAGAGGCCATAGTACTCGATGCGCACCCACTAAGTCCACAGAGAGTTTAATCGTGGTACCCAAATATCAGTTGGAAAGTAGTGGTTCTGAAAGCAGATTAGCATGCGATTGTACTGAAACAATAGAATATTATCGCAGAATTAGCATCAACAAAAATCCAGGCGACGCCCATTCTACCAGTTACTACTCTCAACACTTTATATATCCCACGCATTCTTATAAAAAAAAAGATTCGAATGTTAGTTCTGAAATAACAAGGTTATAAGCAAATTTTATCATTGTTCTATTCAATGCTCAATTCTAGGCCTAAATAGGTTATTTATTATACCTATCTGAGTAATCATTATTAAGTAGGCATATTACATTACCTAATCTTATGTAGAAATATTAGTGCGTGATTTAAACTGCTTTGTACCTATTTGTTCGTTTAAAAAATTGTAATAATAAATGGAATTTTTAATCGCTTTTTAGAACTTTCTATTTTTATACGTTCTATTTTAATTCTGTAGCTTTATCTGTGTAGTATCCGGTATCTTCTATTCTTTATTTCCAGAAAACTAAGTAAAGATATAGAGTGTTTTTTTTTGGTTTTCTTTTTAAACGATATCCAATAAATAATATATACACCTTTCTAATTAGATGGTTAGTTTCCGTCATATACATCTCCTCATATATTAAAACAAAATTTCAATTTTCTAGACGAGTGGGGTGCGTATTAGTAAAAATATTTACTTAAAAGAATTTATAATAAATAAATTTTCAGTTTATTTTCACGCCATATTCTTTGTGGGGTAGGTCGAGAGATTTTTTTATTGTAATTATTCTCATATGAATTAAAACTACTTAATCATTTAGCTTGCGTAAAAATAACGTCATACGATCCAACAAATTCGAGATGGGTTTTATCAGTGTTTAGGTAATTATTATAATAATGATACTGCCTATGAATGTATGTCAAATGTAGTACAAGTATTTGGAATAAACGGTACAGTTTGGACTGAGAAGATATATATATATATATATATATATATATATATATATATATATATATATATATATATATATTTCCTTTTGTGAAGAGAAAATAAACCGTTCATTCATTCATTCATTCATTCATTCATTCATATATCGGATTATTTAGGTTATAAATAGTTATTAGTGTTTACTATCCCAAGAAAGTAAATGGAAATAAGTTTTTATAATGGCGCAAAACTAGTGAGTTTTGATATATGATATTGTTTTGACTTAATAGTCACATACATCATTGAAAACTCTTTAATTAAGGTAAGTAGAATTATTTTTAGGTTAAATATCTCCTAATAAGTAATCATGGTATGAGCTTGTCGTCTCATCCGCTTATCTAAGTGCCTATTGCGTTATTAATTATATAGGTACATATTTTAAACATAAAATTATTGACATACAGTGGAATCGCGTACTTTAGACATTGTTTTAGATTATTATAAATGGAATTAAAAAACACTTTTTATTTCATTCTCCTATGTACAGTGAATATTCAGATCGTACCCAAAATACTTTTCATAGTAGGCAAGTATATTAAAATATAACGGTAAAATCAATGTCTTAATCTGAATCTGATAATGTAACCGACTTCCTACGTACGAATTAAGTGTGACAAATTCATACACTATCGCTAAAACTGGGTGGGTGAACTTATATCTAATACGGGTTCATCTTGGGTTGCGAACGGGCGAGGGTCAGATGGCGGACAGTGCGCCTGCGACGTCCGCACTTCGGCAGACCGTCGCCGGGCAGCACCCTATCGGCATGCGTCGAGTTTTAGCGCGTCCAGGGCCGAAGCCCGCGCCGACGCCGTTGCGGTTACTATCTATCTCCGTTATCTTACTTATATTTGTGGCACTTACATTGAACATACCTTTAAGCGTTTATGCACTCCAAGCAAGACAGGTAAGAAATGTAACAAAATTTTCATATATCTTATAGACTGAAAAACGGAGAAACTAATTTTCAGACGAAACTAATATTTAAACAATGCCTATTTATATTTCTGAAAACTTAACCAGTTTAATAGATTTTTCTTATTTTCAGCAGTATATTGTATGTAAAAATCTCGATTCGCAAATGTGTGTTACATGGCTATTTAAATTCGAAAATGAGAAGGATATGTACGACGTTTTATCTCCATTGGCTATTACAAATCAATTTTGCGGTTTTAGCGCTCTAAAACCAATTCATCCTCACCGAAGACTTATTATGGTAAGCATTGACATGTTTCTAGTTACACAAAAAACACACACACACACAAAAGTTTGTGTTCTGACAACGACATAAATATTATATATATTAAAATATATATTGTTGTGAAATAATATACATTCTGATCTAACTATATACAAATAAAAACTGCTAAATATTAAATGAAATTTTAATATTTTTACTTTATATTTTTATATCAAGACACTAATAATGACATTATATTTATTTACTACTACTACTACTATTAATAAATTTGTGAATTAATATTTTCATTTAAAATTAATAAATTTGCTTTGCGAATTTATGTAAAAAATGCTTAGCGAAATATAATTAGTTACGTTTAGGTAATTTTATGGTTTGTCACTTTTGCTCTATTTATACTTAATATCATAATCTCAACACTTGTGTTGGTGACCTAATTTGAATACGATAAACAAGTATCGTCTTTTATGAAGCTAATGTAGAACATGAAAATGTAAGGTAATAATATGCATGTTTCGTAACATCCGTTTACCATATTTGTTGGTTTATAATAACTTTTTCATAGCCCGATCTAGATGTAATGATGACCGAATAAAAGCTAAAAAAAATTGAATTTTATTTTAGCGGGCTTCAACAAACTGATTATGGTTTGAATCGGAGATATTGTGCTATATATTAATGGCGATTTTATTTGAAAAATATATCTCTAAAATTTCTATAAAATTAATTTCTCGATGAAAGATTTAATTTAAAATAAAAAGAGATATATTATTGCTGTATAATATTATATACGTAATGCACTCTATACTAAATTTAAAAAAAAATTCTATGTAAACACCACATTATATGATCAGCAGATATTATATACCTAAGTAATTCCTCTTGTCAGAACACATCTTTTAATAAATCTATAAACAAAAGCATGATTAATTAGAATCAACCATCTAGAATCTTACTACTTAATATAATCAAATTACGATTAGACCCAGTCTGCATACGGGAAATATTTAAGAAAAAAAAAACTATATATACGGCCTTAATATAACCAAAATTTGCCAAATTAATAAGTTTCAGAAATTTTATGTATTCTAAAATTATCAGAATTATCAGAAATGGGTGAGGTTTTAATTTTTGTACCAGTAAAGAAATATCTTAAAAATCGGTGTATGTTTCATTTTGATGCATCATCTAAAATTTGTCTAATTCGTTGATGTCCACGCGTACAAAGTAACGGGCAAAAGCTTGTACAATGTAAAAAAAAACAGCTCCATTTATTTTGTATCCAATATAAATTATGTGTACCTAGTTAATTTATTGTAGGTGAACCATAACAAATATTATTAGATACTTTACTGTAGACCTATAATCTTATGATATCATACATAGATCAATATGTAATTATTAGACCAACAGTCACGAATATCAAAGATTAGCAGAGCTGAATTGAATAAGCTGTACCCCGCGTGATACAATACATAAAGCATTCTATATGCTAAGTTATAATATAAACTATCCGTGTACCAAATTTTATTTAAATCCGTTTAGTAGTTTTTGCGTCAAAAAGTAAGAAATATTCATCCATCCATTGTTACAAGCTTTCGCGTTTATTATATTCAAAGAATTTACATGAAAAGGCATTTTTTTCATAACTTAATTAATCCAATCTAAATAATTAAGCACGCATATGACTATATTATTATTATATAGAAAATGCATATAGCTACATATATTAATAGTAATATTCATTGCTATGCAGACGACAGTACAGGAGATACATTATATACCGGTCATGCAAAGATCTCGCGGGCACATACCGATGAGTGCCGGAATAGACTTGTGTCTGAAATCGAAACTTCACTCCATCAAGTTTCGATCTGGGGTGAACAAAATCTTGTCCCATTTTAACCCTAAAAAGACACAAGTCTACGCGTTTACCGCAAAAAAAAAACGCCGTTTGTCGTATCTCCTCACTTTCAGGGCACTTCCCTTGATAAAAAGTCGAGTCTAGGAATTCTGGGCGTTGATATATCTTGCGACGTCCAGTTTTGCGGTCATCTGGAGGAGAAGGCTAAGATAGCTTCCAAAAAATTAGGAGTACTCAATAGGGTGAGACGGTATTTCATGCCAGAACACCGCCTGAAATTATATAAAGCCCAAGTCAGGCTGCATATAGAATACTGTTCTCACCTGTGGGCAGGAGCGCCACAGTACCAACTCCTTCCATTAGACCGCATTCAAAGTCGGGCGGCTCGAATTATCGATAGTCAACGCCTTACTGTCCGACTTGACACACTGAAACTGCGCAGAGATGTTGCATCTCTGTGCATCTTCTACCGAATTTATCATGGGGAGTGTTCTGAGGAATTGTTCGGATTGATACCTGCTGCTGATTTTCACCACCGTACAACCCGCCACAAACTAAAGTTTCATCCCAATCATCTGGATGAGTGGCGGTCTTCCACCGTGCGTTTTTCAAGGCACTTTCTTCCACGCACAACCATTCTTTGGAATCAACTTCCAGCAGCAGTATTTCCGAACCGATACGACAACATAACCTTCAAGAAAAGAGTATATTCCTTTTTAAAAGACCGGCAGCACACCTGCAATGCCGCTGGTGTTGTGGGTGATCATGGGCGGCGGTAGTCACTTACCATCAGGTGAGCCGCATGCTCGTTTGCCCCCTGTGTTGTAAAAAAAAAACATATGTCCTCTAACCCGTCTTAACATGAAACCTTAAAGTCAGAATCTAAGATTTATATAATATATGAGTAAAAATATTCTACTGAATTGGATGTAACTTTACAGAAGACCGTCACTGCTTAGTTGATTAAAATTATTTTAATTCCGCTATCATTAGTATACGTGCGACTGCCAACATTCGAATACTGACTACTATTAATATTACCAAAAATTCTACAACCTGCCATATTAGTATATATTATATTGACAGTCGGAGATTGCTAATAATTAAACAAAATAATTATAATCAACTAAGTAGCTTAAGGTAAAGCTTATTTCTTTGCACTATGTTAGAAAAATATGTGTGTAATTAAAGAATACGCATCGTACAGGACCTATACAATAAATATTATATTTTTATGCAATATTACTATCGTTGTCCCACACCAATATAGATGATAACATAATTTGTCAAGGTTGAGTTTATTTCCTTGGCCTATTTTGTTGCACAATTTATTATCATATTTGGACCAAGAACTTAATTAAATGTGTCAAGGAAATATCGAATACCCATACGTATAATTCAGAAAATGACAATTCTCAATTATACAAATTCGTGACTATGCCTAGAACAGTCTAACTAATTATAATAATTATTATAATGTTGTAACAGGTAAAGCCGTTACATGGAAACCTAAAATCTAGACCCATATTCTGCAATACACTAATGGTTGTAACAAAAGAAGGATTTCACTTAACTGATAATACTGATGCATTCAGAAGCATATATAGAGAACGACGGCAGACTGGTTATAGTCCGAGGGGTCGATACCGGGGACAAACTCAATCGCAGTATCTAGCGATAGAAAGGGGTAACGGAAAAGATGAAGGCAAAGCTGAAGCACATTCTGCTGCAGATTCTTCAAGGGCTAGCGTTAGTAAGTATTATCGCTAATATGTTAACAGTTAACATAACGATACCACTAAAAGAGCGATTTTAATAGTGTAAATACGAAACCAATATGGGTCATGGGATTAAACCCTGTCTCTATCCATAGACAATTAATGCTAAATGGTCTTTACATTGGATAATATATATATTAACTATGGTGAAAAGCTATTATCATTTATTACGGGTAAGTTATCAGTAGAAATATGATGAATCCATATGTATATTATTTTTTAAAGATATCTTAGGTTTAGTTATACATGTTTATTAAAACATATCGATCAAAATAATTTTAAAGGAGTTCTTTGAATAGACTAAGTGATAAAATGTTACAGGTGGCAATAGCGGCATGGGGCAAGCTCAAAGTCAAACTATATATGATCCTAGTTGTGATGAATGCTATGGTCGTTCGGATATAGATGCTGCAAATTTAAGTCGAAGGCCTGGACAAACTGGTGAAAATGGATTAATATCTCAAGGTATTAAACCTGGTGGGAATGTACCAGCATCTAACCAAGGGAGTCCAGATAAAAACTTGATTCAGAATCAATATGGAAATCAAGGAGGCTCACCCAGTGGAGGCCATGGAGGATTTCATACGAATGGATCAAATCAAGGACGGAACAATGGCGAAGTACCAGCTAATACTTACACTCCTAATCAAATTATACCAGGAAGAACATATCCAACAAATCATATAAGAGCACCAGATGGAGGAGTTCAAGGAGTAACACCAGGGGGTGATTTTCATGGAAGTATGCGAGGAGTTATACCCAGTGATGGTTTGCAAATAGGAAAACCAGGAATTGGTTTTCAAGGCGCACCTGGAACTATTTCACAGGGTCAAATACCTGTTGGGGAATCTCAAAGGGGAAACAATGGTCTTCAAGGACAGGTTCCACAGTCTCAACCCGGATCTGTTTTACACGAAAGAATGCCCACTAATGTATTACATGGGATGACTCCTGGAGGAACTATTCCTGGAACAGATTCACAGAGAGGTCAGCCTGGTATCAGCTTACAAGGATTGACACCTGGAATTATCTCGCAAGGAGGGCAACCCAATATAGATTCCAGATCTGTACAAGGTTTGAGACCTGGAGGGAATTTACCTGGAACAGTGCCAAGCGGTCCCACTGCACAAGGTGGAATACCAAATAATATTCAAAACGGTCAACGGAATTTATTTTCTCAAACTACAGGAGGTTATATTCCTGGTGGTCCTTCAATACCCAGTGCTAATGGAAAGGGGCTTATAGGTAGTAATTGGCCTTTAGCTTCGGGTCCCATACAAGGCAGTGACGGTTCAATCTATTATTGTTGCATAGTTAATCCTAACTATGGTTCAGGGGGTTATAGTTTACAACCAAGTAGTCAAAATGGCCAACAAGGATTATACGATTCTCGCTTGAAGCCCTACGATGCTGGGATACAAAGTGTTAATGGGCCATATGGTTCTAGTACTATGGGACAACAAATACCTTATGGAACTACCAAACAGCAGATACCATTTGATGCTGAATCTAAGAGACAACAGATGCCATATGGAACCAGTGTTACTGGACAGCAGACACCGTATGTAACAGGTCCTACGGCACCATATGGAACAGGTTCTACGGTGCAGCAGGCACCATATGGAACAGGCACTACTGGACAACAAGCACCATATGGAACAGGTACAACTGGGCAGCAGGCGCCATATGGAACAGGCACCACCGGACAGCAGGTGCCATACGGACATGGGCATACAGCTCAACAGACACCATATGCGACTGATACCACTGGACAGCAAATACCATATGGGATTAGCACAACGGGTCAACAAACACCATATGGAACTAGCGTAACAAGTCAACAAATACCATATGGAAGTAGTACAACAGGACAAAATGTACCATATGGAACAGGTATTACAGGCCAACAAACACCATATGGAACTGGCACTACAGGTCAACGAGTGCCATATGGAACTGGTACTACAGATCAACAAACGCCATATGGAACAGGAATTTCAGGTCAACAAACGCCTTATGGAACGGGCCCTACAAGCCAACAAGCGCCATTTGGAACTGGCACTACAGGTCAACAAACACCGTATGGAACTGGCCCTACAGGTCAACAAACGCCTTATGGGACAGGCACGAGAGGTCAACAAATACCGTATGGAACTGACACTACAGGTCAACAAATACCGTATGGAACTGGCACTACAGGTCAACAAACACCATATGGAACAGGTACTACAGGCCAACGAACACCGTATGATACTGGCACTACAGGTCAACAAACGCCATATGGAACAGGTACTACAGGTCAACAAACACCGTATGGTACTGGCACTATAGATCAACAAATGCCATATGGAACAGGCACTACAGGCCAACAAACACCGTATGGAACTGGTACTACAGGCCAACAAATACCATATGGAACTGGCACTACAGGTCAACAAATGCCATATGGAACGGGCACTACAGATCAACAAACAGCGTTTGGAACTGGCACTATAGGTCAACAAGTACCTTATGGACCTGGAAATACAGGGCAACAAGCACCATACGGAACTGGCACAACAGGACAACAAATACCTTATGGAACAGGAACTACAGGACAGCAATTACCATACGACACTGGTTCGACGGGTACACTAACACAACAAATACCCTATGGAACTGGCGGTATAGGACAGCAAACACCATATAATAATGGAATGAGAGGGTCAACGGGGCAACAAATACCCAATGGACACAATGGTTATTCATATAACGAAGGAAATTCAGTTGGTCAAAATAATGTACAATATGGTCAAACTCAAGGAACAGGATACGACGACCAAAGGGTAAGAATTGTTATTATTTTTGGAATTGTAGCATTTAAAATAGATTATTAAATATAATCCTAATAAATAAAAGAAACAAAAACACTGATCTACGATCAAACCCCCCCAAAGTATCAATATTAATGCGATCAATTTAATGTTTCTGTAACGTAGCAAATTTTTAATGTACCGCGTATGCGTAAAGGGCATATTCGCACGGGGCCTGTTTTTTAAGTGACAGACATTAAATAATAATCCCTTCTGCGCTCTTAGTGATGCTGGCTGGGTACCAGTAAATTATTAAGTTCATACGAAATGTTTTTTTTTTACAACTTGGAATGGCAAACAAGCTAACGGCCCACCTGATGGAAAATGGTAACCGTCGCCTGTAGACATGAGTAGTACCAGGGACATAACGGAATATATTGTTTCACCCATGTTACCAATTACAATAGCATGGCAACGCATGGACGTTACCATTCCTGAGGACTCAAGTGTTATTCCTCTATACCCCGTAAATTGACTGTCATATCCCACCCTTCAATCCGAAACACAGCCTTGCAAACACAACTGTTTCACGATAGAAACACGAAAGGGACAGAGGTGCCCAAGCAACCGACTTTTGTATAAAGTCTCCCTCTAGTGAAGTTTAATTAATTGGCCAATTAAGATGAATTCTCCAACAATTAAGCTCAATTCTTTCCAGTCGTTACTAATAATCCTCGTCCTTTTCTATTTCTGACAAATAGTATTGATTAGTACCTGACCGTCCGTTATCGGTATACGTTGGCGGGACACCAGTGAGTAATAGGTGAGTATGAAAGCAAATTAGTTGGCCCATAGTGACGGTTTAATCACGATGATTTCTAAAGGGAACCGCGTGAAGATGAACCTGATAAGATGTATTGCTAGCTAGCAATACAACTTATCAGGTTCATCTCCTCCACTCCAAGGGTTCCTAGACCCCATTACTAGCAATTCATCCCCCCTTTAAGTATGATATGGCTAGTATTGCCAATACATATTATTACGTTATTTTATACTTAAATTATACATTCTTTTTATATTTTCAGAAGACGGGTCAGGGTGTAGATCTCACTGGTAAGTTTCGATAACTAAAAAATATTATACTATTTATGATGTACTAATACCCAATTCATCAATTAATAATTAATTAAAACTTGCATCATAGATAAAGAAAAATTGTTATGTTTAGGTTCAGACATTAGAAACGGACTATGTAAATAGATGAATCAAGAAATGTACGTAAAGGTAGAAACTATTTCCTGCTTATTCTCTCTAGATAGATGTAACTATATATAATATAATAATACTAACTACATTTGCACTTTTTCGCGTAGGGGGCATAAATTGAGAGTGCCTTAGCGGCTTAACCAACAGTTATGAAATTTAGTTTACATATACTAAATGAAATAGAGAAAGACATATGCTTGACGGTAAAAACCTAAGTTATTAATTCTAACTTTTTTTAACTAGATTTTAACATTTCTAAGCTATACACAGATAATTTGCGTATTGAAAATTTATATATGTAAAAATAAGTATATTTTTCTAAGGCGTACTGTCATTTATGGTGCTTTAAACTAATCCTTAGATAAATTTATATAAGTAGTCTATGTAAAAATATCCCAGTAAATAAACAAACAGTGAAAAAAATATTACATTAACCTAGTGATTGTTTGTTTCAGGAGAACCACAAAATGTCATAGATTCTAATTCCATACTAACAGACGGCGATGATTCACAAGCTGAAGCTAGTGTTTCACAAGGAGCAAATGGAACTGTTGCTACTGCATCTTCAAATGGTGGTAACGACAAAAGCCGCGCAGAAACTAATGTTCAAGGTACATACACGGGCACCGGATCTTTTTCAGCACAAGCTTCAATCAGCGATGATAATAAAGGAGCAGAAAGTCAAGTATCAGGCAGTAAAAGAGGAGCTTCTAGTAATGCTTCAGGCAGGGGTAAAAAGAATAAATCACAAGCTGCCGTTGAACTCGGTTCTGAAACGGGTTCTATACAGACAGATTCACAAAGTAGTGGAATCATGCATTCTTCTAATACTCAAGTGCAAGGCAGTCTAAAAGGAGGAGTCGCAGATGCACAAGCTCGAGGGCCTGGTAGTACTTCATCTCAGGCGCAAATTGGTTTCACACCTTATAAAGAAGGAGATAAGTCACACGATCTTATTACAAGACCTTTTGTAGGAGGTGGCACAGCTTCAGCACATTCAAGCGGTCGGATGGGCACATCACAATCACAATTAAGAGGTACTTTCAAGTATGGTATCACATACAACGGGGCCGCTCAGGCTGGAGCAAGTTTAGATAAGGATGCTGTATTTTCTAATCTACAGCCTTTCGATAAAATAGATGTTTATGATAAAAATAATACAAATATTAATGTTTATGATGCTGAAACAGATACTTTATCAACTACACCGTTTGACGTAGAATTGACGACAGAAAGAATTTATGAAGAACCTCTAAGACCGTCCGAAGAAAAAAATTCTGACCACACTCATTCTGATCATCATAAGTCATTGGAGCCATTAAACACTACTAATGTATCACCGATAGTTGGAAACAGACGTGCTTTTCCATCAGCTTATGGTAATAATGGCGATTATGAATACAACGTTGACGATAATCCCACAGAAGAATATGACTTAGAAGATGTTGCTGACGGAAATGATGCTGGTCAAACAGAACAAGGAGAATATAGTATTTACGATAACTACGCCCGCGAATCAGATGTAACTCATGAATCCCTTCATAGTCCGAGTCAAAAGGGTTTGGATGTTCGACAGACTACTGGCGGTAACACACAACATATATTAATAGGCTCACTAAAGAATCAAGATGCAAAAATTACACAAATAAAATCCGAACGTCCAGATGAAAGTAAAATATATCAACCTGGAGAACGAGTACCAGGTATGGGAGGATACGTAATTCCAGTAGGTTTTACAGGCAGTGTGAAATCCGTTGCATCTAAAGACAAAACTTATGTAGTAGGGTCAAGAGGTTCACCATCACAAGCTCAAACAGTAACTCTTACTCCAGGTACAGGTAAAATAAAATATATATATCCAGAGCGATACAGCAAAAGTGTACATCCTAAAGACTTAAGATCACTCTATAATTCTAAACCTGTCGATAACCGCTACGTCTCAGTTTCAAAGTCAGTAACACGTGATTTAGATAGTGAAAACAACATCCGTAAGCAATACTCACATACATATTATACAAAATCCTCATCTTGTGGATATTTTACTTTTACGTGTACAATGGTAAGCAGTTCAGAGGGTAAGAAAAAGGTGTGCAAGCCTAAAATACCTACAAATCCCGATGGGACGCCAATGAGGTGTTAATGTTTAAGTATTTTGTTTATTGTTAAATATAATAATCTACATTTACTATAGCAATTAAACTGTTATTGGTATATCTAAATAAAATTAGTTAGTTAATTGCCATTTGTTGTCAGTTTAACATAAAATTGTATATAAATGTTAAATAAAAACCAAAACTTCAATTTGTCTTTTTTTTTAATATATGTTATATAAAATGAAAAAATAATATATAAACCCCGCTTGCATAGTACCTGTATATGACGGAGCTATATTTTAAAGCATATATGTATCCAAACGAATAATAATAATAGGCATATCACTGAGCGCCATCTAGTCGCAAACTAAGCAAAGTTTGTACTATAGCTATCTATAAACATAGCACTTGGCATTAATACTTTTTACTATCATCATCATTTCAACCATTATCCGTCCACAGTTGGACATAAGCCTCCCCCATAGAAAAGGATCGGTCTTGAGCCACCCGCATCCAAACTCCCTGCTATGTATTGATGAGGTCATCACTCCATCTACTGGAGAGTCGTCCTACACTGCGTTTACCCTTACAGGGTCGCCACTCAAGAACCTTTTTTTCTCATCGGTTGTCGGTTCTTCCGAGTTATGTAATTAGTCCATTGCCACTTCAGCTTGCTTATCCTTCGGATTATGTCGGTTACTTTGGTTTTTTTGCGGATATCCTAGTTTCGGATTATATTTAAACACATTTTTTACTATGTAGTGAATTAATATTATAACAATGTATCAGTGAAAAAAAAATAAAATACGTAGTAGAATGATATATTTTAATGGAAATGACCAAGGTACATATCATTTTAAGTTACAATATAATCATCACATAGACAGATAAGAACGAACATTTAAATAAGTATTGCAAATTCTAAAATACTTTTTTAAAAAGAAAAAGGTGCTGTTTTTACAGATCTATAAGTATCTAATTATTATTATAAAGATGGTCACTGTTACGAAATAAATGTAGGTGTAAGGTAGGTAAATAGCACACAGTAAGAAAATCAACCACAATAACTAAATAGTAAAATCCAATAATTTTCAATAAGGATTTGCCTTTATATTTAATATATGATATTTAAAGCTTTCTCATTTACACGACTATTTTGGTTGCATTAAAAAAAAAAGGATAAGATGACCTACGAATAATAACAACATATTGCTGATAATTTTTTTTGTTCTTTAATTCAGTGACAATCTTTATAAAACAACAAAAATAACATTAAATTGTAAATACATATAAGAATTCATACATTGTTTTAAATGTAAAACTTAAGTACAGAGCACACTGTTTATTGACAATCATCATGGAAATAAACAGTCGGTGGGAATGTAAAATATCTTTTATTAATAGTAACATAATGTCTTAAACATATCCATCATCATTAAACCATAAATATAAAAAAGAAACAAGACGCCAAGCGCTGTTTCTAATTCATTGGTTCAACATATTCTACAACAGATAATCCGGTCATTATTCCATCCCTGAGATATAGTCATAGATTTTTATTATTTGCAAATTGGTAATAATAATACAAACATATCAACATTTTTTATATCAATTTTCAAGTTTTGTATCAAATAAAATATAAATTAAAAATTAAAAGAAGTCATTATAATCGTATAATAAATAATAGGTACGTATGTATTAAAAATATCATTATTTAAACTTAATTAAAAAACAATAAAGGCGGTAAGTTTATGTCCTGACTCTTGATGTAGATAATAACGCTCGGCGAAATGTAGCAACAATGGACAAAATGCAGCTCGAAAATCGTAATTCACATACGCCACTTCACTCCGATATCAAAACATTAATTAGTCAAAGCATGAGGTAATAACAACACAATATGTTATACTTATAACGTTAAATTGAGTAAGAAATCTAACTCAGCTGCGCCACTTTTTAGTAGCTTCCTGAAACATTATTATGCCAGTTACACCATTATTCCTTAAAAATATGCGATCAATTTCATGACAGAGCTTTTGGATACACATCTATACCTCTCTAAGTATGTATTTGACAAATCAAGTTGAAGGAATGATTTGAACGTGTAATATGTAGTATTATTAATTAATTGATGAACTGTTTTTGCAAAATAAACTTATTATTAGAAGTAGTGTTAAGAGGTATGAAACATACTGTAAGACTTTTATTTTCAAAGACACGTCATAGCCTTATAAATTCATTGAGTTCTATTAAGACAGATTATAGTTTTCTAGTTAAAATAGAAATAAATATTCACATAAGCAGATGAAATGATAAATGTTGAACGTGTAATATATTAGAATAAAAGCCAAGGATTGACAGGAACAACTGTTACTTTCGGCAAGATAGAAATGTGCAGAGCGAAAAATCGAATCATTGGGCGCTTGTTTCGTGGATTAAAGAAGAGTATTTGTTGATAGGTGATGGTTATCATTTTAAACAGGTGTCGTAAAATAATATACTCTGTAGACTACATACTACATGTGTTTTATTCACCCATTATCGCCCCAACTATTAAGAGCGGTCATGATAATTTCATAACGTTAAATATCAATTTGATTATCAGTTTCTAGTCTATTCGTATTCGTAACTATAAGAATGTTTAACCGACAAACCTCTTTTAGCTTATGTAGTGTTTCATCTCTTTCTTTTGAGTCGTACTCTTATTTCATAGAAAATGACAAAACTCTAATTACTACACTTACTATAGGTTTTGTTTTCATAAATAATACGAAACATTTTCAAATGGATGCAAATAATGCGACAAATATTTTCTTTTGAACAATAAGTTCTTAAAATTTTTATTGAGCAGACTTTTGAGTATTATTTAAAATATAGTGCATATATTAAATTTTACAATACAAAAAGCACTTAAAGAAACAAACGAATCTAGCATGCATAATTCTATAATATAATAACCATATTTAATTAACCATAATTTCATATTAATTTTATAAATGTCAATGACACCTACAATATGTGAAATATGATGAACAAACAAAATTATGAGGTATTGAGATTAGCATAGACTACAGAGACAGCATACAACATCGCAATTTAATCCGATCATTTTGATAAGTTTCGATAACGTTCAATCAACTACCGGACTATAAACTTAATGGAATGTGTGTGTATGTTTATGACAGTTATTTTTCTGATAAAAAGCCCAGCAGAGCCTCCAGTACTGTAATGGCGTATAATGCTAGCAATATTTCAAATACTATTAGAACACGGGCATTGAACATAAAAGAAATGCGAAGTGTCCTCTGAGTCTAATAGTCGACGCATATTTATATAATGACAATATAATTTGTAATTTCTTATATAATACATAGTGAATCATACTTATGTATATTTACAAAATATGAGATTCTTCATATATTAAATTGAATGAATATACTGATGTCAAATTTAAAATATTAGTTGGGTCTTTACGTATTTATTGAATAAATACATATAATTCATTTACATTTCAGTCTGATGTATGGAATGTATTCAGGTAACAAGGTACACAATATCTGTATACGCTTATAAGTAAATAATAGCTGTGCGTAATAAATAAGTTTTGTAGCAACATATAATTTAGTAAACATAATTTCAACCTAAAAATATTTTATAATTTAGCTATATCTGAATTAAAAAGGAGGTGTTTAATGTGTCTTCGTTATATCGTCATAAGACTCGTACTGTATGCTGTAAGTACGTTCTAATCATTATTAGTCCAAAATAAAATTAGGAAAAAATTAAAAAGGATGATTAATGTCTATGAGATATCTAATATTAAAAAAAAAAGACTTTATATTTTGAAATAAGGCTGCCTTTTAAGATATACATATAAGTTATCATAAAAAATACTACATGCAAATACGAGTAATGCTTTTTCATGGCAATATTTGGACTAGACGGTGGATTAAATTAAAAAACGAGATCAAATACATTCGTAATTAATCTACTTTTTATTCCCTTTTCCATTAAAATATTTAATACAGTACGGAGCTCATACAACGCACAAAAATAAAGCAAAGACAATAATAAAAAATATAACTAAACCTATAATGGCAACCGACGTTTGTACGTTTTGCATGGCAGGTATGTTATCAAATCAATACATGTTTTTAATGGCTAACCTTATAATGAGCCTAACAATATTAATTGTAAACAATAAGTACTTGAAAATACATGAAAGGGACAATTTATAATGTACACATTCTAATAAAACTAAAATTACTTATTTTGAATGACTAAATTTTTTCACATTTTAAGAGTGAATAATTCCGTTGTTATTAGCTGCAGTGATTAATCAAAATTTATAATAATCAAATGTGCTTGAAATATTTTATTTTACATATTTAATAAATTATACGCCTACAACTCGATACAATACGCTGTATATTAGCTATATTAAAAAAATAACATTGGGACCGATTCAGTTTAGCCTTTTTCAACATCATAACTACTTTGATAGAATAGCGGTTCAAGACAGTGCCTTACATTAATTTTTTTTAATTTCTAGTAAACGTCTTGATATCATTTTAAATCGAGCATCGATTGAGCTAAAATTACAGTAACTCTTTGATAAGTGTACATTTGAATTAAACTCAAGTTTAATTTGTGTCTTAAACACAAAATTAAACTTACTATTGAGATTTGTTTATTACCCCTTTATTCATAAAAACTAACTAAGCGTATTTGAACTATTAAAGTGTTTTGTCACTGTCTTTCAAATTGAGAATTAAGTGAAAAAGGACAAAGCACTTCATTAGCTAACAAAGGTTTATGAGAGGTTTGATTTTTTTATGAACAAGGGATCAGAGCGTACTTCTCTTATTATTTATTATATATCAGTGGTAAAACTTATATAAAATATAGGAATTGGTTCGATTGTTACTTTTGACATTAGAGTATATTTTTTAAAATTACTTAAATAATAATTACAAATAAAGAAGATAAGTTCAATATTAATGATTTTTGACATTTCTAAATTGTGTAAAATATGTAATAACCTGCATGCAAAGTAGCTTGAATACATAATTTTTTAATCTATCTAACTATATTTCACATTTTTAATATAAAAATAAATATATTTAGGTATATAGGTTTTTTCAAAAGCCCAAAATTTCGATAAACATTTTTACCAAGAGCGATATACAAGTTTGTGTGTGGAACAGTCAGCAGGGTCAAAAACGACATAATAGCGTTTTATTCTAAAATGTCTCTATAATAATATCTTTTATTAAGAAACATGTTTAGAGCATAAGATCTTAGAATCGGCCCCATTGTATACTTACTTAATCCTATATGAATTAAATCGTAAAATCATGAAACATATTACATCGAATTATTAAACAATGATACGATATAGATCAATGGAATGATCAGAAACATACAATTAATGCACACAACGCATAGCATTACCCAAACCATAAATTATTGGCCACACATATACATTCAAACACAGAAAACACACAACACAATTATGTAAACACGGAAATATAATCATTAATATGAGATCAATTTTCAGAGTAGCATTAATACAATAAAATAAGTACATTACGAAATTCATTAAAATGGCGAGATAAAAGTAGGTAAATACTGATGGGCAAGGAACTTGGATTTAAATGACTTTATTTTATAAAGTCATATGGAAAAATACATTACAAAAACATCCGAAGTCGGATTTTAATCGGATTTACATTTAATAAACAAATATAAGATCATATAGATCTTATATTTGTTTATTAAATGTAGCCTTCATTATTTATTTATGATCAAGCATTAAAATTATGTCATATATATATATATATATATATATATATATATATATATATATATATATATATATATATATACAATGAGTTTTCGTGAGCATGAGTAAATATTAAAATATAGGTAATAATTACAAGAAATTATAAAGAAAAATATATATACGTTAATTTAAAGTGAGCAATACCACTTATATGTATATAAAATGACATTGAACTCTTATCACCAGGCTTTCAAAATAAATATATCGATCGCGCTAAAATTGGTCCAATCGATTTAGCTGTCTTTGTTGAATATAAAACTTCTCCCATTAATATATTGAAATGCAATATTACTCGAGTTTCTTAACTAATTATTAAACTTTTGTCTATATTTATTCCTTTTGAATTTGAATAAAGATAGCTTAACAAAAAGCATAAAGAACACTTGATAAGATATTAAGTTACGCCAGGTCTGTATAGCAAAATTCCTGGCGGTTTTGTTTAGTCTCTACCATAATTAAATTCCACCAATAAATGATTGAGAGAAATATGAACTTTACAATAAAATTTCACTGGTAACTAGTAAATAAAGTGCGCGGATAGTTATGTATGCATTTAGATAAATCGAATCTCTCAATGATTATTATTGCCGACTTAATAGCCATATGTCTTGTACACAAATAATTATAGAATTCCAATTTGTTGTAATAGAAGTCGTATTTAGACTCATAGTTTTTAGCAATTAAAATAAAATCACAGGCTTTCACCTTTTAAGTAGCTCCACGAAGACGCTTCAGACGTTCTTTTTCTAAATTGTCGACAGGCGGCTCTCGCTCGAACGATGTTAACTCCAGAGCTGTAAATAAAATTTATGACACAGTTTAACCGATCAGAAAAATACATCTTAGTCACTGAGTGACATATGCAGAATTGCGTTAAGTATGAAAAAAAGAACAAGTCTGATTATCAAACAAGCTCTGTAAATTAACGTGCCACTAAGTATATATTTTCTTACATACAAATTCAAATTAGTGGACTTATTCATACAAAATTAGAATAGTAAAAAATGGAAAAGCAATTACCGTTTTCAGTGAGCGTGGCTCTGTCGCTCAGAAATCGCCAGACCGTAGCGATAGGTGTGGGACCGGGCGGCGCTGGTGGTTCGTCGGTGGTCAGCCTTCGCCCCGCAAGTTGCGTGCACACATGTCGCGCGAGGAGAGAACACTTTTCGAAATTGACACGGTTACCCGCTAACCTGTTAACAAAAGGGTGAAAAGAATATTTAGTAATAAAGGTGCTCCTTCAGCACCTTATTACTAAATATATTCTATTAGCTAGCAATATATTCTATCAGGTCGACTTTCACGCAGTCTCCCCTGGGAACCATCGTGGTTAATTTCTGATGAATTTGTCACGGGCTATCTGACCTTTTTTCATCCTCGTCTGTCACCTTTCATTACTGCTCCGCCAACGTATATCAATAGCGCAAACGGGATTGCCATTTCGTTATCACTTATTAAAAAAAGCTCTTATCAATATATTTCAAGGTTTTCAGAGAAATAACATATTGTCCTATATAATTAAATGTAGATATGAGTGTCAGTCTTTACAGAAGACTGCCATATATAATGTCAGTAAGATTGTTAAAGCTGGCATGGACATTTACATATAGGCTACGATATGGCTACACCAATTAGCCAAGCAAATATAGCGTATGAATTTATTTTAATGCAATATAAACAAACTGATAATCAACCCGATCATAGGACGGTCTGCTACTGTTTAATAGTAGTACAAATAAAAAAAAAATACTAATAGATTGTTTCGATTTGTGAATGTCATTTAAAGAGTACTGTGATAATTTCAACAAACTTGGTTACCTTTTTTATTAAGGTCTATTTAAAGGGACTATAGCATATTGTGTTCCTATAAAAGTCAACAAATGACAAGTTTTCATATGGTAGTTCTTGATTTTTAAAGAATAACAAATTTAACTAGAACAGTGTAATTCTGAGAAAATTAACTTATCTTGAGGTTCAGTTGAACAAAGTATTATTCTGTGTAAAATAATTCTTTGATACTTACTTCGATGGAGAGCCCTGGTTGGCAAAATGTAAATCTCTGCAGGTCACTGATAATAACGGTACCGCCGTTTCGGTGGGAGCTGCCGCTAATGCCGCCCTGTACCTGTATACGTTATTTGATTAGCAGTTATTATAAACATGACCAAGAACATCTCTATATAAATTTTCCACTTTATTCTCAATAGTTGAATAAATATAATAATACTAATAAATATTATAAACATAAGTAATAGTGTATTTGTTTTTTGTTACTTCTTAAAGCCTTAACGACTCAATGAACTAACCAATTTTGATATACATGTACAATAAGGGTATAAACTTCTTATCTCGGTCAATTGAGATATCCAAGTTGCGGGGAAGTCGGAAGTAAAAGGTAATTTAGAAACATTAACGAAATACAACAAACGAAACATATTTACATAAACACATCTATTGTCTATATTTATCGCTAGAAAAGATTAGGGATCCTTACTACCTTTAGCAACGTAACTCAAAGTGTAAAAAAATACTATAAAATATCTTTCGTCGCGTGCGCTGCGAAAACTATTGATGATAGAACAAAATTATGTTCTACAATATTGAAGAAAATATCAATAACTACAAAAAAACTCCGCAATATTATATATACAACTATTATCGTTATGTCACAGTAACCACTTTTTACATTTTAAAAGTTGATAGAAATACCGATCAAAATTACACCATGTTATTCATTCTTCTGTTTAATCCTTATCCAAATAAATCATATTGTTTTTAAAACTGTTTCAATTTATGTAGGTTACTTTTTGAATTGTTGAAATCGGCTATTAAAACGTTGAATCATTTTTGAGACTTGATGCTCTATCTATATTAATCTAAGAAAATATGTGTAACAATATTACCTAGCGTGATTGCCACTGGGCTCTACACATAGTTCCAACTGCCGCAGTTGCTGACCACACACGGCAGATGTTCGACTCCACTGAAAAAAAATTTATAAGTTTCACACTGACACTGACAATTTATTTTATTATAAACATTTCAATAATTATTACCGTCTTCTTGAGCCTTGTAACGGGAGACATGTTGAGAGCACTGATAATAGCCATAAGAGAATTAAAATTTCCGAGATTAAAACACTCCCTAGCGGTCATTACCCATTGTTCTATCACTCTGGCTCTATATTTGCTTTTTACAGCCTGTAATAGAAAAAATCTTATAAGACAACATAGCGTTAAATCTTCAGCTCTATTTGTTTGTTTATCTATTTGTGCACTATTATTTATCCTCTGTACAAAGCGTAAAAAGGGAAAATATTAACTTGTTTATTTGAGAACATTCTCAAGATGTGATATATATTCTTACAACCTTTTTATCATTGGATTTATGTTTAAAAATGAATACAAACATTACCTTCAAAATATCAGTGGCAACTAAATAACTGAGTCTATTAAACCAATCCGCATAAGCTTCTAAGTTCCTTGTGCATTTCGTTTCAATGTGGTGTAAATTGATAGTATTTTTGCCACAAGAAGTTGACTGTGGTGGTTGTACTGGAGCAAATGTTTGAACAAATTCTTCAGGACCAACAAATGATAGTCTATGCAATTCAACTATTGTCAACTGATTTGCTAATTCTACTGGTGACAAACCTAGTGTTAAAATATCGCCCTGAAAAATCAAATAAATCAGTTTGAATATGAAATACAATGTAAAAAAATAAACAAATGGTAGTTTGCAGGACATTTCATATTAATTTACAATAGACATTTTTAAGTGGCATTACTACATTAAAGCATATTTGTACCTGAGCTAACTGATCTACAGATGACACTTGTGGAATTTCTATCAAAGTTTCTTCATACTGTTCAAGAGCTGTTAACTTATCAAGTAGCTTTTCCAACATCGTTGATACTTCCACTCTCACTGAAGCCATATGCTCTGCTGCACATCTATTTAAATTACATACAGAAATATTATTCAAATAAATATGTAATCAGTAAAAATTTTAAAAAGGTAATCTCAGAAAATTATTAAGTGTACCGAACATTACAACAGCACACATAGATATACTGTCATATCACAAGATGAATTGCATTCAGCATGCTTATAACACAACTATATTCTTTTATTATAATATAATTGTATGCAAGTAACCTTTGTGTAATACTTCGAACAAGCGCCATGACTCTGTCGTCACGAAAATCATAAGGAAACATACTGGTCCACTGATTCAATACTCTTACAAGAGATGTCATATCATTTAATTCCTTTTGAAGTGAATCTTTTACTTCAGTTTTTCCCTACAATGATGAATACAAGTCATTAATAAAATTGATCAATATTTATGTCATACACTATAATAACTCTGTCTTACACTACTTAATACTCACTATTTTTTCATAGTTTTTAAAATACCTCTTGCACAGCTTACTTAACAATTCATGTGGCTTAACGAAAAGGCGGGAGCAAAGTAAAAAAGTAAATGTAAATGATTTACTTGCTCCTGGTCTTAGCATATCTACTAATGAGTCTAATGCAGCGCTCACTATTTGACCATCCTTGTATTCAATATCTGATTTATCAGTTGGACAGTTCACATATGGAAGCGCTGATATTGACTTCACACTGGGTGGTAAAACACTAGATAACTGAAATAAATAATATTTCTCGGCTCAATTTTATAAATTAATATTTATGTATTTATTATAATAAAAATGCATGTCTAATGACATGCATTTTTTCAGAAGGTAATAAATATACCAACAATTTAATAAACAAACAATAAAACTATTCTAAATTAAAATCACAATTCTCTCTTTATTAATTTCATTTTTTTTTTCTAATTGTAATATTATACTTATATACATGCCTACTAATGTTATAAATGTGATGTTTCTTTGTTACTTTATAGCACCATAATGGCTTAAATAGCAGCTATGAAATTCGGGGTACAGGTATTAAATGGAAAGGAGAAGAATATAGGCTACTTTTAATCCATTACTCAATAAACATATTCTAATTAAGTGGACGAAGTCGTAAGTAAAATTTTAATATATTTTATTTTCGTAATATAATCTTGCTAATATAATAAAATTATAATTTGACGATGTCTGCATATGGCAAATATTTAATAAAAATTAAAAATTGGCAAAACAATAATTTTTAGAAATTTTTTCTATCTGTATATTAGTTCTGACATTACACAATAACTACAGTACCAAATTTGAAGCACTTTTCACAATTGTGTTCCAGAATATCTAATTTAAAATCGCACATGTTTTATCTTGATATTCCATCCAGAAGTAATAATAAACTTAGTAATAATAGTTAGTTTATTTAATTGGTTTTTCTATTTATGAAATCCACTAAGCAAATAAACACCATAAACCAAAAAGCTAAACAAGTTTCATTGCACTAAGAATATGTATTGTCTATGTAACTGTTTACTTGAAATAAATATATAAAGTCACTCAGTAATCAATGAAATTATTCCAATGTTATTTAGCTTACCTGGGGTGCTTCTACTTTCTGAGTGGATACAAAATTGATGCCACCATTCATTACAATATGTTTACAAGTTGTTTCTGACATGAACTTGTTTCCACGTACCATTGAATAATAGTCATCATTCTGTAAAAATATAAATAAAATTAAGAAATAATGATATAATATAAAAAAATATATATCTATTTTATTACAATTTCATTGTTACACCCACTCCAGAGGATTATAGTATAATTCTTTTATAGCCTCTAATTTCTCTGCCATATCGTACATAAAGGCACACACAAGGATAGACACTGAAACACAGCTACTTCATAGCAGAAACATATGACGAACAGTTGTACCCAAGCAAATAATTTTTTACCAAAATCAACCTTTGGTTCTCTAAAGATATTATAAATCTACCTACCTATAATCTCTAGAGATCTACCTTTCCAGCTTGCAAAATATAGACTAGTAAACTAAGTGAAAAATCTAATTTGCCAGAGATTTTAAATTTAATAGTCATGATCACTCTCATATGAACTAACTATTATGAACTGTGAACTATCATATGAAATTGTATGTGGATAGATTGCAAAATTTGTCTATAAAATAATATTATATAACAAAATTAAAATAAAACTGTTTCTAATTTCTACCATTGATTTTTAATAGTTAAATTAGAGCTAGTTATAACATCTATCTTTTATGGGATGTTTATAAGAGATAATTATTTTCTGGACAGTTTTGAAATATAATGTCAAGTGCTTTTCAATATTAATTTTTAATAACTTTTTTTTTTCTTTTTCTAGTCTGCTAATTGGCAATCTGTTCCTTACAGAACAATAATCCAATCTGCTGTTTGGATGTCAGGTTTAAATCTTGTTAATATATGATGAGGCCAATCCATTAACCAGCTCTCAGTCTCTGTCTGTAAATCTTTCTACCAGTCCTTGGATACTGTATCTTTTTAATCGAGAGAAACTAATGCTTCCCGATCCCTGTAATTGAGCAGCCAATTCATTTCTATGGCTGTTCAATCTGGACTGATAGTTTTTGCTGAATGTCTCGATTTCCTGTTTTATCGTTTTTAGTTTGATGTCCATATACATAAATTTATTACTTATATATTGTGGTATATTAAGCATGTTTCTTATTGTCTTACTTTGGAACCTTTCCAGTATTTCTATATTGCTGTTACTAGCTGAGCCTAGAATTTTTAATAACTAAATGATAAATAAACCATTGTTTTTATTTCCTTATTAATGAATAAAAGTTATTAAGTTATAAAAATGTTATTTTTAATGAAATTAATAAATATATTCTGCATGTAAGTTTAATTTTAAAAAATATAAGTAATAAATATTAGAAATATTAAGAAAAAACTGACAACTTACATCATAGTATGAGAGCCCGGTACCATGAAGCAGGGTTGGATCAGGAGGTAGTGGTGCATGATCGGTGGGAGGAGGTGGAACTGGTGCTGGTTCTGTGGGTGCGGGGGGTACTTTTATATTGCAGCCGCTACATGAGGCCTCATTCAATTTACTTGCGTAATAATACATAGCCATTCAATTCCTCAATGACAACTTATACTAAAGGCTTCAATTGAAGCCTCACTGGAACATTTCACTTTAAGGAACCCATTGGATGATCTGTGAAAATATTTATTATATTTGAATAAAATTAATTGTACCCTTTTGAACAGTGTGATGGCAAACTGAATTAAACAGATAAACATTTTTTTATATTCAGGATATATGATTTTTTTATTGCAAAGTATGTAAACATTGAACTGAGATGTTATTTATTTTAACAAGATAGAATGAAAAATAATAATATACGTATCAATTTGCAAAATTACTAAATCAATTTTATAACATAAATTACTATTCAAAATTATTGAAATTGGAAACGAAAATACCTACTACACATACTGACAAAACTACTGTGCGACAATCTGTTATTGAAAGTTCAGGTTTCTATAAAATATAATTATATTTAACAAGAAATTAAGCCTAACAGCGGGCAGTTGTTTATAACGCAATTATTAAACTAATTTAATAGTAATCGGTACTTTAATGATAGAAAAACAACTGAAATACATTACATTTCTATTAAAAAAAATTTCGATGTAGTTTCCTCTTTAGGAAATATCGACAGGCGATTTCTTGTTGAAAGCTGCTTTGGGTGAAAGTTGTATCGGAATTAGGAATCTTTTGCCTTACCTTTTACAGAACTTGTTTGTGTGGTTTGACTGTTTATAATATAAATTCGCACTTTACACTTATGATAATTTTCTACAATTACTGACAATTTTATTTTTAATTAAATATTTTGTTATAAAAAAGCAAATAGCGCCAATTGAGTACCTAACTACATGGAATAGGTACCTACTTGCACTACCTACTCTTTTACATAGGTAGCTACATACTATTACCACCACATATTATTAAAACCTCTACAGACGTTCAATCGAGGGACGGTTTCATTGAGCTTTTTGCGTCGTTGTTCTTCGGCGCACGAGATCGTCTACGGTAGCCATTACTTATGTCTTATTGTTGTTGCTGATATTATAGAGAAAGTGTCTGCCGTTTTTAAAATAATAAACGAAACTAAACTTTCTTTTTAGCTTTAAGAGCAAACACCGTGCAATATGAACTGTTCACAAACGATTATTATTTATTATTGAAAAATGGTGTTATATAACGTATTAAGATTATTTTCTAATCGCTGAAATTGTTTTGTGTGACAAACATGTGTTTTTTTGCTTTATTACAAAAAGTGTTAATGGACCCGTATTTGAGATATTTTTTTTCTAAACGTATGTCTAAAATAAAAATTTCAGTTTAACATCACAGCGAAATTTTTATTTAAAGGAGTAATATGAACTAAAATTTTAGACAAAGTTATTATAAAGTTAGTTTATAATAATCCATAAAACAGTATTTTTTCAACGATTAATTTAAATATAAATAAATAATAAATATCATTTTAAGAAATGCCATTTTAACAAGTGAAGATTAATTAAAAAATTTTGTTCATGGCAATACTGTAAAGAAAAAACAATAAACAACAAAAAAATGACGCGGGAAATACGAAATTCGTAATTCGATCAAACTCATATCATAGGTATCCAAGGTTATAAATAAAAAAAATAGATATTGTAGCTACTTACTCTGCTTAGTGGTTATTTAAATAATTTGTCACTATTTGTATTTCTACAACAATAAATAAAAAGTTTATAATTATATTTCTGAATTATAATGTCCTAAGTGAGAACACATTGTAACTAAAGAAATATTTTTGACGATGTTGAATGAAAATGTTAAACGTAAGACCCATTCAACAACTTTGCCAGCAATTGAAACACTTCAAAGAAACGTTCGTAAAGTCCCTACATATTATTTAAGGTAAGGATTAGATCTATAACTTCTACAGCATATAATTGAAGACAAACCATATCTGAGGTACTTAGGTGATTTGGTATTGATAAAAAATAAAAGATTTCGCTTCTGTTCCATTTGTTATTTACACAATTTCTACTTTTTGTTTCTCTTGGAATCTAAATAAATGAAATTTGTTATAGTTATAGTTAACAAATTTTAAGAAGATTTGGGTATGATACTTCTTAAATTTTAGGTTTATTCATAATATTGACAGTATTTTGTATTAGATGCTTACTAATTTTATTAAGACTGAATTGTCATAAAATTGACACACATTCCCTGATGATTAAAAAAACTGCAGTCACTGATACGAAGGGCATGTAGATAGCATTTAAACCTAGCAATATGGTGATTAACTATGTCTTGAGCCTCAGTCACATTCTAATAAGGTTTTTTTGGGTGAGAATACATTACGGGATCGTAGGTAAAAAAGTTTCTTCGGGATACGTAACATGGCATCTCTAGTTTGAGACTATAGGCATATGCCACAGATCAATATGTATTTGAATACGTACGTACGTACAACGTAATTCAATATAGGGTAGATAAAATGAATTTTATAAAAAAATTACTTGTTGCAGAAAACCTCGTGATATTCCTTTTCACTTACCCCATAAAAAACTATTGGAAAAAATTGAGAATGTTAAAAGGGAACCAGAACCATTGGTAAGACTAAAATTTTGTATGACCAGTACAACACTACCCGGAGAGGGTTGGGTGAAGGGATTGTTTGTAATGGAATCTAACAGCCCCATGGCTAACAATATACATCCTGTTAGATTAACCTCCGCGTGGTTAACCCTGGAAACCATTGTAGTTCCAGGACAAAACCCATGGAGGTCGATTTAACAGAGTATATTTTTTATGGTGAAATTGGAATGATAACCTCGCCTGTGCTAACGGAATATGCTAGCAGAACACCACTGAAGGGTGATAGATGAAAATGGAAACAAGTCGGTTAGCTCCTCAATAACGAATTCGTCAGAAATGAATCACGATGGTTTCCAGGACGGATTGCTTGGAGGTCGACCTGGTTGAATATATACAACAATTTATATTGGGGGGGGGGGGGGGGAGGAAGAAATTGTTAGTAATGCAGACTACCAGTCCCATTACTAGCAATATATCTTGTCAGGTTGAACTCCACGCTGCACACATTAGCTGTTGGAATTAATTCTTAGTGTTTTTCTAATAAAATAATAAAAATATGGGTGGGGTAGGACTTCGTTTTTAAGTACGTTTGTATCGATTTTACGAGGTACGGACGAGTATTATAGTGCAGAAAATTGACTGTCGTGTTTTTCGGAGTATTTCAGCCATTTTTCTTTGATCGCACGACTCAATTGCATCAATTAAATTCGGTAGCGATCCCCACTTATGGTTTCTGCACTTTGGATTACCTTAATGGATCCATTTTTCGTCACCAGTGACAATTCGATGCAAAAACATCTCATCATGTTCTTTCCTTCTGTTGAAGCAGCAGTTCACATGTCAAAAAACGCTTCTCAATGTTCCTTAGTTTCAAATTATATGGGACTCAATGTCCCTCCTTCTGGTTTGTACCTAACATTTTAAGACGTTTTCCTACCCTCGTCAACTTCCAATGATGTAGACAATTCTTAAAGTGTTGAAGATAACTTGAAATAATGAAGTAAATCTCTCCAAAAAACATACTTTATTTGGCACAAATGTTGACATGTTTAATAAATTATAAGGTACCTACTTGTTGTTAATTATGATTTAAAGAGAGGTTATGGCGAGCAAATGGCGCTCAATAATAGTTGTTTCAAGATGAATAGATTAATTTTAGTTACAACAAAATACTGACCAACTTACGCCATATTTCGTAAAACGCTACGAATTAATTCCAACACCTAACATTTCCTTTGTTACGACCTTTAAGATTGATACAATATTTTCTATCTTCGTGTCTTTTGCGGTAGGCAGAGAACCGAGCGCTAAATGTCTCTATCCTTTCATATATTAATGCGAATACATTTTAGACGGAGCAACTAGTTACATTATTTATATATATAGAGCAGACATTTCATTAACGTAGCTTAACATTTTGAGACATTTATTTAAATACAGAATGAACAGTATGCTCTGCCAGAAAAACTTGTGTGTTTGTCTATTTCAAATTCAATTTTTTTTTTCTATTTTCCTTTATATAAACTAGTTATAAAAAAAAAAAACTAAAATCTTTAGATCAGATTGCAGTTAGACAACTAAGATGTGTCCCTAACTACAGTTACTGTATCTAATCATTTTAGCAAACACATGATCGATCCCAGCAGATATTTTACTTTTCATACCTGTATTACTCATTCTATTTCTTCTATACTGGTATCATTTAATTATGAACTCTTAAACCGCGCCTTATGTTTTCTTTTGCTATATAGCATTTTATTATTCCGATAAAACAGACGGGATTTACTGCAGCTCAGGAAGAAAGATACAAACATGAAAGGAAAACCACTAAATTGCAATTAGAGCCAATCAAGTTGGAAGACAGGTTTGGTAAGTAATTTAAATATCTATCTATTTATATCATTCTTTCATTTATAGTCATTCTAACACGTATCGTTCAATTATTATATAAGACCATGATGGTGATAGACAATGATAATTTAATAGATAGTTGAAAATTATGGTTCTTTTTATCTCTTATAATGTCACAATGTGTCTTATACTTTAATTTTTAAACGACGTCGTCATGTCTGTTTACTCTGTAAAGAATATTGCATAAAAATCGATGACTATATATGATAATTAAAATATATAATCTTTAATATCATCAGGCAATTCTGAAGATAAGAAGAAAACAATTAAGATACGAGAATCTAGAAGCAGCAGTATCCATGTTGTCAATAAAGAAGATTTGACTACTGATCTATTAAAAGTTAAACCAACAGTGGATTCACAGAAAGAAGTGATAGACTACGTGCGAAATAATCCTTCTTGTGGTTTTCTCTACATGATTTACGCAGTACATCCACAAAATGTGTACTTTACACCGTACTATTTAAAGTAACTATTTAATCGATATTTAATTTAGCCTCTTAGATGGAGCAAAAGTGAAATATATCTAATATAGAAAAAGAATACTAGTTAAATATTACATTTCTTAAATTCATTATAATAGTTTAAGTAACAGATATAAATATAATGAGTATGTCATATATATGCAGTATTAGACTATCATATAAGATATATAAATACAAAGTACATAATCTATACATCTATATAGATATGAATAGAATAATAACTTTAGTTTCAATTTTAGATGCTGCATTCATTTTTATCGCCCATTTCAGAGTTGTGCCTTATGAAGATGTAGACAAGAAAAATTATTTGACAATAAGTTCATGCGGAGTAACACATTATACTAATGAAATGGTTTTTACTAAACTCCCAGATTGGGAACAAGAATACACTATATTTGTAAAACTTACTGACGTAAGATTATTAAGTTCTTGTTTTTTGATTGTTACTTAATTATCTATTACTATACGTAACGATATATTTGTTTTGTAGATAAAATTTTTTAGAGTATACCGATATTGGAAAGCATTTTACGTGTGGAGAAAGTCTATTCTATTCAGAAAGTACAGCAAAATTCGTACGAAACTTGCAAAGAATCTTTTCATACTGACTCCAGTGTTAGGTAAAGCCCTTCTCAGCATCCAAGCTATGTGCTGTGAAATGTACATGAAGAGTTTCGCAGATTTATCGAAGGATATGGATATTGCTTTCTTCTATTTTATTGAAATACAGGTGAATTTATTAAATGCGTAGTAATTCATTGGCTTTTTTCTAAATTTTATTATTACAATTACAATTATAGGTACGATTATTATAATATAGAATCGTATAGAAAATAATACCTAATATTTATGTTACCTTATTTTATAATTAGGTCTATATCCAGGGTAATTATAATGAAGATCATCAAGAAATTTTCAATTGGAACGTCGATCGATAAATCAAAATACATTATGCACTTTTATTTGGGTCTAATTCTTCACATAAAGTAACAAATGCTTATATGATAACACCACAAGTAGCACGCCTTATTAGATATTTTGCATTCAAATATGCTTATTGAAACAAGTTTAATGTTGATCCGTAAAATATATCTGTCTATTACTTCTGGATAAATACAGGACAGTAGACAGAGATATTCGTGAATTAGTCATTATTATTATTATTTGAATTTTAATTAATGCATAGTTTTAAACTGTATTTCATGTATTAGTTAAATGATATTTCCCACTAATTTAAAAATATTTATGCTTGCACTGAAAAATTCCTACATTTAGATGAAGCGAGTCGAGTATATAAGAGAAAAACTCATCGAATTTCGTGCTGTGGTACTAGAAATTATAACACAAGCATGTCATACCGCTTTGTATCATCAAGGTTTCATATACGATGACCGAAATATACCGCCGTTCCAAATTATCAGAGGAAAACCTACAGGAGGCATGTCGTATACAGAAAAAGCGAATAAGAGAAAATATTGTGAGCGATTAGCATGGTAATTCAGTTTTATTCTATCATTAAAATAATACTTGTTTGTCAATACTTACAATTCTATTAATTCATATATTATGGCTGTTTACCTGTCAGACGTTTATATATCATTACATAATAAATAAATCTTCTTCTAAATAATAGAAAAACGTAGTAAGCTACAGTTTATTTTATGTACGGAATCCTCAGTGTTTAAGACCAAAACATGCTTGTAATTTTTTTTTAAATGTAAATTTTATTTCGACTCATATTTCATTCGTTTTAATAAATGATAAGATTATGTACCACAAAAAACCGATTACAATTGTGGCAAAACTAGCTACTCGTATTTGGATTTCTAAACTACTGAATCAATTTTGATAATAGTTCTTCAGTACCAATCTGTATGTTTATTCTTTCATATAAAAAAATAATAATTTTCCAAATTAGTTTTTAATTGATGGCGTTACGAGGTAACAAATATTGGAGAGCAATGAATCCGGGTCACTTAAAAAACCTATAAATCTCGGAAAATAAGAACACTAGCATAACGAAATAAATTGTGTTTAGTAGACAATTAAATACTTCTTAAATTAAGGTATTAAAACTTCTTAGATACTGCTAAGTTATATCATAAAAAAATAAAATTTGAAAAAGGGGAACTTTCGAAGATGGAACTACGAAATTACTGCATTTGATTTTGCTTTTGTTTCTAATCTGTCATTTAAGTGGGTATATAAACCATATTGATAGTGTTCAATACTTATTATTCAACTTGTAATCCTGTCGCTTCCAACTGACCGACGACCAACTTCTCCGACGTTACGAGGAAACTGGCTCTAACCTACGTAGACCAGGAACAGGCAGAACTAGGTGTACCAAAGCATAAGAAGGTCGATACTTGGTGAACAATGTTTCATAATCGCTTTCTCACAGGAACTAAACTTGCAAATCAGTTTCGACGACTTGCTGAAGCTAATTTGAAACCACTTAGACCCACAAATGGTCCTAAACTGGAGCGTGGTGATTGTATTTCAAGATATACCCAGAACCACTTAAATTGACTATTGAAGATTGGTCGAAAATTATGTTCTCTGACGAATAAAAATTTATGCTCTACAAGCACGATGGAAGACACAGAATGTATAGATAACTAGGGAAAATTCTAGCAAGCATGCATACAAGAAAAAGTAGCCTACGGTGGTGGGTCTCTATTCGTGTGGGCCAGAATTTCACTTGAGAGTCGCACGGAACTGGTGTTCATAGAAAACTGCTCTTTAACTAGTGTAAGATATGTGGAAGAAATCCTTAATGAACACGTTGGACCTTTTGTGGTCAATTTGGGTGAGGATGCTATTTTTATGCATGACAACGCTCGACCTCATACAGGTTCCATTGTGAATGGCTACCTACAAGAGATGAACATTACTCGTATGGAGTGGCCAGCACGCAGCCCGGATATCAACCCGATCGAGCTTGCATGGGACGAGCTAGGGAGATGTGGAAACCACGAAACCCTCACCCAATCACGCTTCGTAAGCTCAAAATTGCTCTCACAGAGGAATGGGAGAATATTTGCCAAAATCATATAAAAAACTTGGTGTATAGCATGCCAAACCGCAGTAATGGAAGAATGAGGAGGTAATATAAAATATTAAAATTCAAGAACATCATATTGTACAAAAATGACATGTTTCCTATTTTTGTCTAAAGGCGATTTTTTTTATAAATAAAATGCAGTGACTTATAAATTTTATTAGTTTTACGTTTATTTTATTAAGCTAGCATTCTTAGTTTCCAAGATTTATAGATTTCTTTAGGTGACCCACATTCATTGCTCTCGAGTGTACTTCGAAATTATGCTGTCATTTGATACAACAAATTTTATCTCATTTTTAACAGAATTGTTAAAATATAATAAGTGCGAGATACATTCGTAATTTTAAAGTGGTATTCAAATTTTGTTTTCTGTTTGTTATTACATTACAAGACTAAGATATAAATGACGAATCATTACACATATTAGTGCATAACTAATTCAAAAAGGAAAGATCTTTCCATACAAGAGAAATCCGAAAGTGTCGACGAATAATTTATTCATACAACTTTGAATGCCAAATAATGTAACGTTTCACGTAGTAAAATGTAGTAGCAGTTGAACAACCATCATAAAAGACCCTAAAAGAAGATATTTTTGATTCATCTAATGACTTCAGTGTTATTCCTGCATACTTTATTTGATTTGATTAAATAATGTTTATTTAATATAATAATTGGAATAATGCGATTTTATTCCTTGTCTGCAGTTTTATCAAGTTAACAGACTATATGACTAACTATATGTTATATCGTCTAACAAAGAGATCTATCGGTATGATGGCAGGCATGTTACGAACTCATGTCGAATTCACCCCTGATAGAAGTCTTTTGGAAGGAACTGAAGTTAATGAAGTCCTTGAAATATTACCCAGACCTATTGATACATGCAAGGTAATTTGATACGTAAATATTAGAAAAAATGTGGTTACATTCACCATTTCTAGAAGAAAAATCTTAATTACTTAAAGATAATGTTCATATCTCAGACATCTGTTTTATATAATTATGTCATTCATGGTAGAAATAGTAACTAAGCTAACATGCAATCATAAAGAAACTATGCACACAGCTTTTTTCTCGTGATCGGTGCAGTCATATGTTTTTTATATCTGAATTTTATAACAGTTTGTTGAAACATGAAGACGCTATTTATATATATGATAAGTGTGACTGAAGCTATTAGCAAATTAAATCTGCTCTTTAGTCATTAAAGTAAAAAAAAAACATGGCCATTACGATTTGACACCTAATATCATCACTGCACAGCTTATAAATGAATATATATCTTTCACAGTGGGCCTTATTCCAAGTAGATGCATATATTCAACCAAATGGTCAGGTGGAGCTGAATCCAAGTGAAAAAGTAATATCTAGTTATGTTGAAAAAGTAACAAACTATTGGGATGAATACGTGAGAACATTCCATAACTTCCTTAATGAAGACTCCTTGCAGATTTTTGTCCAACCCACAATAATGGGTAAACAAGTGGAATGGTCAGCTGGCGTGTCACCCAATTTATATTTCTTGATGAATCAGGACAAGAACATGTTAGCAGATATTGCTTTTATACCATTCTCTATTAAAAATGCATATGATTCTGTGTGGATTTTCCTTCAGCGTATGCAAGGTTTCATGGATAACTTTAGAGAGGCACACGAAATGGATATCAATATAATAAAACAGGAGAGAGATGTAAATGAGTTCAGAAAGTTATGCGACAGGTTCAATAAACAAATGGAATCTATAGAAGACGTTGTAAGCTACCAGCCATTAGGTCTACTGTTTTTGTGTTTATGTCCATTCCAGGAGTTATTTAGGCCTCAGCCTAAAAGACTTTTTGACGTCGTCGCTGTAATAACGCCAGTGTAAGTTTATATTTTTTTTTTCACATTTTTATTACATTGTTTAAACAATCTGTGTTCATATATCTAATTAAGTCTTTTTTTTAAATACTCAATGATCAAAAAATTCAAATGTGTGTATGTGTTTTATTTGTAAAAAATTCTACGCGTAAGTTTAATACAATTTCTCTTTATAAAGCATTGGTCATGACTGCATAGAAGAAATCTTGAATGGCATAGAGAATATAACTGAGGACATTACTAAAGAACCGGAGAGCGCTGGTGAATTGGTAGCATTCCACTACATGCTAGATGGGCTTGAATCTCGTGCAGCGTTCCTTGAAGATCGTCTTGAGTATCTCCGAGAACTTTACGATTTGATGGGCGAGTTCAATATTCCGATACCACCGGACGATATGACTGAATACTTAGGTAATTAAGCAATATTATCTCTATGAAATATACTACTATATTTTGTATGTATGAGTACTAAATAAAATTAGGGCGGATCCTATACCAGATTGCCACCTTCGATATATACGTACTGATTTTATAATTAAAATATTTTTCAGGATTAAGCATAGCTCTAGGAACGCTTAGAACTAATGTAGATGCTCGTTTGGAGACACGTAGTAAACTTACTGGTATGTTCGCCAGTCAGATCGGAAAAGACATCATGCAACTAATGTTAGATGTCAATAAACTGAGAGATGAAGTAGCGGTAATTTTCATTTATTATACTTTTTATACCCATCAGAGCAAATAACTGTGTTGCAAAAATAGTATAGTGTTTATTATAAATTACCACGCACAGTAATCAACAAACACAACATCATTGGTTGAGTTTTCAAGTAAATAGTTATGATTGCAGGCAACATGGCTGTATGATGAGAAATCTGATTTGGAAAAAGTAATGGAAACACTTGACGATCTGTTAGAAAAACTCATGGTCTGCTTCGCCCGAGATAAGCAAATACGTGATTGGCAAAAAATATTTAAGGTAAGTTGAAATAGCACACACACACAAAACAAAACTCTCAACTGACACTGTTAATGATGTTATGGTTTCAGATACCACCAGCAAGATTAGAACAATTGGATGAAGCTATAAATGATGTCAAACTAAGACAACTCCTATGGAAGTCTTCAAAGGAATGGAACGATATGTTCCAGTCTTGGTACGTCTTTTGTATTTCATTAAATCGTTTAAAAGGATCAGCAAACCTCATTTACAATCTTCACGAATATTTAGCGATTTAATCGGCTTTATACATATTTTTCAGGTTTGAACTACCTTTTAATACTTTGGTCATGGATGATATTCAAACTACTACTATTAATTTCGGCAAGATTTTCAATCAGCTTGATAAAGGATTACCACCAAATAAGATTGTGCCTAAATGTAAAGAAACGATCAATATAATAAAAGAAAAGGTTAGGTTTCTGTTATAACCTTTGGGTAAAGTTATTATACAGTAGAATACATATTTTTTTACTTTTGGCATAATTGTTCTAATTCAATTGTTTGCCATTCTATGCATTATAAAATATATATAAAAAATTAAAATAATATCGGAATTTAAAACACGTATTTTATATTTTTTTTTTATAATTCGTTTATATTTTTTTATTAGGAATGATAACCTGTAAACATGTTTCTTTCAGATACCAGTTATGTCATACTTGCGTACTCCATCTTTAAAACCCCGACACTGGGTTAAGATTGAAGAGATCCTACATACTCGTATTACACCCGATATGGTACTCACACTGCAGACCTTCGAGGAATTACATGCCTTCCAGCATGCAGAAGAGTTGATGGAAGTTGCTGGGCAAGCCAGTTCCGAAGCTGGCCTTGAAGCTTTATTAAAGAAGGTAAAAAACAATATAAGATTCACACTTGTAGATTTTTTGTCATCTGCATGTTTTTCTTTGTATCTAAATGCCCATTTACGATGGAATGTGAATAATTTGTACTACCAAATTTTGTATATTGTACATTTACATATTATTAATGAATCATTAGCTATCTAGATCATACTTTTACTCATATATTATATAGATAGAGTGTTTCTATATATACGAAAATGTTTCGAAAAAAGTGGGTTAACTTCTTCATACATTTGTGCGTGACAGGGTTACCAGATTAGAAACTATTAATTTAGTTAACGGTAAATAGGTGCACGTTGTAGCTTAAAATATTATTAGGATTAAATAATTCTTTATAATATTTAACTATGTGCATATATTAAATTGTATTGATTATTTATTTATTATTATTATTATATTCCAAAGAATGCGGTTGATAGAACTTCACAATTTTTTCTTATAGCTTTACAAAATAGTGAAATTTTGAAGTGAAGGTTAAAAATCAGTATTTGTGGATCCGTGTATATTTTAAATATGGAAAGACAATAATACTACTGATGACGAACATTTTTAATTTTTTTTTTAACTTTAAATATGTATTGGTGTCAGAATTAATTAAAGTGGGAGCCTCGTATTTTATACGTGTTTTTAAAAATAATTACTTATGAGAATGGAAAATCCTGAGTCCTCAGGAATGGTAACGCATAGGGGGGAAGGATATCATGGGCGAAACAGTATACTCTGTAATATCAATGATACTGCTCATGTCTATAGGCAATGGTTACCACTTTCCATCAGGTGGACCGTCAGCTTGTTTGCCATTCTAAGTTGCATAAAAAAATTAATAAAAAAATATGACATAATTAAAATTTTTAATTCTATCTTGTTAATCCTTATACAAATAAATACTTTCATTACTTTAAATAAAAATGGCGGTCATTTTGATTGATTCTGACACCGAATCTATACTTGAAATGTATAAGGATCCTCAGACATGGATTTTGAAAGCAATCGATCAAATATATAGAGATGCTCAGCTATCGATTTTGAATGTAAATGATAAAATAATAAAGATCCTTTAGATAAAATATATTGTATATTCGAATTTAAAATCTTCTTTTTTTAAGTCGCTTAAGATTGCTGTTTTATTAATAATTCAAGTAATTGTATCGTAAAAATGTAATTGAAATGAATATTAGTAACATTCAATAGTCTGCATGCGCGAAACCTGGACATATTTACTGACTGCAATAATAAGTAGCCTTCATCTTATATAGTACTGACTGTGGTCACCCATCCTAGTTGGACCCACGGCCGGGGGCCAGCAATCCCTTACTCCTCATTGAAATGATAATTACGTACCTAATGTCTTTATAAAGTTTCAGCCAATTTAACTGATCAGTTATTTTATAGCATTTTACATGTGATTCTTAAGATTGATATAACTCTTTTATTTATGATCTGATTGAAATAAAACAAACACTAAATAATGAAGCAAACCGCAACGCACTACTAAAAACCGCATTCAAATCGGTTAAACTGTTTATGAGATTAGCGTGCACAGATGTACAGACATACAGATAAAAATTCTAAAAATCATTGTTTTGGATTCTATTGCGTTCATAAAGCCTCTCTATAATAATTCTTCTTATATATCTTCCATGTACAGACAGCTACCACTTACTACTTTATTATATGTATTGTTTGATTGATTATAAAAGAAAATAGCATACCTACATATATAAATAATAATAAAAAATAATTCAATTCATATTAAAAATATTCTTTACATTTCGGAAATTTTAAATCAATTGTAAGGATTTTTTCGTATACTTGCAAAACTAACAAATGACGCGAATTCTTTGAAAAAAAAATGTGAATATTTGTAATGGTATTTATACTTCAAATTGAAGATATCGAATGTAACTTCTTTATTATTTCTATTTTTTGTCTTATAATATTTGCTCCTTTTTAATGTGCAAACACTCATTTTATTTATAAAATAATTAATACAGATTTGTACATAAATATATAGAACACTAATAAATAAAAAAACAAGTCAGTTAATTTGACACTTAACTGACAGGTTTTTAAGACTCGATGCTCTATTTATAACTAGTCTGATCATAAATACTGTTTTCTGTTTTAAACTTTTTAATTATTTGGAATTGGGAATACGTTTATTATTTTAAAAACTTCTTTTAATTTCACCTCATTTCACATATTTCTTCGTGTTCATTGTCAAATTATAATATGGAATAGGGTGTTGAAGAAAATAAGATTGCAGTGACCGTCTTGCATAAAGTGGGTATGGAGCCGTCGGTCCTATTCTAGATATTTCAAAAGCTTGGTATTAGCTGTACGTTCGTATATCGCACTATTAACAGATACAACAACACTTCCTCTGTCGAAGACTAGAAAAGATCGGGGCGGCCGCGTGCTGTTAGAAGTTGTTAATGCTGTTAAAGCCAGAATTCGTCGGAACCCCATTAGGAAGCAAAAAATCTTATCGCGAAAAATGAAGATTCCCGTTAGGACTCTGTCGTGTATTATAAAACAAGACCTGAAGATCGGTGCTTATCGTCGATATACAGGACATGTCCTAAATCAATCTTTACAATTAATGAGGGTGATTTGATCAAAAATGAAAGGCACAGAAATATCCTCTTTACCGATGAAAAAATTTTCACGATTAAAGAACACTACAATAAGCAAAATGATAAACTGTACGCTCACAGTTCTAAATAATCTAATGAAGTGGTGGAAAAGATACAAAGTTGTCATCATCCTGCGTCAGTGATGGTTTGGTGGGGCGTGTCTTATTAAGGAGTCACAAAACTACATTTTTGTGAAAAAAGAGTGAAAACTTCAACCAAAGTGTATCAAGATACAGACTTGGATTGTGTTGTGAAACCTCTCAGCAATACATTTTTTAAAAATATACTGTGAACTTTCCAGCAGGACTCTGCACCTGGTCACAAAGCATGAACTACCCAAGCCTGGCTTTAAACCAACGTTCTGGATTTTATAAGAGCTGAAGACTGACTGATTGACCTCATCTAGCCAAGACCTCGACCCTTTAGACTTCAAATTATGGTCAGTTTTAGAGGACATGGCCTGCTCTAAACGACACGGCGTCATTGAGTCTCTTAAAAAATCTTTGGAGCAAGCAGTGGCGAAATTTCCCTTGGAAACACTGCGTAAATCCATAGATTCGTGGCTAGATAGATTAAAAACCTGTATAAAAGCCAAAAGTAACTATTTCGTATATAAAATATTTTATTTTTGGCTGAGACTTTAATAAATTCGTAGGTATAAATTTTAGTATTATTACATTACTTCATAAAAAAATGCATTTTCATTTGTAACAGAAATTATGGCTGGAATAGCTATAATCAAGATTATACTAAATTAATCTTTTGCACTTTCCTTAGAAAACTTCTCATATTTTAAATAAAAAGAGACTATGCATAGAATATGCATTCTACATATAGATTGTCGAATTTCAACAGTACTAGCTTGTACCCGCAACTTCGTCCGCGTGATCGAGATATGTTCACTGACCGGGAGAAAAAGTAACTATATCCAGTGCCATGTCTAAATCTATACCAAAATTCTGCGTAATTTTTTCAGCGTGAAAGCGTGACGAACAAACTCATTTTAGCATTTGTAATACTAGTTAAGGATTAATTTACCTACTAGTGATTGAGCCCGGCTTTTGCACGGGTAGACCGACTTTAATTATGAGAAAGGCTGTTATTTTGATCTAAAAACTAAACTACTAAATCTATTTTGATAAAACTTCTATAAAACTAATCTGTAAGTATATCCTTACAGATAAAAAAATAATGAGTGAACAAACATTAAAAAATATAATCGAATTGAGTACACCTCCTCCTATTGAGAGAACCTCCTTCTTTTTGAAGTCGGTTGAAAATAATATATACAGGTGTATAATTTTTAAAATTGGTTGAGTACTTTTTGTGTTTATCCACTACAAACAATCAATGAAATCTTTCTTCTTTATAATATTATTTATTATAGATTAGTTTAATTTCTTAAATCCATGTAGTAATTTTTCTTATAATTCTATAAAATTACATTGGTATTTTCCAATTTAGGTCGAAGAAATCTGGGCATCATTAGAATTCCCTGTACTGCTACACAAGGACGCGCGTGATGTGTATGTGCTCGGAGGCCTCGATGAGATCCAGGCGAGTGTGGACGAGAGCAATATCCACATCAGCACAATCCTGAGTTCAAGGAATTGTGGACCTATTAAAAACAGAGTAGAGGAATGGGCAAAAAATTTGGATCTATTTTCTAAAACCCTGGTAATTGACTAAACTTAATCTAAAAAATATCTACTTCCTTGGTGTAATCGTTTTGAAATTCAAACTAATATTATTATTATATTACTGACTAGAGGTCCGGCCCAGCTCCGCACGATTAGATAGAATTTTTTAAATCATATACAGTTAAACCTGGATAAGGGAGAACTCAAAGGACTGCGATCTCTTTTTATCTTATAGAGGTTTCGCACTAACCCGAGTTTGTAGCTTACAAAGTTAAGTGGAGGTTTATAAAAATACGGCTAATATGTGCTTAATTAAAAAACAATACCCATCATATCCATTTTGTATAATAGTTGAACATAAATGTTTAATCTACATAATCTTACAACAATATTTACTTTAAAATATCTATAAATTTTTTGCGATTCTGTTTTTACCTTTTGTGCATGTTTTTTCAAGTTCATAAATTTTATCAAATATGGTTTGATCAACGGCTGCATATTCTAAAAACTTGTGAAGCGTCCCTAATGCCTTTAAAGGCATCCTTATTTTTTTTTTTTTTTGAATTTTCTCTGTTTCTCTATCTAAATTGTGTGATTGACTAGCTTCATCTTTACTGTTATTTCCGTCAGTACACGTGCTCACACAGTTTTGAACCATATCATCTATATATATAGGTTTAACCGACGCTAATAGAGGTATAAGCAAGTAGCAAATATACTAAAAGAGGTTCACGGGTAAAAAAGTAGTTTTTGAGTTTATCCATTACAAACGAACAAACAAATCCTTCCTCTTTATAATTTTTTTTTAATGCATAAGAATGGAACGGTGGGGTTACCCCACCGGCGCTATCGGTATACACCGGCGAGACACCAGTGAAGGATGATAGGTGAGGATGAAGTAGGTCAATTGGCCCATCGTGACGAATTCAACAAAAATTGTTCACGATATTTTCCAGGAGGAACTACGTGGAGGTCGACCTAATAAGGCATATTGCTAGCAATGGGGCTGTCAAACTCCACTACTAACAATTCCTTTCCCCGCAAGTTCTTTGTAATATTAGTATGAAAATAATAAAGTAAGATGTTGAATATATTACGATTGCAATTACAGGAAGAGTGGTATGCATGCCAGCAAACTTGGATCTACTTAGAAGTAATATTCTCAGCTCCCGATATCCAAAGACAATTGCCAAATGAAACGAGACTGTTTACCATTGTGGATAAATCCTGGAAAGATATTATGCGTAAATTAGCTAAGGTAAGACAAATATTTTTCTGGTTGAAGGTTATATAATCCCTATCCCATGCTTACACCACGCAGATAAATTTACATTAATATTGAATATATAGCCATATTCAATGTTAATTTAAATTAATCTGCGTGGTGCGACGATGTATGCGACGATTACATACTGTTTCTATAGAAACAGTATGTAATCGTCCTACTTGTAATTACTTCATAAAGATCTAAAATAACTTGACCCAGTAATAAATAACTGATGGTAATTTGTGAGTGATTATAGGTTCCATTAGCAATGCCAGCTGCAACTCAACCGAAATTGTATGAGGAGTTTGTTCGCAATAACGAAATGTTGGATCAGATCATGAAATGCTTAGAAGCTTATTTGGAAACGAAACGCGTGGCTTTTCCAAGGTTTTTCTTCTTGTCAAATGATGAGTTACTTGAGATATTAGCTCAGGTATGTGTATTCTATTAGATTTATATTTATCTTTCTTTATCATATTCCAAATTTTTACTAGATTAATATATCTTATAATTTATTGAATTGTAGCAAAATATAAATTGATATTTTGTTATATATTTTAATCTCTCTTTTTAATCGTACCTAATCCCTGTAGAAACAGTATTTGCTATTTAATCAGAAACAGATTTAAAACGGAATAATATCATAATTTATTGTACAGATTCAAAATCAAAGTTAAATATTAAGCGACTTTGTTTTGTGCTATGTAGAAAAGGTAATGAAACATCTTTCATTATATTATAATATTTTCGGCTTTATTAAAATTATTCATAGCAGATTACTCAGAAAGTATTGCGAATAAAAAGTTTTTATGTACAAGAGACTGGTCAGTTATAATTTATTTAAAAAAAATATGATTACTTATATGTCAAAATAAGTACATTCTAAATTCAAAACTGAGCTCCACATTTTTTGCGAGTTAACTAAAATTACTGTGTCTCATTGAAAAATTGATGCGTCGAGAATATTTTCGCGCTATGATTTTTACGATTTTAAGTGTCGCCTGAAACCGGACGAATCGTATGATAGACATTCATAGACGAATGCCCTTCTAAGGCAACTGTGTATCGACTAATTTTGGGGGATGAAGAAAGAAGTGGTCGCCCTTTGACGGCTGTTATGCAAGAAAACGTACTAGCAGTGAAAAATTTGATCCAAGATAATAGACGAGTTACATTTAGAGCCTTTGCGAGATTCTACACATGCATCTACGGGTGCGGAGGATAGTTTCACGCTGGGTGCCTTACAACTTCACCAATGTTCAGAAGTAGGCAAGGGTGGAATGGTGCAATGATATGATAGACAAATTTGAAGCAGGCTCATCTTGGTGTATTTGTATGTTTAACAAGAATTATCGTGGTTAATTCTTGTCGAATTCTTCACGATGGGCCAACTGACCTACCTTCATCCTCATCTATCACTAATGCCCCACCAGTATATACCGATAGCGTAGACGGAATTACCCTTTCATTTATACACATTAAAAAAAAATCTCCTTCACAAAGTCAGCTCGCGTCATTTATTAATTAAGCAAGTTTGCTCTCTTAATATTACTGATACCTACCTATATAAAATGTCATTTGATAATTCTATGTCATTCAAATTTAATTCAAATTATTAATAATTTTCTCTTTATAAAAGTAACCTTAACCAATCTTTACGGCATACTATGTGTCTCTATAATTTTCGGTTGATCCAGGTCGATTATCGTTAGAACACATACCACCCGAAAATTTTATCTGTGAAAAGGTTGAAAACACTTTTTATTATTAGTTATAACCTTGACAATACATTCCATAATTTAAGTACATTAATAAGTGTAGGTGACATCATTCATACACAAGAATACAACAATAAACGTCTCAATTTTCACATTTATAGCAAATAATCTGACTCTATATATTATTGCTATACCCCTTTATCTGGAATGTATGTCGATAGGTGTTATTGTTGCATATGCAAGCTAAACATGGAAACACTAATTTTATTTCAATTTTACTGTATAAAAACTTAATGATTAACGTACTATATGTATAATAAATTATATGATTCCAAATTGTACCTTTATGGATTGTTTACGTTTTATACATTACTTATATCCAGTTACTAGCATTATGGGGTTCGATTCCTGTTATTTTCGTGATACTGTTTCAGTTATTATTTAGCAGTTTTCTGTTAAATAATAACCGAGTTTTATCTCTAGTAGAAGGCTACTTACCATTGTCTCTTGACACTCTTGGGATAGTCCAAGTCTACTAGTTTGGACTCCCTTGGCCTCTGTATTACTGTTATATTCTTGTTCAATTTATCGATATGTTTATCAGGAAACTGAAATATAGGAAGTAAAATCATAGATATAAACCAAATAATAAATACAAAATTTTGCTCATAATAAAATATCATCCCTACACGTTTCAGATTACATTTAAATTACAATTTTTTAAATGCAATACAAAAAACATCTTCCCTATATTATCGAATTAAAATTTATTATTAGTTATATATGCCTGCGTACATTTTCGTTACAAACATTAAAAGTATTCTATTCAATAAATAAATAAGTAAGATATTGATGATTATTAAGTTATTTTGTTTGTTTAGGAATACTCGCTAATACACATAATTTATCACATCACATAATTCACACATGTTATGTAGACTGATCATGATACCTGGAATATTCAGAAAGAGTACTTACATCTGGCAGCACCCCTTTTTAATGTTCGCTATTTTAACTCGACTACAAAATCTGAATTATATTCTATTAATGATGTTCATATTATATAGAACATATATAGCATAAGGCTAAACACAGATTACATATCATTGTGCATACTTTTAAGACCCGCAACCCGCATGCCGTGCAGCCTCACTTGCGCAAATGTTTCGACGCTATTTCGAAATTGGAGTTTGGAGTAAAACTGTCAGAAAGTGAAATGGAGATAACTGAAGAAGGCACATTGGTTGAAAAAGAAATGTCATTCCAAACAAGAGATATGTTCCAAGCTAGACTAGCCAAGACTGCTAAACCAGAAGACCTAACGACTGATATAATTGCAATGCTGTCACCCGAAGGCGAAAGGGTTAATTTGGGCAAGGTAGTATCAACGTTATTATCGGGTATTTTTTTAAGTATTGCCTATGTAACAACAGTTTATATACATGTTTTAGATGTTATTTATTTTGTATAATATACTTAGATGATTCTTTTTGTACGTACAGGGTTTAAAAGCACGCGGTAATGTTGAAGATTGGTTGGGAAAGGTAGAGGAGGCTATGTTCGCTTCCGTTAAGAAATGTATGAAATTTGCAATCAAAGACTATTTAGGTAGACCACGTGTAGAGTGGGTGGAACTACATCCTAATCAGGTAAACATCAATATAATATATCAACCATACATACATACCAACATAGGCCTCCATTATAAAGGGCAGTTTTGGCAGTAATTGCTATGCTTGGCAGGTGAGTTAGCAAACGCAGTTAAGCTATGATAGTGTTTTAAGAGGGACGCTGTTGCCTATTCTTCGACCGATAAGTTCCCTTAGTCGCCTCTTACGATGACGATGAAACATACATACATCTATCGTCACATTTCACTGCCATCCAAAAAGTACTGCACCAAATTGTTTAAGGTTTTCACAGTTGTATGTCCAAACGTCTCAATTAAAATCTGCTGTATGTTTTATCTTAATACACCATCTATAATAGAAGTGGTCTGTTCCATATTTTTTTTTACTCATAAAACGGATGCTGAGAAGGCATTTAGACTACTTTTTACCGCGAGATATTTCCACAGGAAAAAATTTTATCAATAATTTTTCTACGTGATTGTCCGCATATGTTTATTAAATGGCCTATTTATTTTTATATTGTTTTGTTTTTCTTACTTAAATTTTTTTTTAAAAAATTATATTTACTAAAAACATTAAGAAATATTAATAGTCATATTAGGTAATATGTATTTTTTTTGTGATAATTAGTAATCATTTGCGAACTATTCGCACCATATTTACTCTTATAGGAAATTACTTCCTTACTTTTGACGTAGACTGTTCTTTCTTTATTAATAAATATATATGAAATTTTAGATATAAAAGTTTATTATAGTTTATTAGTTTATTATTATTTATTAGATTTGATATTTTATGTGTGTTAAGATAAAACATACACTTCATCATATGAACCGTTATCTATCCTCTATTCCATAAAATGCCATAAGGCACAGTTCTGAGCCACCTGCATCTACCGGTGCCCTGGTTCCCTGCAATGAATTTAAGGTCGTCACTCCATCTAGTCGGGAGTCGTCCTACACTGCGTTTTCTTGTACGGGATCGCCACTCAAGAAACTTCCTTCCCCATCTCCCATCGGTTATCAATTCTTTGAGCTATGTGACTAGCCTATTACCACTTTAGCTTGCTTATCCTTCGAGTTATGTCCATCACTTTGGTTCTTCTACAGATATCTTCATTTCGGATTCTATTACGCAAAAAAAAAAAACAAACACAGCCATCTTCGCAGCTTACTGGGAATTTCAAGCTTTTGCATACAGGCAATCATGCAGAACATACACTTACATATTTCCAAATCCTACGCGCACGAAGTCGCAGGCAAAAGCTTATAATAATTATAAAAGTTGATCATACCTAATCTACTAAACCTCTTACCATACAAGTGCTATTGTCAATATTACGAATAAATGTAACCATCTGCTTTTGCGTAAACATAAGCTAAAAAATATTCCTAATTACTTTAATTATAAGTCACTATTAAAACAAGTATTTATATCAATAGGTAATCCTATCAGTGTCACAAATAATGTGGGCTAAAGGCGTTCATGAACTATTCGACTTGGAGATACCACTACGAATTGATACAGCATTGTTGGAATATGAAAGGAAATGTATAGCAGATCTGAATGATTTAGCGGCACTGACTCGCAAGGACCTAAGCTCTTTGTTTAGAAAAGTCCTGTGTGCTTTAATAACTGTAGACGTGCACGCAAGAGATACAATATCACATATGGTGGAAAAACACGTACAACGAGCGTTAGTATTTCTTATAAGTTTATTTGTATAATTGACTATTACAATTTTAGGGTAGGCAGACTAATGTACATAAGCTGAAAATGCAACTTTCAGAAAGTATAGAGCATGTTAATAACCATATAATATTTTTAAACTATCCGGGAACCTATTATTTAATTTACACAATAAATAACTAGCATACACGCGTAAATATTTTCTTAAAGAAATTAAGCAAACAGCTATTTTAGTTAATTATGTGATAAACAATATGTAAAAACCAAACTGATGACCTATGTTATTAAGTTTCGCTATAGTAACTATCATATAGTTTATTAGTATAACTATACTGACACAAATTAAATAGAAATAATTTTACGTCTCTTCGTTACCTAAAATATTCGGCACTTTATCTTTTGTGCGTTGATAAAAGATCTTCTCTTTATTGCTACTTCTTTTATAAAATTCTCACTCTGATCTGATGTTTTTAATAAACATCTTCAAAAAGCGATTTCTTACTTTTCATGTTTAAAAAAATATGAGTGTGTGTAAGTTTTCTTTCGAAATTTCGTTGACAGGCTCTTGAAAGCTTTTCCTCTAAGTAATTTTATTTTTTAATGAGGTATAAAGACATTTTTCCGCATGAGCCCATTTGTCAGTATTACTTGAATAATATTTCTCTCACAATCAAAGGTACATTCTTTAGATTTCATATGACGTTGTCCTATTTCGGTTCATCCTATGTTAATTCCCCACTTGAATTGGAATAAATGGCAATATCTTTCTTGTTTACTAATAAATAGTGGAAATTTCGAACCTTACTCTAAAAATATAGGACAGTTTGTGACTTAAATATTTATGTCAGAATTTCTGATGATATGATGTTGAAGCAATAGGTTCCATCAACGATTAACTAGTTCGCTCTTTATCTATAAATTATGATTACTTTATAGATGAATATATCGCCTATATTAAAAACTTATCAGGAATTCGTTAACTTCACTTGGATGCTAAAACTTCAAATAATCTTTATATTAAATGTTATTTATTACATAATGTTTTATTTGCCTTTTATGCTCCACGCAATAGATGTTTTTTTAAGTGTCCAAACTCATTGAGAACTTAAAATCCGATAAAATATACTTTCTGTTCCACACAATATATGTAAGTCACCTAATTAAAAAGAACATCCGCCAACTATCAACATGCTCTTCATAGAAGTCAACTTATATATTTTATAATATCGCAACATTTATAAACATTTTATATTTATATAAAAGAAATATTTCTGACCTATATATATTTAATCAGTCGACGTATTAAATAATTGTAAATAATTTGGTATAGGAAAATAAAAAAAAAATATATTTAACTGCTTTAGTCTGCCGAACCTAGAATTATATCATGTTATGCACTAACATAATATTCTATGGAAATTTTGATTACTGTTTTGTACTTTAAAGACGATAACTTTTATTAATTTTGTGTGTATAGTAAGTAAGTATCTACACTTACGTAATATCTTAGCCAATTGATGACGCATAAAATAATAGTGGTTATTGTTTAATAATTAATTTAACCTACATACAATCATTGTTATGGTAATCGTTCTTTATTAGACTCAATGACTAATTTTCTTAAAATATTAGGAACGACTTCGAATGGTTGAAAATGATTCGTTATTATTGGGAGGAAGATATCGATAATTGCGTGGCGCGGATGTCCAGCGCTATGTACCTTTACGGCCATGAGTATTTGGGAGCTGGAGGTATTTACCTATACTAATATTATAAAGAGCAAAGATTTAATTGTTTCTTGTATGGATAAACTTAAAAACTACTCGACCAATTTTAAAAATTCTTTCACGTATAGAAAGCTACATTATTAGTGAGTAACATAAGCTATATATTATTTTCAAAAACTATATGCCCGTGTGAAGCTGCGCCGGATTGCTAGTTTCAAATAATTTGGATTAAAGTTTCACGACGTTCAGTTTTTTATGATACTCTGAATGGCACCTGATTAAAAATGATAACCTTCGACTATAGACATGAAGAGCAATATTTAAATTTAATCTTAAATCTTTGTTAAATCTTCGTTATTATTCTTCGTAAAAGAAATTCTCAATTCTTGAGTATTTTTCGTGTAAGTTATACTATTTCTTCGCCAATTCTGAACATATTTCAATAATGTTGTTTTCAATTGATAGGCTGACTGGCGGAGTACTTGATTACTTCTATTAGTTATAATCTGATTATTGTTCCTCATTGGAACAAATATTAAAGGAATTATATGAAAATACTCATCCTTTGGAAATAAGATGTCTGGTTTTTAGTTAGATATGTATTAATTGTTTAGGTTATTTGACTACAATAAATGACACTACCATTTGTGATATTTTTTATTTGGGAATTTGAATCTACTATAATAAACTTAATTACATAGGAGTACTAGTGATAACACCTTTAACGGATCGCTGCTACTTATGCCTAATGGGCGCGTTGCAACTGGACCTTGGCGGTGCACCAGCTGGGCCCGCAGGCACCGGCAAAACCGAAACTACTAAGGACTTAGCTAAGTCTTTGGCCATACAATGCGTCGTCTTCAATTGCTCTGAAGGTAATTTTTATTTTGTTGCTAGCTAATCCAACAGCTTCGCACTTACCAAAGAACATGACTAATAGATTAAGCAATAATATTCGTACTTCCTTTTTTATACATGATTTAAATTATACCTATAGCAGGTTTATTATAAAAATGAAAGTTAAGATTGAAGATTTACATAAATGGCTAGTAAATAAGTGTTACTATAGTGTCCAGGAATATTTACAAAATATAAAATATTGACACATTATAAAAGATTGACATTTGTGTATTGCAATTATTATTATATTATTATAATATTACAATTATTATTATTATTATATTAGTACAATTAACGTTTAAAAATTTGACATGTTATTTTATTCTATTATTACATATTAAAAAAATATTTTGTCATAACTTATGACAAAATGTTTGAAATCATTATAAAACTACCATATGACCTTATTATACCCCATTTTTTGCAATAAAATTCATTCATTCATTCAAGAGATTTCCATGAAGTTTGGTACACTTACAGACTAGTTTTCTTAAGTCACGCTGGCACCTGCTTATAATCAACCAATGGTCTAACACCGGTTACATTACAATTCTGGAGGCAAAGTTTTGCCTAGACGTGTGCGTAGGGCGACTGGTCGAATAGATGTTTTTTTTTTATTGAGTGATAATGAAATAGTAACCCCGTCTGCGTTATCGGTATACGCTGGCGGGGTGCCAGTGAGGGATGATAGGTGATGATAACAGCAGGTAAATTATAATCGTAACAAATTTCACAAAAATTAACTACTATTGTGGGTGTATTTCTAACAATGGGGCAGTTAAACTCAATTACAATATTTTTCCCCTGGACAGATTTATTGACTCTGATATAATACTGTGATCTTTAGGTTTGGACTATAAAATGATGGGTCGATTTTTCTCCGGGCTGGCGACGTCCGGCGCGTGGTGCTGTTTCGATGAATTCAATCGAATCGACATCGAGGTACTCTCCGTTATTGCTCAGCAACTCATCACAATTAGGAACGCGAAGGTTGCGAAGCAAACGAGGTATTTTAGATTGTCAATACATTGTAACAATTAATACTGATATTTTAGTAATAATGTAAACATAGATAATTTAGTAATAGTGGTCATATTTTGTATAATTTGTACATATGCATGCATACATAGTTTATAATAAAAATGCAAGAAACATGTGTGACTGTAAGTCTTAGTACAAACAGAAGAAAATAATCAATATTTTTAAATATTCAACAGTGTTTTGTATATTAGGTACGAAACATATGGATTCGTTACGACAGTGTCCTACATTATAGCTCTTCAAAAATATTGTTTGACTTCTTTATATAAAATAATCCTACGATAGGCCAATCAATTATAAACAAAAACAAATGTGACTTAAAATCGCGTGAAGAGGATTCCATAGTTGTTTTGTCTTAATAATATTAATAATCTGACCCAAATTTGTTTGTAGTAACTAAAAAAGTAGGTTTGCAATTGCAATATTACAACTACATATAAAATTCATAGGTACATATGTATATTGAGAAAATAATCCGTCTTTAGATCACCGATTTACCTATATATATCAAACTTTAACTAAATCGCACCAGTAGTAATTTCGAAACAAATTGGCTGTGACAAGCGGACAGACGTACAGATACGTGAGCGACTTTTTCTTATGTATATGGAAAGGCGACAAACGAGAATACGGTTCACCAGATGGTAAACGATTATCGCAATCCATAGAGACTAACGATATCTTTTGAGATGCAGGGAACTCTAATAAAATATATTTTCGACTGTATGACAATTTATTGATCCATTTTTGTTTGTCTTTGATTAGCAAGTTTAGTTCTCAATCTAATTTTATAATTAGAAAGGAAGTTCTTCAAAAGATTTTAAATTTAGGCTTTGCGCCCTCAGGTTACATGGTTTTGGTTGTTGATGATGTTTAAAATATAATATCTCAATTGTCAGATTCATGTTCGAGGGACGTGAAATTAAACTAGTGCGTACATGTGCGGCATTTATTACCATGAACCCAGGATATGCAGGGCGAACAGAGTTGCCGGATAATTTAAAGGCATTGTTTCGACCTATATCGATGATGGTGCCTGATTATGGTGAGTCGGAGCCTTATTTACTTAAAGTGAGACACAGATATAGTCAATAAATTATTTTCACCATAATAATTTACAAAGTAATTTTTTCCTGTTATCATAATCGATGAGATATATTTTATCCTACATAACATATCTGTCACGACAGAATTTGCCGTTCTATATTATATCAATTACGTATTATTAACAACTATCGCTTAATAAGGCAATAATGGCTATTTGTATACAGTCTTACAATATATATATCTACTATAATTGTTAGATTAAATCAATAAAAGGTAATACAAAGATTTGATTAGTCTTTAATAATTTCTTGTTTATAAAGCCCTAATAGCGGAAGTGATCCTGTACTCGGAAGGGTTCGAGTCATCAAAGAGTCTCGCTAAGAAGATGGTACAAATGTACAAATTGTCGAGTGAGCAGCTTTCCAAACAGGATCATTATGACTTTGGCATGAGGGCAGTCAAGAGTGTACTGGTAAAACATCAAAATGCGTTTCAAAATAGTTATAGTCGATAAACAGTATAATATAAATAAGTAATCAACGTACAACAATGGCGCTCGTTCTATTTAAAAAAAAAAATATGCGCGCAAAGATACTGTGGCGTTTGTTGCACAATATATGTATATTGTGCAACAATCGCCATAGTAGTTGAAATTAACTGTAGAAGATTGCGTAATAGAGCTATTGTTATTTTAACGTATCGTTTTCATGATTGTATTTACACACGTATTTATAGTCTTTCCTGTTATGAATAACTAGGTACTGTTGCAGTTTGAATCTACTTTGTTGTGCTAATATTTTGTATTAGGTAATGGCCGGTGCATTAAAACGCGCTAGCCCAGACCAGCATGAAGAGATGACGCTACTTTGCGCACTAAATGATAGCAATCTACCCAAATTTTTGGCGGCTGATGCCATCTTATTTACTGGCATATTGTCTGATCTCTTCCCTGGAGTCAACCTCCCAGTCCGCGATTATGGTATCATGGAAGAGGTTATAAGTAAGTAATTAACTATTTGTAATTATGCAAAATATTGTACTAGGTCCTCTGTAAATTCATATCTTAGATTACATAGCATATAGTTTGGCAATGTAAAAGGCAAATTACATAATAACGTATATTATTAAGTGAAATAGACAAATAGGACACACGCCTACACAATAAAAGCTCAAAACTGATTTGGTAAAAGTATGAAAAAAATACATTTTTATTATTTTAAAATTTTATTTAAGGGAGTGTAGTGGTTCACGTGTGCAGTTCCTGGATATAACATTCATTAGAAAACAGGAAAAAATTATAAATCTTTCATGTAATTTAACTTTAACATTTATCTTTTTAAATTCAATGTTATAGAACAATCAGAAATATTTTGTACAAGACTTGGTAAAAAAAAATATTTACTCCAAATAAAGTTCTAAATGTCCACGAATTAAAATAAAAATTACATAAAACTTCACGTAGCTATACTACGTGAATTTTTCCTATTTTTGCAATTTAAATTCTATATATGTTTCTGTGATTGCGTTGCCAGTCTATCTGTATGTAAATTGTAATACTGCTAAGATGTTGATCGATAATAAAAATAAAAAAAATATATAAGCCAGAGAACAATTACAAATTTAGTACCGTTCATATTAACATAGCGCGACCAGTAAGCAAATTAATATTTATCGACCTTTTGTTGACTAATATTTCTTTGGGGAAACAGTTCAGTGGTGTTAGTAGAATCATCATCAACATCATTTTAGCCATTATCTGTCCACAGATAACATAGGCCTATCGCATAGACGGCCACAAGGAACGATCTAGAGCCACCTGCATCTACTAACTCCATGCATTTGAGATGTAGTTCCATCTAGTGTCTTTTACTGCATTTGTCTGTACGGGGTCGTCACTCAAGAACCTTTTTTCAATATCGGTTGTCAGTTCTTCGGGCTATTTAACCAGCCCATTATTACTTAAGCTTGCTTATCCTTCGGGCTATATCGGTGATTGTGCTTCTTTTGTAGATATCCTTATTTTAAATTCTGTCACGCAACCATATGGTGAATAGAATATTCCTTTAAATTAATGTTAATGATATCAATTTAATTCTAAAAACAAAAAGCATTATGGAATATACCATAATATCCATTTCCTAAACCATGATTGTAAACGCCGATTCCAGTAAACCTGTTATAACATTTTGTAAACTGTATACATTATGGTGAACTTAATGCCTCCTCGACTCGCCTACAATTCATCAAGTCAAGTTGATTTTAAACATTTTTTTTTTTACCTAATAATGAAAGTTACTTGCTTATTAACTTATTTGCTTTTTATAAACAGAAGAAATATTACTGGAAAATAAGAAACAGATTGAGATTTGTCAGATTCGCAAGGTGATACAATTACATGAAACGATGATAGTACGTTGGGGCGTCATGCTAGTGGGACCCACTGGTGGAGGAAAGACTGTAGTCTTACACGTAAATATAATTTATCTTTTGTGTATATACATATCTTCCTAAACTATATTAGATATGTTTATATCTACGATGTATGTAAATTGGAAATTTTATTAGCTTACTATGTTTGTCATTTGCGACAATTATTTCGACTTCATCCGGAAGTCTTCTTTAGGGGCGCTTCATGGGCTCTGCGATCTGCAGCTCGCTCGCGAGGCAAGACCTTGTAATGCAAAGCGCCATACGTCCCCTAAAATAGTCCGTTGAAATAGTTGCTGGAAACAGCAAACAAAGTCAGTTTATAAATTTCCCATTGGGCATGGATGTAGAACATGTTTAAGAAATTATACTCAATTATTTAAAAAATTAGTTTGCAGAAATATGAATACCATACCAATATAAACTGTATATATATAAATACTTATAAGAAAAAAAAAATACTTGAAATGGAACTTCATACCAAGCCCTATGACAAGCATTATAATAGTACAATAATATCCTTTTATGAGGAAAGATTTATACCTATTAATAAAACGTTAAATATAATTGATTATAAAATTCATATATATGTATAACATCCCTTTAAATGTTCAAAATCGAAAGTAACGATAATTGTGTAAGTACTGTATATTATTTTCTAGTATAATGATAATTTAATATTTTTACAAATCAGGTATTAGCAGACACCTACACTCGACTCTGTGAGAATGAGGTGCCGCAGTACCAAATAGTTCACAAGTACATCATGAACCCGAAAAGTTTGACTATTGGTGAATTGTATGGCGAGGTGAACCTACAGACGCTTGAGTGGCACGATGGTATATTGCCCCTGTCGCTCAGAACTGCTGTGCAAGTATGCATATTACTATTATTTATTAATATGATCTTTATAGATAGTTATATATCATACAAACAATTATAGAAGGCCATCTAAGGGGGCCCTAATGCAAGAGAGAAAAGCAACTCTATACTGACCAAGCCACTTGACAAGTGCTATTACTACAGATAGGTTAATATCCTTCTCATAGCAGGGAGACCGTAGACAGCAGTGATATATTAATTGGTAGTTTTCTTACAATGATTATGATGACTGAAAATGTAAATAAATAACTTTTGAAGTGTATTGTTCATATCTTCTGAATAGTCCATCTGAGGCTACGTAAATTATAAACGTCGGTACTAAATGTACTAGCGTAAACCAGTGATGTGATTTTCTGTAAAATAGAGCAAAAAATAATGTGCTTACATGACTGAAAATATTCTAATTGAAGAAATTATTTTATTTTTTTACATAAGGTAATATTTGTTAGGTAGCAATTACCTACCTAACAAAACTTTGGTTATACTTAAAATTATAGTATTTTATCAGTAAATTAGTATCAATCAGGTTTTTACATTGTGATACCTACTCAGTGTGAAAAACCAGACCACCAGTGGTTAATTTGCGACGGGCCGGTGGACGCGGTGTGGATAGAAAACATGAACACGGTGCTCGACGACAATAAGATGCTCTGCCTGTCCAACTCTGAGCGAATCAAACTTACGCCTTATGTCCACATGGTCTTTGAGGTGAATCTTCTTCTTCATACTTTCTAATACAAGGAAGATCTTATAAAACTGGAATGCCTCCCTATTATTTTTTTAATTCAATAACTTTTTCGGTTGTGGCCATAAATCCAGCCGCACAGAATGGCAACACATAATAGGTGACTTAGTATTCTGTTATGTTCATAGTACTGTTCATGTCTATAGGCGACGGTTGTCACTTTCCTATCAGCCTGCTTGTAATTTTAAGTAGCATAAAAAGATTTAATTTGATCTTAATATGTATGAACTAAGATAAGTTTTAATACGATATATGCCTACCTGAAAAATCGGAACATTACAAGCAATCAATTTGTTTTAATCCTTGAAGGACTTCCCGATAAATGCTTCGTTTTCTTATTATACCACAAAGGTAGCAAATCAGCATACAGCCAATTACCGCAGTCCACGGACACCTGCAATACCAGAAATGTCACGAATGCATTGTAGATTTTTGAAGAACTCTGACCTCCATATCAGGAAAGTCCTAGTCAATATGACTGAAAAATAATACGTACATTTATTTGACATTGCATTCTACATGGTAGAGAATACTTATTTCATTGATTTTATAGTTACATTATAGAAAGACTTCTAAATATCCCATAAAAATTCAGGTGGCAGATTTGGCGCAGGCCTCGCCAGCTACAGTTTCCCGTTGTGGAATGGTCTACATAGATCCCAATGAATTGGGATATCTACCATACGTACGGTCATGGTTACAAGAATCCATGGAGAAGAATCTATTTAATCAAGAAAATGCAGACTTTCTCTATGAATTATTCCAGATGCTTGATGTTGGCGTTAACTTTGTTAACACCAATTGTAGTGTTGGTATAAAACAGGCAAGTACTATATTTGTGTTGACCTTATTAAGTGAACAGGTAATATAGTATAATATATGTTATAAAGCATTAAAATTATATAATAATATAATATATAAAAACTTTAAACACCAAAAATGAGTTTACATTAGCTGCTACCAAAAACTTTGTGTATGGATTTAAGTTTTCAAACATTATAAAATAAATTAATACGAATGATGATGATAGACTCGACCTTCTACGTTGGTTTTGAGTTTTTTGGACACAACCTAGTCTGACGAGTTTTACATGAATCACATTAGTAACAGTCCACTAATACCCCTGACTATCCCATCCGGGATTACAAACATGAGCATATTTTTTTTTATCAATTTCACATAGGCACGAAATGTAAATTTTGTGTTATTTTTCTTACAAATAGTATAACATTTGTACAGGTGGATATAAGTAAAGTATCAGCTATATGTTACTTAATGGGAGCTTTACTCAGCGAGCCTGGTGAACGGTTTCCTGACAAAGCCGCTATCAAAATGTATATTGCCCATTGCTTCATATTCTGTTACGTCTGGTGCATAGGCGGAAACATACTGGAGATGAACAGGAAGGCTTATGAAGAAGTTATTAAAAGGCAGTTTGAAGCTTTTGAAGAAGCTGAATAGTTTGTATTAATTATTATTTTGTTTTAATATTACTAGAATGGAATAGAATTGTATTGATTCTTCTACTTCAGATAAAAAATGTATGATAAAAAGTTTATGTTTCAAAAACAAAATTAAAGCATTTAAATCTGTGTATAATTATGATATATACTTAATATTTAGGCTTCATTATATTTACCTGTTGTTACCAGTAATGACTTATGGAAGTGAAACATAGTCCTACACGGTTGCATTGTAGCCGTATAGAAAAGCTTCAAATGACTCGGCGAGCTATAGAAAAGATTATGCTCCGAATGTCTATGCATGAAAAATTTCGAAACGGGGTTAGTCGTAAAAGAACCAAAGTAACCAACATACCCTGTAGGATAAAAAAGCTGAAGTGGCAATGAGCCGATCACATAACTCGAAGAATCGACAACCGATGGCGAAGAGAGATTCGTGAGTGGTGACCCTGTATGGGCAACCGTAGTGTAGAGTGTGTGTGGACCTCCTCACTAGATGGAGTAACTACTTTAAATACATTGCATGGAGTCATTGGATGCAGGTGGCTCAGGACCGTTCTTTATGGCAGTCTATATGGGGGGGCGGGGGTCCATGGTCAGCATTTGACGAATAATGGCTGATAATAATAATGATGATATCTACCTATTAGTAACAACTTTTCGTAACATTTAAATTATGCATTTTTCTAATACGACTTATAGACACAGAGTACGCAAGTTATTACCGATTAAAATTTATTTTCAGTTTTCCACAAGGTTTCAATTTCTTTGACATGTACATGGATACAAAGCAAAGAAAACTGAGGGTGTGGGCTGATATTATACCAGAATTCATATACGATTGCAATAAGCCCTTTTTTGAGACACTTGTACCTACGATAGATACAGTGCGTTACGGATATCTGTTTGAAAAGCTGTTGGGCGCTGGAAAACCTGTCATGTTCACTGGGAGCACGGGTAAATAATGCTTTTTTTTATGCAACTTAGAATGGCAAACAAGCTGATGGCCCACTTGATAGAAAGTGGTAAGCTTCTTAACATTTCTGTCTTTAATTACTTATACGTGTAATGCAAAAATCCTAATGAAAGATTTTTTTTTTTAGTTTCTACTAGCAATTTTGTTGGAGAAACTGGGATTCCTTGATTGAAATAAAAAGTAGCATTATTTTCAAAACAAAATACTACATGTATACCAAATTTCATGACGATTGGTCGAGCTTTTAAGATGCCAAGAGATGACAAAGAAATTCACTGTCACTTCTATTATGTCAAAAGGATTTTGCGATAGTTTTTTTTTATACAACTTAGAATGGCAAACAAGCTGACGGCCCACCTGATGGAAAGTGGTAACCGTCGCCTATAGGCATGAGCAGTATCATGGACATAACAGAGTATACTGTTTTGCCCATGATACTCCCCATGCGTTGCCATTCCTGAGGACTCAGGTGTTATTCCTCTGTACCCAGTAAATTCACGCCATATCCCACCCTTCAAACCGAAACACAGCCAAGCAAACACAACTGCTTCACGGTAGAAACACGAATAGGACAGAGGTACATCAATCCAAGCAATCGACTTTTGTACAAAGTTTCCGTCTGGTAGTTGATTTAAAATAGTAATTAAACAAGTTACATCGAAGATCGAGTCAGTAATCCACTATTTTGATTTAAGGTGTGGGTAAAACTTGTATCGCGGCTGAAATACTCAAGCGAATGTCGGCTACTGGATACTATATACCGATCATATTGAACTTCTCAGCACAAACTAGCAGTACCCGGACACAGGTCGAAAATACTGTCACATATGTAGATCATAATAAATTAAAACCCCTTTATTGATATTCAACTTTCTGAACCAAAGTAAAAAGTGCTAAATTAATCGTTTGGCGTTTTTTCTCTGCTCGAAGAATGCTATGCATATTTTTTTAACGGATGATAATGAAATGGTGGCCTTGCCTGCGCTAACGGTATACGCTGGCGGGGCACCAATGAGGGACGATAGTTGAGAATAAAAAGAAAAGGTAGATCAATTAACCCACCGTGGTGAACCTGGAAGGTTGTTTGAAAGATGGTTTCTAAGGAGGACCACGTAGAGGTCGACTTATCAGGATATATTCCGTATTCCGCATTATTAACACTCCCTTCCCTTCCCCCTGCTAAGCAAATTATTTGTTTATAATACTAAATACACAATTAAATTTAATACTAGAGTAAAATGAAATCTGTAAATCTAACTTAAGTATTTATTTCTCACTCATTGTAAATAACTTCTAAACGTTTGAAACCCGAATATCAAACCGACCTTATAACCACCATAACTATTATGAATACAATTTATATTACTAATTTTATAAAATCAGATGCTTTTGAAACAACTTCGATCGTTTAACTACTCACAATATTCAGAGCTAAAAGAAAAAGTACAGTAGTCTCATTTTGGATTCCAAAATCACTTGTTTTTACAATTTTTCTTGCTATAGTTGATTCACTGATCTTTTTAATGACAAATAATATAAAAAAAAAGTTGCAATAACATATATTTTAATATCAACACAAACATTTTACGTTTATTAGGAAGTTATAGAGCTCCGATTAGACAAAAGACCACGTAAGACTATTGGCGCTCCGCTTGGAAAGAAAGTGATCATATTCATAGATGATGTAAATATGCCACGACTCGACGTGTACGGAGCTCAGCCAACTATAGAGCTACTCAGGTAAATTATATTTTAGAAAATTCTAAAAATGCGATTAACTATGTAGTTTGTTGTTTGTCGTGTGGTCCCGGCAGAGAATAGGCCACCCCTTCCTTTCCCGTGGGTGTCATAAGAGACGACTAAGGGAGGGACAGCATAGCAGCGTCCCTCTTAAAACATCTCCAAAGCCTAACTGCGATTGCCAATCCACCTGCCAAATATATCAATTACTAGGTAACCCCCCAAGGAGGTGGCTTATTTTCAGCTGTGGACAGTCAATACAACATCTATCCTAGATATCTATTTAAATCAGATCTATTTAATAGATATTTTCCATCTTTCAGTATAACTGGAATTTGTTTGTTGCTATCATGTTTATTATCATTTTACAATGCAGACAATTTTTGGATTTCGGCGGTTTGTACGACCGGGACAAGCTGTACTGGAAGGAGATCTTGGACGTGGTGCTGTCGTGTGCGTGCGCACCTCCAGGTGGTGGTCGTAACCCACTCACAGCGCGATTCGTGAGGCATTTCGCCATGTTCTATATATCAGCACCTAATGCTGATGCTATGAAGACCATATTCAAGGTTTAGATTTATTACTTTTTCACCACTAGAGATGTTTCCAATAATTTGTGCCTCGCAACCATGCCCAAGATGTTTGTTAGAACGAAAAAAGCTGTTATTTTTATGCGACTGCTAATGAAAGGAGGTTACATATGTGTGTGATATATTTTTTGTATAGTGTATTTACATATATACTTATGTAATATATGTAAATACACTATATACTAATGTATGTATGTAGGTATATAACCATATCCAAATCATTGACACGTCTTGATGGATTTATAAAAATTATCGTCAGTTTCTCTAGATCCTAGAAGTTATTTATTTATTCGTGTCGTCGTAATAAATAACTGCCAAAACTTATAAATTAATACTGTAGGAATTGTAGGATTATGTGACTGTCAGCATATATAGAGTGAATATATATATATATATATATATATATATATATATATATATATATATATATATTCACTCTACATATAAGTAGATAATTTTTACAATTTACCATTTCTATTAAGGCGATCCTGAGAGGGCACATGGAGGATTTTGTACCCGAAGTATCAGTCCTCGGAGAACCAATAGTAAACGCGGCAGTGGACGTATACTTAAAAATCTGCGCAGAACTACTGCCAACGCCTGCCAAGTCTCACTATGTGTTTAACTTGCGAGACCTCTCGAAGTCAATGCAGGGAGTTTTGCAGGCGAATGCAGCATATATGCGAGCCCCACAGGGAATGTTAAGGTGAATTTGATATTACTACAAACGTATTATAATTATTGCCAACTAGCTGTTTTCCGCGACTTTGCGTGCATGACTCAATATATCATATATAGAATACTCTATTTGTTAATTTAGGATATATCCATATATCTTATTAAATGTGTATTTCTATTAGTTAATTTTATTTATAAAATTTTCTGTAGTGTGTTTTTTTTTTTTGTAATGATTAAATTATCACATTCAGGTTGTTTTACCACGAATGCCTGCGCGTGTTCCACGACCGCCTAATCGATACACAAGACAAGAGCTATTTCTATCACCTCATGAGCACTATTTGCCAGAAGAACTTCCAGCAGCCCATTCTTGACGTACCAGATGATCCCATTATAGAACACCCACCTCTGCTCCTCTTTGGAGATTTTCTTAATTCGGCTGTACCAAAAGAGAATAGAATTTATCAAGAGATACCGGAGATACATAAACTTATGGTCGTATTAAAGGTGAGTTATTGTGACTACAACATATTTGTGTGTCGTAATTATTTATTTTTCATATAATTAAAATAGAAGAAACTTCTTCATTTTACGTCCATTTTTGTTTCTGTTAGAAAAATACTTAACAACGTTAATAATTTTGCTGATAAGATGCTGTTCATTTTGACATTTCCCAGAAATACAGTGTTTTCGATATATCTTTGGCCAGTTGTCACAATCATAATAATACGGAACAACGTAATAATAGGTATACCCATATCTATCTCTCTATCGATTGGTTTCTAAATCATGTCGGATACTGAATTATCGAATAGGTCTAGTCGTAGATTTTGTGTAAAATCATCTATACCTAGTTATCTCAATACAAGTCCAAATACTTATTTCATCTTCATGAGCAGTTGCCGTATTTGGATAGAAGAATTAGATAAAGCAGCGATTAATGGATTGGTACGGGAGCATAACACTCTCATCAGGTGGGCTGTCAATATTTTAGTGCTTTACATAAAAAACGTAAGAAACTAATGTTATCAGGAATATCTGGAAGAATACAATTCGACAGCGCGGGCAGAAATGCAGCTAGTGCTATTCCAGGATGCAGTGGAACATGTAGTACGGATAGCGAGGGTGCTGCGAGCCGAGCGAGGACACTGCCTAATGGTAGGCCCCGGTGGCTCCGGCCGTAGGAGTGTCGCTACGCTCGCCGGACATGTAAATGAATGCAAGTTAGCATCACACATATGGTTTTATTATACTGTCATATATACTCCGTATAAATCGAAATCGTCAACGTCCTTTCAAGGCAGTGTTCTTTGAAACTGAACTTAACTCCCAAGTGTTTTTTTTTAATGGGTGATAATAGTATGGTAACCCCGATTGCGCTATCGGCATACACTGGCGGGGCACCAGTGATAGATGATTGATGAGCATGTAAGCAGGTCTATCCTAACGAATTCAACTAGAATTAGCCACGATGGTTTTCAGGGGGAATCACGTGGAGGTCGACCTGACAGGCTGTATTGCCAGTAATGGGTCTATTTGACCCCATTACTAACAATCCTTTCCCGCCCAACTCCCAGGTTAGGTTAGAATAGAAGTACCCAAATTTTTTGTCGAATTTGAATTTTTGATTAGTGATATTTTTGTCTGAACGTATTTATTATATAAATTGTTAAATTCGTAATTTTATGTATGGCTAACGATTTCGATTTCAACTTGTACGGATAAAGTTGTAACATGACTTTGCATGATTTATTGATTAACTAACCTACGGGAGTCTGTTATATAATTATATATAATTTTTATTTACTTAACAACTATTGGTAATTTATAAGCAAACCCGTATTATCAACACCAATAAATATATAACAAACAATAAGTAAACGAGTAGTTAATGTAATACTTAAAAAAAGTATTTTATATTTGTAACCATTGTTTCATCACCGGAATGTTGTTTACAAATTTAAATTGACCCCTAACTAAGCACCAGTACAAATTGTTTAGAGAATTAAAAGAACTGTCTTCGTATAGATGTATGGGAATGGAACTGAAGCGTAATTACGACACACCGGAATTCCATGATGATTTACGTAAGATGTACATCCGCGCCGGAGTCAACTACGAGGATACCGTGTTTCTCTTCACTGACGCGCAAATTACCAAAGAAGAGTTTCTTGAAGACATCAACAATATGCTCAATTCTGGTAATGTCTTTGTAGAACAGAATATGACAAAGATTTTGCAAACTATCATCTCATATCTGGCATGGAAAAGATATAATAAGTTATATTATCTATTCACGATCACCTTTTTGAAAATAAAAATTAAAAAGGTAATAATAAATTTACATTATGTACCTACAGGCCCTATACTATAACGATGAACTTGACGAATCGGTTTGCTCTCATATTTATATTATTGAATTTGACTCATAATCTGGTATCTAGTATGTACCTATCTATTATTTCACTGTCTCACTCTTTCTCTCTTTATACTAATCTCATAATCTATAGAAGAGAATGATTAATAAATGAGTATGGCTCAGATTGAAACTATAAGTTCTTCGGGAACTTATAGTTAACTTATACTTATAACAATATAAATACTAGGAACCAAATACAATCGAAATAGCCAGCTGCCCTTAATTGATTTTTTTATTCCAAAAATTTCTTAAGCACATAAATTTAGGTCAATAAAATCCCAGGTGAAGTTCCCAATCTATTTGAGGGAGATACATACGAGCAAATGCAGACTGCTTGCCGCAGCGAAGCTTGCAAGTGCGGCATTAACCCGGCAGATCGTGACGCCGTTTACTACTTCTTCATCAATCGCGTGCGATCCAAACTACACCTTTGTATATGCATGAGTCCTGTCGGTGAGGCTTTCAGGTCAGTTTGTTGTTAAAATGATTATGTCGACAGTGTGATCTTTTATGCCGATACATAAATAACCTAGATATTACGCAAATAAAAACATTTTAGTGTCTTTTGTGGGACACCAGTTACCAAGCAAGATTTATTTATAAGTTCTACTTAATAAATGAAACATAAGCAATATCAATTTGTGACTTTCTTAGAAAAACAATGAATAAATTTTATATATAAGATTGACGTAATGATTGTATAATGTGAATGTCAAAATAAGTAACAAGTACCAAGGACATATTCAGATAGACCGGGATTTATTTGTGAGAAGTCTCCGGAAGCAGCGTGCTCGTTAGACACTAATTATGGAAATGGGTCAAGGAAAATATATTCTGTTTCATTAGAACTTAATAAAAAATTACCTATTTTTTACATTGTACAAAAGTCGTTCATGAGGAGTGTCATGCGTGACACAATACACTGTGTTATGTCCATGGTACTATAAATGTCTATAGGCTACGGTTACCACTTTCCATCAGGTGGGCCGTCAGCTTGTTTTCCGTTATAAGTTGAATAAAAAGAAACCAATGAATAACTGACATGATTATAATACAATATGTAGATATTCGAGTAGTACAAATCAAAAATGATTAGTAAAGAGTGTGATTCCGTGATAGTACAAACTTTAGTTGCCAATTGAGTCATACTCTAAATGTTTTTAACACTAAGATGTACTAAGCATGTGGCTTGGCATAAAAATAGGTAATTATTCTATACTATTACGGGTAATAACAAATATTACATACTTAGTGGCCCATCGTTTTTTATATTTGTGTTACTGGTGAACAGTTTTAATTAATTATTGATATAATAAAATAATTATGTACAGGCGTCGCTGTCGCATGTTTCCATCTTTGGTGAACTGCTGTACAATCGACTGGTTTACGAAATGGCCAGCAGAGGCCCTGTTATCAGTAGCACAGCAGTGTCTACAACCGCTTGGCAATCGAGAAATTATTGAAAAGATATCACCACTATGTGTCACTATGCACGAGGTAAGAGTTGTTCATGGTCCTTTAATTCTTATTCTTACAAATAATAATAATATAGACCTCACCGAAGAGCAATTAAATAAGCTTGAGCGTCTCCAAAATTTATGTATCCGCTTCATATTTGGTTTTAGCAAATATGATCACATTTCTCAATTTCGTACTCAACTCAAGTGGCTCCCTATTCGTTTTCGTCGTAATCTGCATATCCTGTCTCTTTTTTACGCAATCCTTTTTAATCCTGCTGCTCCTGATTATCTAAAAGACCGATTCTTGTTTCACAATGATCATGATCATACTTTACGCAGTGTCAATAACTTTCGACTTAAATTTCCCACTCATTCTTCTTCCTTTTATTCTAAATCCTTTACTGTTCACGCAGTTCGTCTATGGAACTCACTACCTGCCTCTATTCGGTGCGCTCAAACTCTTACTAGCTTTAAAACCTCTGGTAAATCTTACTACCTCTCACTTTAGTACTATTTTCCTGTGTTCTCTCTTCGTTTTCCTTCGTCATTTTTTTTTCTGTTGTATGTGTGCTGTTAAGTATGTGTATGTTATGTATATATTTAATTGTGTACATATTATATATGTATGTGTATGTATGTATGTATGTATCTATATATGTTTGTATATGATAATATTTATATAATAGTGCGCCACCTACTCTTTGTCTTTTTCTCAATGTCCTCTACCCAAAGGTTGTCTGCAAGAGATTGCTTAGCGATAAGGCCGCCTTTTGTATCACTTCTCATTAATATTTACTGTATTTGTTATCTCTCTTTTTACTTGGTGCAATAAAGTGTAAATAAATAAATAAAATAAATATATCTCCGTATGATACTGTAATATTCATCGTCTAACAGGACGTGGATAATATGACAGATCGACTGTATCAAGAAATGAGACGCTATTTCTACACGACACCCAGTAGTTACTTGGATCTCCTGAAATTATATTTGTCCTTACTCGACAAAAAACAACAACAAATCATACGAGGGCGAGACAGGATATCGTGCGGATTACAGGTAATATTTTTATTAAAATTATGAGGTTATTATTTAATTTTTAAATAGTATTATTATTTTACTTTATAATTTTGTATACCTAAAAAATTTTATCCTGAAGTACTAACGTAATGTGGTTTTAACACAAATTTTATTATTACTAGCTATTAAGTAACATTATGAAATACAATTATTAATAAATAAATAATCTGAAAGATCACGGATCTGGCACAGTTAACTGCTTACCATCAGGTGTGCCATATGCTTGTTTGCCATCTCAGTGGTATAAAAAAATATATCATAATAGAATTGAATCAATATGACAGTATATAGTAGACATCTCTAATACAAAATTATTATTCTGGTTAACGTACATATACTTAGATAAATGGAAATATTTTCAAATAACGATTAGCATATTGATCAATAATTTTCTATACGCTACTAGCCCCTTTATTCATAGAAACTAAAACCTTCTAAAACCCACTTTAACTATTACACTGTTTTGTCACTTTCTTTCAAAATATTATTAGTTTAAAAGAAAAATACAAAACAGTTCAATAGCTAAAATATGTTTATGAGAGATTTCACGTTTTTACGAATGAAGGAGTTAAACATTAATCTCATTAGAAACTCTATGAAACGTACGACGTGGTTGGAGTTATGGAACAACAAGTGCGTGAAATGGAGCCTATACTAGCAAAGAAAGCCGATGAAGGCATTGCGCTAGTAAATCGATTAAAGATTGAACAAAAAGCAGCAGACGAAGTTAAGCAGGCTGTGATGAAGGATGAAGCTGAAGCAAAGGTACGTATTTTACGCATATGATGACGTTTGATGAGATTATCTTTATCCCTTAGAGGAATTATAAGGAGTCAACTATGTATCATCATCATTTTCATTTAAGAGTTTCCTCTTGTCGGTGCAACTAATTCATGCATCTTCCTCCAGCCAGCTCTATCCCAGGCCATATCTTTTATCTCCCTATACGACATGACGCCTAGTGTTTTCTTTATCTGTCCCATGTAGTTAATCCTCGGTCTTCCTCTTCCTCTTTTGCCCTCTATCTTTCCTTCTATATGCTCTTAAAAAAATCGTCATGTCGTATAAGGTGGCCCAGCATTTTGCCTCTTCTACTCTTTATTATTTCAATCAACGCTCTCCTCTCATTTACTTTTTTCAGGACTTCCTCGTTCGTTAGTTTTTCCGTCCAGCTTATCCTTTCCATTCTCTTCCATGTCCACATTTCGAATGCCTCAAGCATCTTTCTTTCCTTCTGCATCATTGTCCATGTTTCACACCCATATAATGCTATGCTCCAAATATAAGTTTTTATAAATTTCAACTATGTATAAGAGTAGTATATTCATACTATGTCCTCCATGGCGCAATAGTGCACAAGTTGTTTTGCATAAATAAGGTCCTGAAGTAAAATCTCGGTCGAGTCAAGATAGAAGCTAAATGAATTTTCAGTGTATATTTATACCAAATCTCTTACAGTATATTATAAGTAGACAGTCAATATGTTTATTACATTATAATAACAAAAGTCGAAAACCCTTCAACTAAATAGGCTCGTAAAATATAAATAAATCGCGAAATTCTAATAAAAATTTTTGACTGGAAAACGAGAATTTATTGAATCTAACAATGTTTGTCGTTTCCGATAATTGTTTTGATTTCATTAAGAAGTATTCAGAGTAAGTATAATGCTTACGTCGCAGCTTCTCGTCTCGCACTGGTAATCTTAAAAGACTTGATAATCAATAAAAAAAAGTCTTATAATTTACTAGGTAAAAGCAGAAGAAGTAAAATCAATTGCCGACGAAGCGAAAGCTGATCTCGCATTAGCCATGCCAGCGATGGAGGCAGCGCAGAATGCACTGAAGGCTCTTAACAAAGCCGACATAAACGAATTGAAAGCATTCCAGAAACCACCAGCACTTGTGCGCTTTGTTATGGAACCAGTTTGCATCCTGCTCGGTGCTAAGTAAGTAACAAGACATATTGTCTTTTCCTATTCTTAATATCCTTCGGAAATTAAAGAATGATAATACATTATATTCTCACACCGTCGCCATGTTTATGTTTCGCTAAATATTTGCTGATGTTCAGTTATAGGCAACGATTACCACTTTCTATCAGATGCACCGTCAGCTTATTTACTACTCCAAGTATTATAAAAAATATTTTACACAAATAATATTTATTCGATTACATAAGAAGTCGCGTGTTCCATATACACGGTTACATAATATTTTATGTAATGATTTTATTGTTTTAGACCTGACTGGGATTCCACGAAAAAATTGTTGGCGGACGTGAATTTCATTCGTAATCTAGAAGAATACGACAAAGATCATATTCCGGATACTACGTTGAAGAAAATCAAAGTCTATCTCACTCACAAAGACTTTAACCCCGAAACTGTGGTTAAAGTATCTAAGGTGAGAATGCTTTTAAAACAGAACTCCAACTGTACAATATAGAATAAGTACAATTAGGTAAGTTAGGGGGAAAGGTATTATTAGTAATGGTTAATAACTACCCCATTGCTAGCAATATATCGTATTAGGTCGACCTCCACGCGGTTCCCCTGAAAACCATCGTGATTAATTCTTGTCAAATTCTTTATGATGAGCCAACTGATCTGCCTTCATCTTCACCTATCATCTATCAGTGGTGCCTGGCCAGCGTATACAGATAGCGCAAGCGGGGTTATAATTCCATTTACACCCATTAAAAAAATGGCTATAAATAAGCTCTAAATTTATTTTTTCGCTAGACATATATTAACAGTATAAAATTATTATTAAATTATTATTAGTTGATTGATTTTTATTAAAATTTATTGAGAGTAAATTATGAGCCTAATTTAGGGTTAAAAATTAAGACGTGAAGACAGTGCAGTTACGTTGTCGATCATAATTTAATATCTATGAGTGAGGTCTTAATCGATTCTTAGGAATAATAGCTAATTGGATATGCGGCTCGAACATTATATGGTGATATACAATTGTTTTTTGATGAAATGATAGTTTCTAATCACAAATATTTGCTGTATCATCACTTTACAAGATATCCATAACAGATTATACATATATTATTTTCTGTATAGGTATGTCGCTCTATGGTACTCTGGGTTCAAGCTATTGATATGTATGCGAAGGTATTCCGGGTGGTCGAACCAAAAATATTGGCGTAAGTATTTACCAAAATTACCCATCCATAAATAACCACAGCACTTGTTATATTTAGCATTTATTGCACTTCTTAATCAGCATTATATAGCTTTTATACAGAATTAATCAATTATGAGCCGATATATACAACATTTTTACACAAAGTCGTAGCTTTGTATAGGCTATCTGTGATATAAGCGTAAGTACTTTGAGTAAATTCGGGTTCATTAGGCTTACTAATAAATAAAAAAAAAATAATGTCAAAAATTTGAGATCTTCTGATTTAATTAACAGTCATTTGAACTATGACCAGGCATAAAGAAGCGGCGGCTGTCTTAAAGAGTGTAATGGCAGTACTGAAAGCAAAACAAAAGGAAGTGGAAACTATTGAAGCGCAACTCGCCAAAATGTTGGATGAATTAAGGGTAACCACTATGTAGCTTAAACTTTTTAGAGGTAACAATTAACAAAGGCATAAAAATGTGTAAATAACACACTAGAACATTTTGGTCACTTAAATTTCATAACTGTAAAGATTATCTGCTTCATAACTATAGTTTTTAATAAAAAAATTACAAAGCTACGACAATTAATTTATTACTTAATGTGACTAAGATAGAAGGGCATTCTAATCCTTCTTCATCCTAAATATTAAATAAGAATATTTTTTATACTTATTAAGGCAATCAACCTAACGGTCCACCTAATGGAAAGTGTAACCGTCGTCTATATAGGTACTATGATGCTCATAATTTTCCTCATGCGTTACCATTCCTGAGGAATTTGTTTTGCCTACTTAGTCTCTAATCTCAGAATGTAACAAACAAATCTGCTTTCAGTCTATACTAAATAAAAGTGCCTATTGTTTTGGGTAAATAATACACGTAGAGAAATTTGTAAATTTAAAGGTGGTGGAAGAGGAACGCATAAAACTCCAGGCGGATGTAGACCTAGCAGCGGCGCGACTGTCTCGCGCGGGGAAATTGACACAAGCGTTGGCTGATGAGAAAACGCGATGGGAACTAAGTGTTAAGGTATCGTAAATCCTACATAAAATCAATTGTAAATAAATCAGGAAAAAAATATTGATAGAATAATTTAAATATTTCAGTATTTAATTTTACCCGTGCATGTCTAATTTGTTCTCAAATAATAATTTTTCAACGATAACTTACGAAATAAAATTGATCATCTGTATCAATATTGCAACAAATAGTTTATACATAACGTATGCAAATAACATGTATGGCGAACATACCGCTTGATAACCTGGTCCGGAGATTAAATAACAACTTTTTATTATTTTGGATTATCTTGGGAATGATATACACATTCCTAAATAATAAAATTTCGTCACTATAATATTTTAGTTTAGACGGTAAAAATTTAGCTTACACTAATCGATTTCATAATTTTATTATTTAATTTCTTTTAAGGAGCTGTATAATTGCGTTTTTTTGGTATGCATCGTTGTTTAAAATAAGCTTATTATTATTTTTTATCGTATATTTATCACGTTTTCAATAACTAAGAATGATAAATTGAATACATGCTCTAATACAGACGGCGACACACCAGTTGCACTGCACAACTGGCGACATCATCGTCGCATCTGGATGTATTGCGTATTTCGGCGCTTTTCCTTCGCACTATAGACGTGAATTGGTAGAGAAGTGGATAAAGCAGTGCAGGGAACTCGAGATCCCTTCTTCGGATACATTCGAGTTTGTAACACACGATTATAAAACAAAACAGACTTATTATTATAGATGAATTAATCCCGTGGTTTCTCGTGAATCAGTACATGAAATATCCTGTGTGCTAATTTACAAGGATATAACCTACCCGTGTACCAAAATTCATTCAAATCCATTCAGTAGTCTTTACGTGAAAAAGGAACAAACATCCATCCGTACAAGCTTTCGCATATTATTAATAGAATGGAAATAACAAACACAAGCAAATGGCTCAAGACGTGACCATTAAGAAAACAATAACGGTAACACAATCTGCCTACTGTAACGCCCATTGCATTCGTCATGCATTGGCATTACCATAACAAAAACCCAATAATATCATTTTACCTATAAAGCTCGTGTTCCTCCCCATAAAAATATATTGGTTAGGCAGCTTAGTATAAGTTTTATTTCGAGTTTTTTTCCCTTTGTACCTACTGATACAAAGGAAGTATCTATATTGCTTTACTCTATTATATAATTGTTGTAAATAAATGGTGACATTGTATTCTTACTTTTTCATCATAATATACATTTTAGACAAGAAATGAGCAGGAGAGCTATTAGCTTCATACCATTCTAAATATATTTAAACTACAAATTTTATCCATATCAGTTCATATCCTATTTGCGATATTTAAGAAAGCGCAATGAAACAGTCTTGATGATAATATTGTCTGATATATGGCCACAAAATATAATAATATATAAAATGACAAAAACTGTTAAAGTACCTACTCTTAAGACTATGATCGAATCATTTTCGACAGCTTAATATCAATAATGGTGGATTCATATACGGTGCGTACATGGAATTCGCAAGGTTTACCACGGGATGCCGTCTCAACAGAGAATGGGATATTAGTGACACGCGCGGGAAGGTGGCCTCTTACCATAGATCCGCAAGAGCAAGTGAGTATAATTTAAATTCATTTAAGTTTTAATTAGAAAACATTAAGATAAATCTCACTAAAGAAAACAAAATGTTAAACATTTTGTTATAAATGTTTTGTCTATAATATCACTAATATTTAAAATTTTTAGTTAACTTTTTGATATAAATATTGAGTAAACTAAAAGTTTACTTTTTTCTACTTTCACAGGCAAATAGATGGATAAAAACTATGGAACGCGAAAACGGACTGCAAATAACTAAATTGAATGACCCCTCGTACTTGCGCGTGTTAGAGAACTGCATTCGACTTGGATGGCCTATGCTCATCGAAGACTTGGGCGAGACGCTCGAGGCTACACTTTCTCCTGTGCTACTTAAACAAACGTTCCTACAGGTAGCTTTCATGCGGGATTACTTGATTATTTCGTAAGACATTGTATAATTTTATTGGTACATTGTAAATTTAAAATTATTATTACTAATGCGCGATACCGTTTTCTATGGTGTAGAAATTGATAATTTAATTTAATAAGGAAAGTAAAACAATATAGTTAACTTGAAAGTTTATGACTAATATACTAATAATTATTTAGTTCAACAATGCTATACTTCAAAATTTTATATTTTCTTTTACAAAAGTTTTCATTTTCAATTTCACTCAGCAAAATTTTTACTTCATAGACTTTTCATATTCTGTAAACTTTGATAATGACAAGTGAAATGAACTTCGTTTAGGACACTAAAGTGCGTACCTAATGATGGTATTCAGTGATTGGACATGGGCTAAATACATCGTATGTATGTATTGCCTGAGGCCCTTTAGTATTGCAAAAACATTTTTTTTTTTATTTAAAGTTAGTATTCTAAATCAGAAATCCCCAAAGCGCGAAGCTATTCAAACCTCGAGGACGTGGGCAAATACTCACGTCACTTACGCCTAATGTCGCTTATGGTAGCCTTATAAAGTCGAGATATCAATTTACAGTTACAATTATTTAAATTCGACTTTATGTAGATTTTTATTGAATGCCACTATATTGCATTACGTAGAATACCACTTGCTAATTCACTCGAAATACATTTGTAGATCCCACAAGTGTAGGTAATTTGAGTTAACTTTACAGAATAGTAGAGAGGAGTGTAAAAATTCATGTGCTCATTTATACTAATTCACGTCAATGCTCCAAATAGAATTATCACAAATTACGTCTTTTATAAATGCATAAATCATGTCAATTTAAATGTTTATTGAATTTTCGTTATTGTCAGGCTGGCCGTTTACTCATTCACTTGGGCGACAGCGACATCGAATATGACACAAACTTCCGTCTGTACTTGACAACTAAACTAGCGAATCCTCACTACCTGCCCGAAATATGCATACAAGTCACACTGGTCAACTTCACTGTCACTTTATCTGGTCTAGAAGATCAACTATTAGCGTTAGTACATAAATTAGATAACCATGTACATTCAATTAAACTAATTATTACGTTTAAAGTTTAAAGCATGGCAGTGAAATTACAGGGAATAAAAGAAAAAATATAAGAATAATAAAAAATCTCAGGAAAATATATAACCGTAGTTTAAAAAAAAAGCATTTATAATTGTCATAGGCCTCACAGAAATTACCTTAATACTTCTAATCCTGTCCATAGGTGACGGTTACCATATTTTGTCATTTGGGCCGTCAAGTAGCAAAAAACTATTCCTCTTCATAAAATGGGGGCACACCCACAACACCCGGAGCCAATTCAGAAAAGATCGTTTCTCAAATTAGCCTAAACAGGAATCAAACCCAGGGCCATATCTTCGAATGCAACATACCAACCGCATACAATAAAGAATGAAAAGTTTTTAAGTTTCATTATTTTTGAGCTAGTAATTGTGATATTTGGAAATACATTATAAATGCATGAAAGACAATAGTGTTATATTATGGTATAGTGTCACGGTTACTAAAACCATATATAAAATTATTAAAAAACAATAATAAACTCCATTAATCTCACTTGACTCACTTTTACAGTTTATAATGTTGATTAATTAAAATTATAAAGCTGTACTTAAAGTTTTTTTTTTTTTTAATTTTTACTTATTGAGTTATGACTGTTCCCGAATTAGTGACGTGGTGCTATTAGAAAGACCCGATTTGGAATTGTTGCGCACAGAGTTGATCGTACGCATCAATACTGACAAGGCAACATTACTCGAGATAGAAGACAAGATCTTAAGACTATTGAATGCCTCCTCTGGGAATATACTTGACGACGAAGAGCTCATTGAAACGCTTAATGAGAGTAAGGTGAGTTAGGAATTATTTATTGCCTATTCTGTACGGTATCTCTGTAGATAAAAAACCGGTCAGGTACGTGTTGAACTTATACGGCGAGGGTTCTATACATAAATATAAAAAAAAAGATATTTATTCCATTCCTCATAAGAAATACATACCTAACATAAAAGTTAATATTATTGATACTACAATTCGTAATTTCTTATGTTAAAGCCCAACATAAGAAATTATTGTGGTTAAAAACTGGGTCGCATAACTTTGTTTTTGGAGTTTTCACGTTTTTAATCATAACTAAAAAACTATCAAACAAAAATAAATAAAAATCTGTTTTGAAATGTACAATTAAATTCCCTTTCGTTTAATATCCCACTTAGACTAATATGTCAATTTTGCAATTCTGAGTGTCCGTTTAGGCTCCGCTTAGGCAAAACAAATAAAAATATAATTTCAATTATTTTCATTGCGATATATGCTGGCGAATATGTAAAACTATTCTAAATTCCAAATTTACAGATTTTGTGGTTGCTGAGACATAGCAATGCGACAGACGGAAGACAGGATAAGCAGACAGACAGACGGACAAACAAAGTCGCATCATATGAATTCCTTTGTACTATTAAAATGAAATCAAACATCGCTTTGGTATTAAATCTTTTCCAAGAAAACAGCAATTTTTAGACTAAAATTAATAATAATATTAAATAATATATTCAAAAATGAAGTACTACGAGTACATATAGACTTATAGGCACAATGAAAAACAAATTGATGGATTATTGTCTCTAAATATCCCAATCTGGCCATTACCTTCTCTGTATAATTATAGGAAACTTCAGAAATCATCAACGCCCGATTGGAGGAAACCGAAGCGACTGAGATTAGCATATCAGCAGCCCGGGAAAAATATCGAACAGTAGCTACGCGTGGCGCAGTACTTTATTTTGCAGTGGCCCAATTAGCGGACATAGACCCTATGTATCAGTTTTCACTAAAGTATTTCAATCAGGTAAATAATATAATATATTTGGAGAAAACGGCGAGAACTGTAGTCCCATTCTCAACGTCTACTTTAGAATAAAGGCAGCTTAATGGGCAAATCTCCGAACGTATATAGCGTGACATACGCCAGTTCAATACTGTATGTACTGAACAAGCAAAAGAGGTGAATCAAAGCTCCAAAGTGTTCGCCAGAGATTTGGTTATTGGGCGAAGTCAACTGACAAAGCTGAAGATCAACATCGGTGATATAATTTCCGCCACATCTGAGATTTTGAGTGAGATTGAGAAGTTCTATGGACAGCTGTACACAATGTCGTTAACACCGCATACCAATGCGGATAAAACCATCTGACATAGATATATGCTTGATATCCCGGCCGCATAACCAGTAAATATTACAAGTCTAATTTTCATTACTATCAATAATAAATATACTTTTAGAAATTAAATAAACAATACTTTCAAAACAATAATTTCTAATTCTTATTTTTCTTTCTGCATAACGTGCGACTAAATTAACATGTTAACCAGGCTTAACATACATTTCAAGCTTTACCTCTCTTGTATTATAGTACTGCGTTTTGTTCTCTTAATCATTTCTAATAATAATCTTGGGAACGAAATGAGCAGGGTAATTTGTTGTCTTACTTCGTTCTTACTTTGTTACCCGTCAGACATATTTACATACCAATAGATTATATAAATAAATTTTCTAAAAATGTTAACAGGTATTTAATTTGGTAATAGAGAAAAGCGAAAAATGTGATGTACTGGAGACGAGACTAGAGATCCTACTTCGCGAGATAACTCTGTCGGTGTATAGAAATGTATCGCGAGGTCTCTTCGAGCGGCACAAACTTGTGTTCAGTTTCCTGCTAAACATGGCTGTTTACCTTAATATCGGCTTGGTGGAATACGACCAATGGAACTTTATACTGCGAGGGCCTGCCGGAACGAAACTTGTTCGTATCTATAGTTTGATATTTTGTAACCCAAATTTTTCAGCTCTGTGGAAATTCCTATATGTACTTTCAAAAGTCCCATTTTTCTTTCAGATATAAACTTTCCATTCGAATAAATAAAAATATTTACTATCAATTTGCAATTATACAATTGACATTTGGATATTAATTATAATATTAATGAGCAGAATTGTTTTTCTAAATATAGGTATTATTCGCTTTGATAACATTATTTGTTTTAAAATCAGGTTCCGCCGAAAAAACCCTCGATAGAAACATTAACAGATCAAATGTGGTTAGCTGCTTATCATTTAAATGAGACGGATCCACACTTTGCGGGGCTTGTCGATGACTGTCTGAAGAAAATACCTATTACCCTGGGCTCATTTAGCGTGGTAAGTTATGGGAAAAATCGATAACAAAATTCAATGCCTATAAAATAATAAAAAGTAATTGTTCCCACAAAAAAACCCGACTACAATCGCAAATCAGTTTCAGTTTTAAAAACTAAGCTATTGAATCGATTTTGATAAAATTTCTTTGGGCCAAAGTGTAAGTATATCCTTTCAGACTAAACGGAGTTTTCTAAATCTTTACAACTGGCGGAGTTATGAGGTAACAAAGATAAAAATTCAAAAAATACAACCTCCTCCTTTTTGAAGTCGATTGAAAAATTGCATATCAATTTCAATAGATTGAATATAACTAATATATGTCTTTGTTATGTATTTATGTATGTACTTATGTATATATGTCTATACATACACACTACATAGGTGTCTACATTTTTGATAACTACAAAAAATCTTATTAATTTTCAAACAATTACTGATAAAACTCTATTGGATTATAAATATAATTCGCTTGGCATTTACATATCATACAAAGTGACTAGATTTATTTGTTCATGACAGTAAAATAAGCACATTTTTGCATATCATTGCACCACTATAATATTAATACGAGGTAAAAATAAATATGAAATAACATTGATTCGTATAAAAAACTGAAAATTTTGTTTGTTTAAACGCGTTAATCTTTAAGATTACCATTCATACCATTCCATATCAGCCGTCAACAGTTCCACTGCTGAACATTGGACCCCCTCAGGTGGTTTACCAGTAGTTGCCATGCTTGGAAGCCGAGTTGACAATCGCAGTAGTCTTTGATGGTGTTTTAAAAGGGACGTAGCTGCCCATTCCTTAACCATTAAAATCCCTTAGTTGCCTCTTACGAAACTCAGGGGAAAAAAGGGTGGCCCATTCTATGCCGGACCAATGGATTTCCATTGGATTTAAGAAATTATTTTTAATTCAATTCTACATCGCGAGAAGACCACGATCGAAGCCATAGAATTTAATTAATAGGTAAATAAAATCGCTAGAGCATGTAGAAAAAAATTCCACTACACAAGTTCCTATGTATATAAATAAAAATATGCATTATAAGCTGAGCATATATATAACTACACTGTATTTCCAGGATATTCATGTAAATAAACGAGAGAAGGCATCGCCAAAAATAGACTGGAACGAACGATTAACAAGTTTCGAGAAACTTATGATCATTAAATGTTTAAGAGAAGAAAAGTTGGTGTTTGCAATAGCTCAATATGTGAGCACAAGTCTGGGTTCAGTGTTCATAGAAAGTCCACCAGTACAACTCAATACATTGCAAGTATATTTCTCTTTGAACCTGTAGGTAAAACGTTAGTTTCAGTTTTAGTAATGTTTGTGGTAGTATTCACAATGCACATTCGCATATGCATAAAGACCCTAATACGGTTCTTAATCGGAACAATTTGAATAACAAATTTCTATAAATTGCTTAGTAGCAAATAAATAAATTGCGTAGTAAGCTAGTGCACATATTAATGCTCACAGGTCTTTATTGCTTACTTTTATTGCAGTTATTTTACTGTACAAAACGTTTTTTAGATTTATAGTAATAAGTATATAGCTATAGTTAGCTTTTTGTACTTTGTACGCGTGAATTTCAGATGTAGAAAAACTAATTAAATAGGCCACTTTTAGATGGCGTATCCAAATTAAACATAGCCACAGATAATATAATACTATATGCCCTGACATAGCGTAACTTAAAATCCAGTATGATTTTAAGTTAAACTTTCAGGAACAACTATGACAACTATGAAAAGCATATCTAATTCAGTACAATAGTTTTTGGATTATGCCGGAACAAACATACAGACAGACCAAGAAATTTCTTATTTTGACATGTACTGATCTTATTAAGTACCTTCATATTCATTTTTCTAGTTATAATTTTATTTACAAAGATTATCTTATTACTTTATAGTTAACACATAGACCTAGATGGATTTGTAAATATAGGATTTTATTTCATGTGTTGTTACTTGACATATATTCTTACTATGGCACCACAAGATTAATTAGTGTAATTGGTGTGTAAGTGGTATTAATCCCACCAGACGGATAAATGAAAAGTATATTTAATAAAAAAAAATACAAATATTTTATCATTTACATTTAATGTAACTTTTTTAAATGGTAGTAACTAATCATATGTAAATATGCAATCAATACATATATTTATTTCATTGTTTAAAATTAAACAATGACTTCAGGTAACACCAAAATAGGATATACTATAGAATCTGTCGAGTTATATATTACAATATTTTTTATACAACTAAACAATAACACAATTATATTGTATTTATCAACAAAAATGATTTATAGAGTATTTTTGTAACTTAATAATTAGTTAATCACAATAAAAATAACAATCAAGTCTTATATAATATAAGTCTGAAGTTACTTAATATGTGACAACATTCCTAAATAATTAAGTACTAAATTATAATTAACATATCGTATCGTATAAAGAATCATTCTGATGGAAAACTTTACATCACATCACATTTACGACATAGGTAATATATCTAACCTAATAATACATCACAATCATATTTTGAGTTAACTTCGGACTGATTAATGAGTTTTTTTTTTATAAATACTACAATTGTTAAGCACCGACATATCATTGTTTTAATGACCCTGTCTATAGCCATACTTTACCAATATTATCGGTAATGAAACTGATACAATTGCAAAATGTATTAATATAAAAGAGAAGACTTAAGATACAATACTAGGATCCCAAGCATATTTAGTGTTGCGTTCTCCTAATGCATTAAGAGCTTCGAGATCCCCATTTGGTATAGTGAAATTAAGGGCCGTATTTTCCTTCATGCGCTCAAAATTAGTCGATTTTGGTATCACAGCGACTCCTTGTTGTAGTGCCCATTTTAAAAGTATTTGAGCACAAGTAACACCTAGCTTTATTGCAATATTGTTCACCAACGGATCGTTCATTAAACTCATATTAGCAGCGGAAGTACCGCCTAATGAGCAGTAAGCTTGAACAACAATATTATTCTTCTTACAATATTCCAGAAGTTCACTTTGATGGTAGTAAGGATGCCATTCAACCTGCAAAATCCTTCACTGTTGTATACAGGATATATATATTAAATAAAAAAAAGAATCTTCCAAATAGTTCACAACTGATAAGAGTTATGAAGTAAGCTAACACAAGCTACCTAATAAATTGATAAATTGAAAGCTTTTACAAAAACTTCTTTTAAATATTATTTATAATGTTTCAATGAACAATTGAACCCAAGAACCTTGAAGATTTATTTTCCTCTGATAATATATTTAAAACTCAAAAACATAAGACAGTAAAACTGACATACCTGATTAACAGTTGGAATCACGCCATGATTAGAAGAGAGTAATTGCTGAAGATGCCTTACGGTATAATTTGATACACCAATAGCCCTTATATAACCCTGTCGATAAAGTGAAACCAATCCAGCCCAAGTCTGATCACGTATTTTAATATTAATTGTGTCATCCGAGGAAGTTCTAGCAGTGCCAGGAAAATGAACTAAATATAAGTCTACATAGTCTACGCCTAGGTTCTCCAATGACTGCCTGTAAGCTCTAGTAGTGATTGGTCGACTCCCATGATCAGATGGGGCTGGGAAAAGGAAAGTATTATTTTTAAACAGATACATAATAATTTTTTAAATAAATTATTATAAAACAAAAACAAAAATACATACAAAGTTTAGTTGTAATAAAAATATCCTCTCTCTCAAGACCATATTTTGGTAGTAATAAGCGGAATGCATTTTTTAAATAACTCTCATTACCATAAACTGCAGCGGTATCTGTAAATAATAGATTTTTATTAAATTTGCTAATAAAACAAATTATATTTTTTTTGAAAAATAGATAAACAATAAAACATTCAAAATTGTTTTACAAAAAAAATTGAATACAAATGTAACTGACTTTTTAAAATATGACCGTGTGTCTATTAAATAAGTGAACTGACACTGTAAAATATTTTTATTTATTACATATTTATATAGCATCACCTTCAATATATAACCCTCCTCTATCCCTACAATACTATATGTTATAATGCAAAATGCTGTTGGTGTTCCTTAAATAAATAAATAAAATACTCCATTCGAATCTCGCATTGTTAAAAACAGTTCTGAAAGTCTTCCTCTGTCAGCTCCTTTAGAACTCATAACTTTTTCTCTTTCACAGCTTCAAGGGGCTCAAATCTTGTTCTTTTTAATGCAAGTTTTACCTTAAGTAACAGATAAAAGTCAGACGGCGCAAGATCCGGTAAATAAATAGGATGGTCTAGCACTGGACGGTACTTGCAAGTTTCTTGTTATTCAAACATAAGAATTAAAATTGTAAAGTTTGCAATATGGTTTCTTTATCAATTAGTAAAGTTTCAGCAACTGCACTAATATTTAACTGACAGATTAAAACTGATTACATATTATTATTTATATTGTCATTCTTTTTTGATGTGGAAGGTGACTCGGGTTTCAATATTCTCATTGGAGATATCCCTTTCAGCCATCTTGCTAAATTCAAATTCAAATCATTAATTGCACGAATATGGGTACATACATTAAATGAAAATATTTTTTACAGGTCCATTATTCCACATTCTACCATATTGGCATGTACAATATATGTGTTCTTGTGGTTCTTACAAAATGCTTAAACTAATCAAAAACATGTGCTCACGATAAAAGTTCATTACCATACACTTTGTTCAATAAATTATAAACTTTGGTAGTGATTTTATCAAATTTCATGTTAAACTACACAAGATTTCATTGTTACAGTTACATTTTTCTGACATACTTTATAGGAGCAAGAGGCAGTACATTAAGAAGAGAAGGTTTTACTATAAATAGATTTCAGTTGCTAATGTTTGTTGCATGTATATCACTTCTATAGCAGTGTCAGTCTCTTTAATTAATAGCCACACCTTATATGTTTTTTTATATATTTTTCCTCTGTGATTCTTATTTATACATTTTTTAATTACACAAAATTACAATAATTGCTAATATTACACTATCAGATTCTTAAATTACGATAATTATATGACATTATCATGCAATACAATATTTTGTGTAGAATTAAGACAATAAGCATTGTATAGCCAAAAAATTTTAAGTTGATTTTTCATATTATGCTGATACTAATATAAATGCTTATTCTCCTAAGTTAAACTCTTAGCTCTTCAATAGCTACTATATAGTAGTAATAGTCAAGACTCTAAATTAACATTGTTTCTATGATTAGTCAATCTAATTGATAACTGTTAAAGCTATCCTACAAAGATTGAAGAAGGGAAAGCCCTTAAAAAGTAAAAAAAAAGAAGTTTTAAAGCCCTATTATGATAATTATTTGATTATTTTCTAGAGTTTGAATTCACTTTTAGCTTTGCTAACATTAATCACAACTACCTAAATAGAAAATATAATTTTTAAAAAACACTATTAAAGCAATTTAGCATTTGTAAAAATCGTAAGAGCCACATATAAGGGGCCCTTATGAAAAAGAGAACTTACCAAACATGCGATATCCAGCAGCCAAGGCAAAATCTACTGCTTTAATTACAGGTTCTTCTCCTCTGATACGATAAGTCCCCACTGTAATTAATTGTAAAGTGTAATAAAAATTGAATGACAATTTTTTTTAATTCTTTATTGAATAACAAATTACACCTAGTTACATCTACTAGCCACCGAACTAGGCTGAGCCTGTATCTCAGTGGTTAGTTAAAAACTTCCTTTGACTTAACATAAGTATTCATAAAAGACAGTACAATCGAAAACATAAATACACTCATTTGCAATGTTCAATTTACTTTTGATGCAACATTGTTAAATGTGGGTAGCATCATATTATTCAGTTACAATTATGATTACAGTTTACCCACCCAATGTGAAATATTATTTGCCAGTCATCTTAGGAACCACATAAAGTATTGATTTATGACAAATATTAATAAATTAATTTATATTATAACATAATATTATTTTAAACAGAGACTAAGTATTGTTAGACAGAACATCAAATTTACAATGTGTTTCATTTAGAATAATTTATGAGTACATCCATGTTTTTTTTTTGTTATTTAAGCATTCTATGAGTAATAATGATGAAATATTAATAATTACTATATATGTGTAAGTAGGGTGTGTGTGTGTGTGTGTGTGTGTGTGTGTGTGTGTGTGTGTGTGTGTGTGTGTGTGTGTGTATGAATATATGGAGTAATATATATTATTATTGATCCAAAACTATTTTCAACATCAAATTACATTTATAAGAATATTATCATCATATCAGCTGCTAATTATACAGTACTGTCAATTGCTAAACATAGATCTCCTCGATAAACTGCCATAAGGAAAAATTTTAAGCCATCTATATCCAATGACTTCTGTAATACATTTGACGTAATATCTCTATCTAGTGCAAGTCATCCTACACTACGTATGCCTGTACAGAGTCAACACTCAAGAACCTTTCTTCCCCATTGATTGTCGGTGCCCAGCCCAACCACATAGTGAGGGGGGAAAGGGATTGTTAGCAATGGAGTTTGACAGCCCCATTGCCAGCAATACGCCTTATTAGGTCGACCTCCACGTGGTTCCCCCTGGAAACCATCGTGAACAATTCTTGTTGAATTCGTCATGATGGGCTAACTGACCTACTTCATCCTCATCTATCATCCTTCACTGGTGCCCCGCCGGTGTATACCGATAGCGCGGGTGGGGTTACCATTCCATTATCATCCACTAAAAACCACATAGTGAAGAATTTTATTCTATGTCCCATTTATTCGTACGTAAAGAGAAAATTACTTACATCCAATAGCTGGCATTTCTACTCCATTATTTAATATAAATTTTTTATCTATTATATTTTTGCAGGCCGCCATGCTTGCTTCAAAGTTTCGAATCTTCACGAATCTGATTTTGAAAAGCAGAAGTACCAATCAATATAGGAAATATTAAATAATTATTTAATCAGATTTCTTTCTAGTTAAATAGAAACTGATCTTGACTCAACCTTGAACAAAAACTTTTAAGTTGTAAGTAAACTAACAACAACAACGTGCATGTAAAAGCAAAACTACTAAGTACCTACAGAAAAATATACAAGTGCTTACCTAGAATTAGAATTGTGAATGTGCGGGTGAATTAGTTTGGCACTTAGGCAACTTTGATAAGAATTGAAACACTTAACAATTACAACAAATCTATTAACAATTACAAACATGAAAAATTTATCATAAAGTAAAAATTTATCACAAATAAAGATAGCTTGGTCTCGCAGAAAAACACCCCAAAACAAGCGAAGCAACTAATAACAAGACGCCAATAAAAAATAAAATCAATTTGTACCCCCCACCCTAGCCACATTCACCTTTATTTAATTATTTTTTTTAGTATGTTGTTCCGTTGTGGAACAGGCTAAGGTCGGAGACTATGCTGCCTAGTCTTCAATATGATAATTTGTCTGGAATTCACCTTTATTAAAAGTCATTCTGTCAGTCACCTGGGTTACCAGTTATTATTTTAAATATTTTCCCTAATATCAGATATTTTTCTCCGTATCAATATGACTTTTTTATTTTTACCCAATCACAAATTTGCACGACTTTCACTATGTTTTGCCTATGTAATTACAAAGTAAACAATGGGCGCGCTCCCCACGATTAATTTGTTTGACCTTCTGTTTTGCTACCTTTATTTTACCTTTAACACACATACCCTAAAAAAATGGGGGTGAATTCAGGTAAATTGAAACAATCTAAGATCGTAATATTTAAAATTTAGCTACTTATTATTTACTAAACGCCTGGTTTTCTTGAAATTTTCCCAAATGTGTTCATTTTTATGCACCTTAAAATTGGAATGAACAAAAATAATAGAGGGGTCAATAGGAAAATGCATCATTTTTATCTTTATATTGTTGTTTTGAAAAAATGTTTTCTCGAGAATTGGCAGTTTTTTAGTTCTCGGCCAAAATACAAGTTTCGTCCACATTTGTAAAATTTTTTTATATATTTTATTAATGATCTTCTAATCATCAGTTCTCGATTACCGTTTTATCGCCATGAAACATGCTTTGATATATAATAAAAAAATTTCGGTCGTATTCTTATGTTTATCTATCTATTAATTAAAAAGTAGGACTAAAATATTTCTAACCATAATATCCACCAAATGAGTATAAGCACTAAAAAATAGCTAAAAATGTTAGCTGTCGTAGTCTTTACCTGTCGGGTGAAACCCCATGGGGGAAGACCTGGGAAACCGCCAGCATATGAATGAACCCAGCGGCGCTGGTGTCCTCACTGTGAAGTCTTCCGGAAGAGTCTTCCGATGTATTTGCGCGCGGAATTTGAGCTCGCGCGTGTAAGGCTTCGAGGCCGGCGATCGCATGTGCAGCGGAGCCAGGTCTCTGCCCCAGGTTGATGCGTCTGCGCGCGAGATCATCTTGATGATCAGATTCTCGATGTGGACATTAGTGTGAAGATATTGAGGTATCTTTCGAGTAAAAAAGTTCCTCACTTACCTGTATGCGCCAGTGATGGTACATACGTAGCAAGATGCTCCTGGGCTCGGAGCTTCCTCTTGTTGGTTTGACTCAAATTGGCGTACCACGCTGGTGCAGCGTGCGTGAGGCGTAGTCAAATGTATCTCTTGTAGAAGTTAACCTTTGCCTTAAGAAGGAAGTTTCCAGTCAATACCGAGCACCGGAGAATTCCAAATTCTTGCTTTATCCGCAATGAAGTTACAAGGGGGCAAACATTCTGTGAATGCTTGCTTAGTGGCTACTAAGAGCCTTAGTAAGAGCAATTTATAGTTTTTTTTTTTTAATGAGTATTAAGAAATGTTGTCTCTGTCTGATCTGTCTATATGTTTGTTGCAGCATCACGCAAAAAACTACTGCACGAAATTGTATGAGGTTTTCAGTTATATTCCTGAAGGTATAACTTTATAACTTATGTATATTTTATCTTAATACGCCATCTAGAAATAGTCTATTTTATGAATTTTCTTTCCTACATCTGAAATCCACGCTTACGAAATAGCAAACAAAAATCTACTTTTAAATCAAATATAATTTGAAGAAGAATTGAAATCGATTCAATTTAATACATTCTAGCCTCTAATTTACATTTTCGTTCGTCATATTCGTCAATTTCTCCCTTATGTATATATATATTATATCTATATTCTTATTAATATAAATCTAAAAGTGAATTTGTTTGTTTGTATACTCTTGACGACTTAACGGTTTAACCAATTACTATAAAATGCATACATATACTATATGGATTCAGAAGCACATGCAGAGAATCTATGAGATAAAAAGTAGCTTAGGTATGTACCTAAGCTACTTTTTATTTCAGTCTCGTGGACAAAGCCGTGGGTAAAAGATTGTAATCTTGTAAATGTAAAAAATTCTAAAGATGTTTGTATCTTCGTTATTTAATCATATTACATAAATGGCTGAATAGTTGTGTATTAAATTTAGTACACGGATAGCTTACCTAGATTTACTTGAAAAAAAAATGAAAAGTTTTAATATTGTCCCTATTCAACCCATTTTACGGTGATCTTATTTTTTTTTTTATTTTTATATTTTATAATTAGGTTTCATATAAATTACTTTCCGATACTTAACGTCATAATCGACAAATAAATTGCAATACGCATAATAAAATGCATAACAATAAAAAATATTGGATATATAAAATATTATTATGATATATATAACGGAAAGTAATGGAAACATAAGTCATTGAAACCATATAAATATAGTAGGAATATTCAATCAATACTTAGTCTTATCTGCGCGGTTATGATGTTCTCCGAGACTCAAACCAGCCGCACTGGGAAGCTCCCCAGCGCAACGTTCCACTACGATGCCGCGCAAATGCTATTATATATATGCCCAAACCCAATGAGATACACGAAACTGTTCAGCTTCTTGATCAAACAAGTATTAACTGAGCGGGCATAGGTAAAAAAGCCATGAGCTTAGCTAATGCTTGTCATGATGGATTGGTCTTTTCAAGTACACTGTAATTATAGTTTTTTTTTTTTTTTTATATATTTTTCATTTTATCCATTTACTTATTTATTGTAAAATCAACTCATATTTGAAAAAAGGAAGTTATGTTTTTTTTCTTCTTGCTTTCTTCTTTTTTTCTATCCCGTTTTTCTCAGATGAAATTGCATTCCGAATTGGATAGTAGATTCATAAAAATAATACTATTCAAAAACTATTAATAAAAAATGAATAAAACTATTTTTATTTATTCCATGAACAATTAAAAGTTACCTATCTGTTTAAATGTACATTAATAACTTTGTCTGATTCTGAGACCAATAAAATTGTAGGTACGCTCTTTATATTGCATTGATAAAATCATATCAATGAAATCAGATTTATTTAAAAGTCAAAATTTAAAGTTGTAAGAATTTACCTTACAACTTAAGGTAAATGCTAGTTTACTACTTATTTCATTATACATAAATGTTGATGTAGTTGTGCACCTAATAAAGTATTATTTATTTGGTTAGGTTTTGTGGTATTCCACAACACTAGTATTTTTATTCGATACTTAACTGATACTTAAATTGCAATGAAATTCAACTAAAAATATAAAATTACAGATACGCTGACACATCATCGACTATCCCCCTAGTTTTTATCTTGAGCACAGGTTCTGACCCCTTTGGTGCCTTTCAAAAATTTGCAACAGAGATGGGTATGCGTGATCGCGTTAGATCAATCTCGTTAGGCCAAGGACAAGGTCCTGTAGCTGAAAAAATGATCAATAACGGTAAAACGAAAGGAGATTGGATTTTTCTACAGGTGTGTTCAGGACAACTTTATTAATCTATTACCACAGCGTATACTTTTACAAATTATAACAGCATAATTAATCACTATAAAATTTAGTATCCACCTATCATATAAAATGCAGAAGGATATAAATTTTCCCCCAGTAAGTAAATATGGGATATATGGGATGTCACGCGGAGAAAATCAAGTAAAAGCTAGTTATAAATAAAAATCGCTTTAATGATTGTTTGTTAATCTACTTTATTGCCATTTACCTATTACGAAATGGGAAAGATTTTAAATATGTTTAGATAATGGGATGATTGTTACCTACTCAATCACACGCAAACGGCTATAAGGAACGGAATTGGAATTTGGTACTATTGAAATTTGATATTATTTATAACACTATACCTAAACATAAGATTTTTTTTGTCCTATTAATCCACAAGATACAACAAAAACAAAATTGGCATATGAATATTATTTTTTTCTAGAAATGTAAATATTATATTTACTCAATTATTTTCCAGAATTGTCACTTGGCTGCATCCTGGATGTTGAACCTGGAGCTCATAGTGGCAAATCTAAGCAGTGAACAAAGTGTGCCTCACCCAGAATTTCGTCTCTACTTAAGTTCTATGCCTACTGATAAATTCCCAGTGTCAGTGCTACAAAATTCAGTGAAAGTTACTAATGAACCCCCAAAAGGTCTTAAGGCGAACGTGAAAAGAGCTTTAATAGAAATGGAAGAAGATTTTTTTGAAAATCATGGTATTATGTTTTAATTTAATTGAAACTTTTAATTAGATATTGAGTACACAGATACCTACTATTAAATTTTTAGTTGTACTCTAAACTACTTGTTCTATCTCTGAGGTTAGCCACAATGTGAAATAGCTAAATGTCAGTTCTGTAGTCCTTTTAAATAAGCCTGAAAGTGCTCTAATGAGCCTAATATCCAAACAATCACATCATTTATTCATACACCTTTAATCGAAAATTTTTAGATCGATAATTACTCTTTACACATATAATTTTTGATTAGATTTGCTCATATTTTTTAATTACAGTATTAGAACAAGATTGGCGTACAATGCTATTTGGAATTTGTATGTTTCATGCAATAATACAGGAAAGAAAAAAGTTCGGGCCGTTGGGATGGAATATTATGTACGAATTTAACAACAGCGATCGTGAATGCGCTATGTTGAATTTACAAATGTTTTGCGAAGATGGTCATATTCCTTGGGATGCTTTGGAATATATTTCAAGTTGGTATTCCTACGATCACCTATCATCGTTGAACATATAATTAGTTTGTAAAAAAAAAACACTATGAAGCAACTAATTGCATACATGATATAGTTGCATGACAGTTTCGGTTTGAAGAGTGGAATACACGATAAAAGTGGTTCATTAGCTTGTTTGCCAATATAATTTGCAAAAAAAAAACGATTATTAAATCAGTCTTAAATTTTGTTTTTCTAATATTTACAAACGTATTATTAAATTGTAGTTTATTAGCTCTTAGGATATCATCCTGCTATTTATTCCTTTTTATTTAACGGTTCTCTGGTTTATTAGGTAAAGGGCTTTGGCAAGATAAGAATAATAAAGGAGAACCTTAAAAATAATTAGACTGGCTTATTTACTATTTTTATTGGAGAGCTGGCTACTTATAAACAATAGCTTAATGATAACGTAAACGACTAGGGTAAGCTAAAGCATAAAATGTCCTTTATAGGTTCAATCACATATGGTGGACGAGTAACAGATATGTGGGATCAACGGTGCTTGACCACGATCTTGAAATTATTTTTCTCCCCGCCTATCTTAGAAGAAGGGTACACTTATTCACGTTCTGGTCTTTATTACTGTCCCCGAGCAGAAAAGCTGGAAAGCTATCGTGAATATATTGAAACATTACCAGTTATAGAAAGCCCTGAAGTATTTGGAATGCACGAAAATGCCAATATTGCATTTGAGGTTAGTGTTTTATAAGTTATGTAGTTTTGTAGAAGACTATTTATTTAGTTGATGATGTTCATATAGCACAGACTCAATTCGCTAAATCTATAGTGTTTGAACAATCTGGTTATACCGTCCTTTTTTACTGGATAACCTCTTTTGGAATCACTCTCCCTATTTATATCCCAAAGGATTTTTTGTTTACATCAATTTTTCTATTACGTAACCTACAATAATACATAATACATACAATAATAAATAATACATAATATATTTATTGTGATTTCTCTAGAACAAGGAAACGAATACACTGATTCAGACTATAGTGGATGTCCAACCAAGATCAGGTGGTGGAGGTACAGATGAAACGCCAGAACAAATAGTGTGGCGTATTTGTGATCAAACACGCGCAAACATTTCTACGAAGATTGACAAATCGCTGATCAACCCTGAACTAATGCAGCGTGACGACATGGGTCAATTGAACTCGCTCACTACTGTACTGCTACATGAAACAGACAGATTTAATACACTTCTTGCATTAATACACTCTTCGCTAAATGAACTTCAGAAAGCAATTAAGGTAAATAATAATCGAGCATATGAAAATCTAATTAATACTTATATTATATATCTAATTAAAATATAATGAAATCTAATTAGATACATGTAGAAGAGGACCACCAGATATCAGTAGGAATTCTAAATCAGTTTTTGTTAGGTTATGTATCTTACAATATATATATATATATATGTATATATATATATAGGCTCGCTTGATGGTAAACGTAGTATATATTATGGAATGTCATTCCATTCCATTCCATTTATGTCTTGGAATATCATGAATCCTTTAATTATGTGGTGAAGTTCGTTAATAGGTAATGTCAATTTACTAAAGAAACGGTAAAATTCTAGGTAATTTACGATTTCCGCGATAGGATATCTATGTCCAAAAATATAAAGAATTTCTTACTATAACCACCGATGGCTCGCACCTGTCCAGTATTTATACTTCATATTTTAATTGCAGGGAATGGTTGTTATGTCGGAAGCATTTGAAGAAGTATTTAACGCTTTCTTAAATAATAGGGTTCCAGCGATGTGGCATAAGAAAGGTTACAATTCACTGAAATCTCTTGGCAGCTGGATTCACGATTTAATTCTCAGAGTAGATTTTATCGAGGTTATACTACTATACTAGTTCAGTTTGTGTAAAGTAAAATTGTATATTTATTAACTTTATTTAAAAAACATTACAGAAATGGCTGATAGACGGCAAGCAGCCTAGTAGCTGGGTATCAGGCTTGTTTTTCCCACAAGGCCTACTGACTGGCTCGCTGCAGTCGTACGCGCGTCGATATCGAGTGCCTATTGACGCACTTATGTTTGACTTCGAACCAATTCCATTTTTCCTTTCGCAAGAAGATATATACACGCAAAATAAGAAGAAAACTAAAGTAACATTTTATCACATTCAAATAGTTTACCAAAGACTAGTAGCGTGAATTGCTGGTTTGACTTTTGATCAAAACAATTTAGAAACGATTATCCATAAGACTGTAATATATTTATGATGTTCGTGACGCAGTGTCACATACATGTGAGGTAGGCAAATCGCGTTACTTTATACGCGAGTAAGGTTAGGCCAATCAAAGAAATTAAAATATGTACTAATCAAGTCTTATTGTTCTAAGTTATGTCCACAAATCTTCATTGTCTGATTATTATAGGTATGATTGAATAGCAATACTAGTGATTGCTTAAACATTTTCTTTAATACATGGCGCTCGTTATACTGTACAGGATGAAGGACCAGATGTGTATGGCGACTTGGTGCTGCCAGAAGATGGTGTCAATATCCATGGTTTGTTTATTGACGCAGGGCGTTGGGATATGCAGAATAATTGTCTAGTGGACGCATTACCAGGTATGTTGTTAAGAGAGAACAAGTGTAACCAATTCATTAACATTATCATCTCTCCATTGTCGACTGATTATATGTGATTCTAGTCCCAGTCGACATAACAAAGTTGCTAGCAACCTTCTTGCAGTCTCTCCTGAAAACGATCGTGGTTAATTCCTAGAGCAACCGATCCGACCTCGTCGAGGGGATAGTAATAGGCTCTAACAACCCAACCCATTGTTAGAAGGGGGAAAAGAACTGTTACTAGTGAGATCTGACAGCGCCATTACTAGCAATATACTTTAACAGGACGACCTCCACGTGGTTCCTCCTCGAAACCACAGTGGTTAATCCTTGAATTCGTCACGATAGACTAAGGGGCTTCTATACCATTTTCACCTATAAAAAAGACCTGACTTCTTCGACAGCTTTTCATCCTACCCCGCGATTGTACACTGCCTAAGTGGATGTAGTATTTCAATTCTCATCCATAATAAATTAGCTCGTTAACAATTTATTGTCTCTATGGCGTTGGGGGCTTATATAATATAAATATGTGATCATCGTCAGTAATATCTATACTTTTTTAAGCTTAATTAGTTTATTACCTGCGGAAATCGGCAGATGCATAGCATTCAACCGTTCTTTATGGAGGGTTGGCCACTGAATTCACCATTTGCTTAACTTACCTCTGAAAATATAAATATGTACTAATTTCATAGTTTTATGTGGTTTTTATTATGCCAACTGTATATCGGAATAATAAAAAATCTGTATATTAGACAATAATTGGATTGAAGCATTTGTATTTTTATAAGAGAATTATATTTGATTTCTAAAGGGCAAATGAACCCGCCATTGCCGGTGGTTTGGTTCAAACCTGTATTGGAATTGCCAAAGCCGGATCCACGGTACGACGCTCCACTGTACAAGACATCAGAGCGTGCTGGCACTCTGTCTACCACAGGCCACAGTACTAACTTCGTGCTGTCAGTCTTGCTGCCTGCCAGTGAACCATCACCGTTCTGGATTATAAGGGGCACCGCCTTACTCACACAAATCACTGACTAAATTTATACGTCTTGCCTTAGAACTAGACCTATATTACGTATAGCATTTATTAATGAAACTTCATGAATTAGTTGGCCCCTTATTCATAAAAACGTCAAACCTCTCATAAACCTATTTTAGCTTTTGAACTGTTGTGTCTTTCTTTTACACTAAATTCCCAATTTAAAAAAATAACAAATCAGGAGTATATTTGTAGAAGGTTTAACCCTTAAAAGCCTGATTTTTTTTAAATCAAATAATAAAATATATAAGTATCCTTTACTGTTTCTATATTTAAATTTATTTTACAATGAAACAATGCAAACCTCTGTATTAAATTTGAAACTTCAGGCATTTAAGGGTTAAGAAAATAAATAACACTCATATAGTAATATACTCACTTATCTAATATTATTGGAACATTTATCTATAAAGATGATGGCCCACCTGAAACATATCCTTCACAGAGTACATTGTAACGTAAATACTAATAGCCTATTTGTTAATACTAATATGTAATTAACACATGACCCATATTATTTGTATCACAAAAATAAATTTGAATTGAAATTACCTAATTAAATTTGGTATTGTAATTCCAAAGTAAAATAGAATTAATTTCGAATTTAAGAACATAAGATTTTCATTATGACTGTAATTTTTAAAATAACTATACAAGCATTAAAATGTAGCTATTGTTAGGGTCCCGTCGTCAACTGGCCAATAAGGTTGTCCTCAAAATTACCCTTATATTTCTCTATTGAATTATTAATGGCAACATAGTTTCTATTATAAATTCAATAGAGAAATATTAATGTTAATTTAATGGTTCTAATTGGAAAAACTACCTTTACTAAGTTTAAATAATATGTGTAGGTAGGGTAGGTACGCACTCAATCAATTAAGTCAATTAACACAAATTAACCCTCACTGACGTGTATCATATCGAAGTTTAAAAATAATAAATGTTCCTATAATGTTTATTTACCTATTATAAAAATAATATAATTTTTATTGAGTATGAATTGTTTTTGTGGACTACCGAAACAACTGTTCACATAAACATGGTATTTTGAATGATTTGTATGCAATAGTACAATATTGTAGATTTGTTATATTCTTATGTTAATATCTATTATTTTAATTTGGAATATATTATCTACATTACACTATATTTTATTTACTGTCACTACTAATATTTGCATGGTATGAATCTTATTGAATGGAAACTGAAGCAGCACCTTGACTCCTAAAAGTTTACCACACCATGGAAAATGGGAGTGACAGGAAGCTGTATATAAATTTATTAACTACTGAGCCTATTTAAGTCAGTTAACTGTTAATGACATAAATAGCCGCTGACTTCTGTAAAATCGTTGACATTTTAATGAAACTTGGTTTGAATGAAAGATGAGTGAAAATATAATACAATGGACCTGGGTTATTGCTATCAGTTAGCCGTAATTGTTGCCGCATGACAACCCTTACTTGTGGGTTATCTTTTAGCTTTTTGTTACCTTATATATAAAAGTAAAAAGCCTGACCCTTTCCTTTCCCTTAGGTGTCGTAAAAGGCGATTGGGTTGGGTTCTAGCATTCACCCAACGTGATGAATACCACAATCAATCACAATGGTTTCCAGAGGTAACGACATAGAGGTCGACCTGGCAGGCTACGTCACTGCCAATAGAGCTATTAAACTTCTTTTTCTTCCTCCGTTTAGTGCAAAACTTATCAAAAATCATGATGGGTTTACCAAATTTACTAAATTAATTCTTCTCGCCTGACAATGCTGGGTTGCGGCTAAATGAAAGCAGGTAACCCACGTGCATTGTATTATATTTTTGACCATCTTTCATTTAAACCAAGTTTTATTAATAAGTTTTATATCTACAGAAGTCAATGACAGGATCTTGGACTATAAGCTACCTAAGTTATTGGTAGGACGGATTATTAACCTTAGTTCCAATACCTATGATACTTCAAAAGCGTAAACTTTAAACGCAATTTCATATTACTAGGAAGATGATGATAGGTAACAAATAGTTTAATGAAATTGCTTTCAGTTGTGTATACGTTTTATTTTCAATTTATTCTAGTTGTACATATTAACTATTTAATGTATTAAAGGCGGATAATTGATACTAATGATTTTATTTGAAACTGATTTATTTAATCTGGTTAAATCTTCGTATCTCGAACATATCAGAAAGTAATGTACGACAGTTATGGAAACATGGAAAGAAAATGTAAGATGAAGAGAGTCCTGTGTGGAGGCGACATACAAAGTCATATTTTTCATATTTATTATACTAGGTTACGGCGGGCAAATTAACAAGTCTCTTTACAAATACAGCAATAATCAAGTGAGCGACGAAACGAGAAATTAGCCACACACGCCCAATACACGACAAATGTTGTTCGAACACAATTGTTATGCTCAGTATAGTTGTTTTTACCACATGAACTTCCACATTCCATAATGAATCTAATTGTAAATGCAATTTTCTGATGGTAAATATAATAGCCAATTCAAATATTTAATTTAAGGCCAACGCCATCGAGGGATATTTGGCCGCGGAAATATGAAAATATTATATTTTGTCCCTCGAGGGTAAAGATACATCGCAGAAGACGTACAAACATTGTACGCTTGGAAATTAATGAAATTGCAATACTAAGAGTAGACAATTTTTTTGAGATAGTACATGCATTAAAATCTGAGTTTGGAGAGGAAGAAAAAAAAAGATAAAACAGAGAATTTTTCAATTAATAAATCTTATCAATTTTTAAAATATTATTAATAATAATAATTAATTCTTAATAATTTTTAAAATAATAATAATCATTAAAATCAGTAACTAGAACTAAAATATATCATTAGTAATCACGAAACTAGAGTATCTAATTTCTAACATTGAACATTGTGCTAGTCAGTTTGTGTAATAGAATTAAAATACATTCAGAATAATTATAAAATTCCCTACGTAACGCCTAACACTGACCGAAATCCGGAATTGGCTTTAAGGTGTTGTTGTAAGCGACGTACTTTTTCGAACACTCGCGTCGATTTATACATATGCTCGCCCTTCTTGTCTTCGCAAATTCGGCGAAGCTTTCTTTACAACGCTCGGTTTCTCTGCGATGCGATGTTTGTATTTGATCAAGAAAACATATGTTAAGGACTGTCCGTCGATTGCGTAGGCCTTTAAAGAAAGATAAATTCTGGATTTCTATATTAATTGTGTTATAGTTTATTTAAAACTATACGATAGTTAATATAAAGAACGACATTATGACAAGAGTTAAAATTCAGTCGTTACGCGATTCTTAAATTTCCAATTATTTTATATTTCGAGAAACTATCTTGTAGAAACGCCGATATAATGAATTCACTTTAATTAAAAATAATGATGATTCTATCATCATTTACTCATCTCATCATGAAGACATCTGAAAACTCAATTATATTAATTGGAGTGAATTCTGAAGCGCCTTGTCTGTAACATATCTGTTTAAATTTCATAGTTTTATAGACCACCATAAATTAAATTTATAATAATTTTTATTTAAATTTACTTGAAATTTAGTTCTTTTTGGCTCTCATAAAAGCATAAAGATTTTGTTGTGATAATAAACTGCAATTTTAATTTTCGTGACAGATTTAGAAAAATGGTGCTTCAGAATCGACCCCGTTATATACAAGCTAACATAAATAATATATGGGGCTTTCTTCTTTTCTATCAACAAGACATGTCTATTTACAAAAATAAAAAGTTATACTTCCAAAATATTTAGAATCTTAATTATTTTTCTAACAAAAAATATTTTGACTGTGCAATGATTATAGTAACAATAAAACTATTTACTATAATTCGTTTTTACAAAATATCTGTGACAGATACACAAAAAGTGTGATAGAGATGTTTTACGCACATATAGATAAAGTGCGTCCCGTGAAAAAATTATATAGAACTTTATAATATAAAAAGTTTATTGTATTCCTTAAATATATAATAGTAAAAATTTACATAATTATTTCAATTAGTAAATAGAAAAAAATTATGTCCTGTCCCCCGATGTATATGATTTTTATTGCTACCTCTGTCACACACTTTATGAAACAATGAACAATAGCAATTTATAACTGCATCGTTAGGCAACAGCACGATATCCTCTTCTCCTTGGACCTATGCCATGCATCGCTACACCCTAGCGAGTCAAGTCTGTTATCCACACGTAAGGAAAGAAAATGCGTGAGTTTATTCCGCATCCGCTCTGTCAACTGCATTACTATTTTCAAATATTATTGTAATTTCTGTTTTTAACATTATTGTTTCCTGGTAAATATTTCATATACGCTCAGTGTAAAATTAGTTAATTATTCAATGCAAAATTAGCTGATTAATTTTACTGTTTTACACATCTGTTACAAAAAAATGTAAAAACGTAACGAAATGGTAGGACTGATGTCGGAATAGTAATTTTTGTATGGAATTCAGAGTCCTAATTGATTTTTATTAAAGATAATTATTATTTTTCTTATGTTGGTTAAAATGAAAAACGTTGTTGTTGTGAAAAAAATCTAAACTGAAAAAGTTTCGAAAAAGAAAAATGATCTTGTTTTTATAAAATCCTTACATTTACCAACTCACATTGGTAAATCTTAAGATTTTCTGATAAAACTTCAGATTTACCAATGTGCAGGCTTTTACAGTAACATATATAATTTATAAAAAATAATCCCACCTCCGAAGACAGTCAAAAGAGGACGGCACGTTTATTACGAATTTTGAAATAAAAAAATAAATTAGAGATATAAAAAAGATAGAATAAAAAAGACTAATAATCTACCAAATGATCTAAGAGAAATATTATTATTTCTTATTGTTTCCCAAAGTTTAAACATGTTCAAGGGTTAATTTTTACGTCGGTTATTTAGTAGCTACCACTTCCTCACTTTGTCAACTACTCTGTCACAAACGTGTCCCCTCATAAATAAACGTTCAAAGTAATATATGATTTAATTATATTTAATAAAATACCGTTTTCCACTATTCAATACTAACCACAGAAATTCTTAACCAAATTTTGAATCAACTTATTTGATAGCTTGCATAACATTTACAAATAAATAATTCTAGTTAAGTAATAAAAAATCGAGATCTAGTTTTGCTTGACAACTAATATATTAAAACATTACTGTGACAGAGGTCTTTATTTTTGGTTATCATTCCAACGAAAGCAGAAATTTAATAAAAATATGAATTCGCTGCATTATATATTTTACAAATCTACAGTATTTGCCCAATAATTTAAAATACGTTTTTATAAATAAAATACATATTTATATTTTTAACAAATCTAAAAATTTATCACTCAGATTGTCGATAGAAAAGAAATACATCCCATATAACATTATTTTTTATCAGAACGATTGATATATCGACAATATGTGATAATGGTACTGGAAATTAAGTGCATGACATAATATCTGCAATAATGCTCCAATGACATTATCATTTTTACTCACGACATGTTATATACTAGATGTTCTTGCTTGCCCTCTACTTCGTCCGCGTAGACCACTTTTAGATGGTGTTTCAAAATAAAACATATATCAGATTTCAAGTTACACCTTCAGAAACACAACTGTAAAAACAGCATCCAATTTCGTACAGTAGTTTTTGTAACGATGTAAGCAAAAGTTAAAAAAAAAAGTTTTACCGTCTATTGGTCTTAATAAGCAATAATTTTCATTAATCCCTCATATTTTTTTTAAATTTCTTCCACGTACAGACATCGTATAATCACAATTTTATTACATTAGTAATATTATATGAAATTATTTATACTTCGGTTCATATTAGAATCAGCCATCGTGTTGATTATTATTTATCTTACTTAAATTTTGTCTGTCTCTCTATATGTTTATTCCGGCATCCCGCAAAAACTACTGCATCAAATTGGATACGGTTTTCATAGTTATATTCCTGAATTTGACATAAAATCTATATATTTAATATGTTTTCTGACTTTTAAAATCCACACAAATGAAGTAGAGGGCATATAGCTAGTTGGTGTTTAATAAAATCCTAAACTGAATCATTATAAATTCGGCTTAGCTACAGCATTGGATAAGGAAAAATTAAAATCTCACTATTTGATTTACTCAGAACTATTCTGAACGCATGCTTTCACAAAATAATTTTATTATTATATTTTAATTTTAAATGTTCTAAAATCTGCGTAAACATTTACTTTTCTAAAAAACTAGCAAGTAGAAATATATAAAACGTTCGAATTATGTAAAAAATTATAGTGGATAGTCGCATCACACGGTAAATATAAATTCTATAAATTATAAGAGACCTGCATCAAAGGGCCCTAAAATTAAAATTACGTGATTATAAACAGTGTGCACCTAACAGTAATTGATATTATTATATTATCTCCACACAGACCTACATACATATAATTATTATTAACTATTATTACATGTGAAAGTGAATGAATATCACAGTACTTATTTCTGTTAATTTACAATAGACTGTTTTGAAATGTAATTATATTATATCTATATTAAAAGAAATAAAAACCTAGAGCGGAGTTTGTTTTATCTAACTAATGATTCGCTAATATTACTCGTGTAAACAAATACAGTTTCCCTTGGCTTCGCTTTCGTTTGTGTCGCACTCATGCAAAATATTGTGATCAATATTAATTAAGCTTACATTATTTTTCGAAAACAACTAATATAAAACTACACGACTTTCTGACTGCTATATCTATTATTATAAAATACCAGGTTTTTACAAAGTTTACACATTGATTAGTTAAAAAATTAACATTGGTTGATAAAGTAATTCCCTGTTGTGAGTGAGCAACGTGAATTTAACTAAATGGTCGCTATTGCTTTACGGCATGCATAAAGGCTAGTATAAGAACTATAGAAAAAACAATAATTTTCTAAGAAAGTATTATTTTAATAATTTATTCTTTACAATAAACACATTACAAAACACTATACCCTTATAACTGACCGATGAATTATAAGTAATAAACTGACTGTATAATGAATTAAGTGGAAAATTTATCAGCCACCGGTATTTCAATTTAAATAATTGTAAACATAATTAAATATTATATCACCAAATAAAATATTTTTTGTTTTTAATAAACATTAACCAATGTTGCGGTATCACGCATTCGCTCCTCATTTGTTGACGCGCGCCGCGTCGTGTTGCATATCAACTTAACCTACCTACTATAAAAAATAATTTCATTTAATAATTCAATTGGAAAATTAATTAATTTGATTATAAAGGATATATTCATGGTACACATGGCGAATTTTTGCGGCGATACAGTCATGAAACACTCACATATTTATACTATTATCTACAATGTTTCTGGCAAATAAATTGCATTTCATTTCTATTCTTTGCATTTCTCTGCATTCTAAATTAGTATAATTATCACTTTAAAAGTATATATAACAACATTATGATCGCACAGTTTAGTAAATTAATATGTTAGATATTCAATAAATACATAAAATCTTGCCATATATATTTGGATAACGGGTTGTAATGATAGTCTGTAATGATGTTACAATTGTGTGTCTGTCAGGAAACTTTAACCTATTGGAGTTGCTAACCAGCTAATATGTGATAAGCATTTGAGCTGATTAGAAAATCAAACGTTTAAAATTTCTTAACATTATAATATGTATATATTCTTTGCAACAGGTCAAACTGGCAATCAGTATTAAATCAAGATGCAAAGCTGTGTGCCTCTGCAATTATTATAGACATGGCAGAAATATTTATCTAATTACATGCACGTTCTGCCTAAAACAAGTTAAAATTTCTGAAAGGTTCATACACAATTAGAGAATTATATTGAAACTCAAATACATACACAAAAATCAATCACTAAGCTCAAATAAAAAAACAACAGAATTTTTCAAACTCATGTTGAATTATTTAATTAAAGATTATCACTTGCCTTGAGCTTCAAACCCACACAAGGTCTAAAAAGCCACGAGATCAGGTGCCTTGAAGTCTAAACGGCTTAGATATTTATAAGACCAGTGGCCTTCACCTTACATACTATGTATGAAAACAATAAATCTAAAATTTAATTTGATACTGATAGATAATAAAATAGTCTCTTGACTAGGAAATTGCCAAGTAAACCTGTTGCATGCAGTAAATTGATAAAAGAACATTAAATCTAATAAATAAGTAATAAACAAATACATTATTAAAATTACAATCTGCATTTATAAATGAAAATTACAAATAAATTACATTCATATTCATAATAAAAATTATATCGATTGACTGTATTGCTGCTACTACACGATATCATTGATTCAATCGTTAATTGGCCTTGTGCAGTAATGCAATTTAAAATACTATTAAAACTGACGAATTCCGTCGAGTGTCACAAGAATGAATTCTTAAATGTTAACATCAAATCACACAACACAACAGTAATCGTTCGATCTAAATTACATAGAAAAAGAACGGAATGAACAATGTTTAGCATTGATGGATGAAAGTGCCCTCGAGAGGGTGGGAAATGCAGCGCGCGTAAGCGGCGGCGGCTGTGCAGATACGGACGAGTTTGTGGGGGCGGGGGCGGTCGCCATGGTCACGCCCCACCACGACTCCTAGTCCTCCGACATGAAGGAGTTTTGCGACTTAAGCTCCTCCAATCGCGATATCTGCTGCCGCAGGTACATTATCCTACGTTACAACCAAACAAGTTTATCATACCTTAGTCTTCCACTCAATATCTATAATTTAATTGAGAAAGGAATCAAAATTCTTCGGAACCGGTTTGTATGAGACAAGTTATGAAAGCGATAAAGCGAGAGATGTAAAGATAGTTGCCTTCGACACTCGGCTCTCTGTCTACTCACAAGGGACTTCACGTTAGATGTAAAATAGATATAAAAATATTTAGATATGTATACATAAGCTGATCTGTAAGATATTCTAGTGTAATAATTGCATTTAATTTTAGACTCTATCAAAACTGACATAATGTAAATACATTACGAACTTAGTATTTACTTAGTAAATATATAATATCAAACCAAAATGCACTCACTTTTGCTCCTGTAATGTAGCCTGTATCTCAGTGTGACGTACAAGCGAACGCGAACACTTCAACTCAGCGGACACTCGCGTGCACTGCAAACAACCTAGCTGATATGCCTCCTCCGTGAACTTATTGGCCTGTAATTGTAAAACAAATATTCATTAGCTTTTAGACTTTCGCATTGCATGGCTACTTGTGGCTAAAGCTAATCTGGTCGAAAATTACCATAATTTACCTAAATAACTACATTGATTCCCATCTCTTATATATCATAAACGAATGTTCTGAAGAAACAAACAATAACAAATTTTATATTTTTTGTTCCTGTTAGTTATTAAAACCTCGTCATGAGGATATTAATGGATTTTACATCAAAAGTGCTACATACAATGCAAAGTCAATAAAAGCATATAAATTCTTGTTTGTATCTATTAAGTAACTCAAATCAATATTGACAACCTAATCATAATCTATACAGGGTGTCCGGTAATGAATGGATAACCTTGAAACGTCTCATAGTTCAACTTATAGCCATCCTAAAAAAAATACGAAACAAAATATATCATAAGTAGTACCTTTGTTATCTTTATTTTAAAGAAAAGTCAATTTTTTCTATCTTATTTTACTGTCCTGATCCCTATGACCAGAAATGAATGAATTCTATTGGTTTTTTGTTATTTTATCATTATACACTAACTGTGCTGATAGATAGAAAGTGCTAGACTAGCTATTGCAGTTTTTATTTAATACGCAAACTAACTTATTTTTGAAAAATATGTAAAAAAAATTTTGTTTTAATTCATTACCGGACACCCTGTATATCTATATTTCCACCCATATTTAATAGTATCATAAACGATAACTAATCGTTCACAAGATCAAGATTTTTAGAATTTGCAAAGATCATAAATAGTATAATTGCAAAATAAAATGGAACAACAAACCTAAATTAATAAACAAACAGTAAGTCATAGCATAGTTTTATACATCTATATACTTTTCGATCTACACTTTAAACACTTCAAAGTAGTTAATTAAAAAAACACTGTATAAAAATGTATACAAAAACAACACAACAATAAGATGTCGCTTCTAATAAAATAAAAACTGCCGCTTTAGTATATTAGTAAAGATCATACAAACATGCTGTAACATATATAAAGTACAAAAAAATATCAATTACCTGCTTCTCAAGAATATCAGCTGGCCAACCCGTGACGTGTGTCGTGAGGTCAGTCCGCACATAGTTCACTAGCGAAGGAGTCAGCATTGGAGGTGCGTGGTGCAATGTACCGCCGACCACTGACGAATAACTGCCCAAGCATTCCACTGTTCCACACGGATTGTTCAATTAATTTCTATGTTAAATGTATGTGTTTAAATTTTTATTGGAACTTCATAAACTTCCTCTTTCAGAGTTAAAAAGAGAAATATCTTACAACATTTTTATCTATTTAAAAGCTTATTAATATTAATATCTCCTGCCTGTGACCGTTTTACTTATTATTATGTCAGCAATGAAGTAATAACGCCGGCATTGTTACAGTTAAATAAACAGTGCTTTTTCTATCATCATATCAGTCGTTAACTTCCCACTGCAGAACATAGGCCTCCCCCATAAGGAGGGTTTTTCCAATAGTCGCTGCTGCCAATTACGATTACGACACCCTCAGGAAAGGAAGAAGTGCCCATTCAGTGTCGGGACCACACGGCCTTTTCTAGCATAAGAGAAATATTTTTTTTAGCCTTAGTCTTCAAGAATGGCCTCACTTTGTTATATCTAAAGCGTATATCTATAGTATATAGGCAACTATTACCGTTTCCCACCAGACTGCACGTTTACCGAGTAATTATAAAATTAAATAGGCAGAATAATTAATAAATCTAAATATCCATATTTAGATATTTTATATTTTCGATGTAGCTTTTTTCTTCAAATTTAATTAATCGAATTAGTTATACCAACAGAAATAATTATCTAGTTTCAAATCAATACAATCACGTTAGTACAGTACAATAAATAAGACTTTTAAACCTGAATCTTTTATTGTTTTAAATTTCATAAATGATGTTTGCGAATACTGAGCTCTTATTATATGAATTATGAACTAATAATTTCGTAATTGATATAGATGTTTATACTCTTTCAATTTTTTATGATCCTTAGAATGACGAACAAGCCTAAAAAGACATGACACCTAAAAAGATAAGAGACAACATCTATAGACATGATACAGTATCACTAATATAGTATGCACTGTGATACCCATGGTACCACTCCCGCATTGTCATTCTTAAGAGCAATAGTCTAATGCCTGCAATTTCACTACCATATGTGTATCTCTACCTACCAAAACAAAATACGATTATGCGATTGCATGCTGCTTCATGGCAGGAACATGAATTAACTATGTTATATATTGTATATATATACAAAAATATTCACTCACTTTTTCTAGGCAGAGCTTGTTCTAAGTGCAACGGCGGTGCGTGAGGGTCCGTGTTTTCGGAATGCGTAGGCGTGGGCGGGCCTGCGTCCCGATGCGGGGTACCGGCGCCGCTCCCTAACGCGATCGCTGCATTCGTCTCGCACGCGGGCGACGCAGTTCCGTTGTTAGCAATTATCGCCGTCGTCACCGGTGGAGGTGCCGCCACAATCCTCGGTAGCGCCGCCGCGAGCAATGACCCGCTCTGTTATGATGCAAAATTTTTATTTTACAATAATAATTAGAATTAATTTCACTTTCTATTTAAACATATATTCCCACAATTTTAAATAGATTGAGTACATGAAAAGATGGTGTAACTCCTCGCTAATAAGCAGTGGTTATATATTTTAGTATCACAAACTACTATAGCAAATATCTAGTGTTTGTATTTATATTCAAAATAATCCGTCATTTCAAATAAATTGCCAGGGTAAATTCGTATATTTCCAACGGGATGTAGACATACCAAGAAAGCCACAAGAGGCAATTATTATATTGTCTTCTGAACGAACAACGTAAAGATGTACCATAAATGATACAGTATATTCTTATGATAAACAATGGTAACCACTTCTTTTTATGCCATTCCCACCACGATGTATAGAATAAAAAATATTTGTAAGTTAATATATACTGTCTGTATTTTATGCTTAAATGCAATTTAGTACAAGGACACTTTGAATCGTAAGCAATTTCCAGGGGGAAATATGAGATGAATAAAATTGCGGATTTTTTTAAGATTAGAAATATACTGACAAAAACTTGTGTGATATTTTTGTTTATGTTTGTTCAAGGTATAATAGCATATATAGATAAGATGTATACATACAATAATGTAAAACTTACCGTTTGATTTGAGTTGTCGAGTACGACGACCGGAGGGACTGCATTGTTTTCAGAGTTATTCCGAACCGTTGAATTCGTTTCTCTGGCTCCATATGAATTCTCTGAGAGGGGTGTACTCCTATCTGGAGATATGTCCATGTCTTGTAATGATTGTCCATCTATAAAAGAAAAATTTACTTATTAAAACATTTACACCTAATAATACCTTTAAACATAATATGTATCATAAAAAAATAATAAATTTCAGCGCTAACGCACCTTTACCTTCGTGTGCAGACGTCGAATGTTTTGGTCTTGTTCGGTCATACGCCTCTTCATCTCTATTATTCCAATATCTCTCTGAGGTATTATTAGTTCTTTTACTAGATTTATCAGACTCCCTTCTCCCCGACCGCGAACTTGACCTTTTTTCGCGATCTAAATAATAAACCATTACATTTAAAGGTGATTTAAGCTAGACGAAACTGCAGCGTATGGAATAAGTAGATCGTCTTACTCAGATCAGTGCATGCATTTAAATTTTTACTATTGGACTAGGGGAACAAAATATAAAAACTTTTCTATGGCGAAAACTACCAATGAGCCTTTTGTATTTAGAAACGTGTTTTTTTTTTTTTTTATCTTTAACAGTAATACATAGAATATAGAAATATTTGAAATATTATATAAATAAACGTTACAATCGTGAAGTTATTGAGGGAATATCGACCATTCAATGCTAAATTATGTGAATTATGAACTGACCACACCGTTGTTATGTTAAATTATTATTTAACCGCAATGGGCATGTGAAGAGAAGCTCGCGGTTCATATATTTTTAATATCCCATAAAAAACATAAAATGTAAAAAAATACCAACCCTCACTATGCAGCTTTTCCACTAAAAAAAGTTATAGCATCTTAGTATAAAATCAGTTTCATTTATAGACATTGTATCAATATACGATATCTTTATTTCTATATTAATTATAATGACTTGGCAATTAGATTGCAATTGCAACATATGCTACTAATAAAATACTTTATTCCTTAAATGCACTATTTATTTAGATTTACTTACTAATCGAAATAGTATATTTTTAATTAGATGTATATGTGTATACACATACAAAGATGAGAGAGATGATGAGTTACTAACTGACCCATACATTAATATATATATAACGTAGCTAAACAATATGAAGGCAATTTTAAAAATCCCACCCCTAAGGGGGTAAAACGGGGGTTGAAAATTTGTATGGAATTACGATTAGTATTTTAGGCTCTCAAAACAAAAATTAATATTTTTATTGCCTCATAAATATAAGATGACATGAATAAAAGTGTCGAGGCACTTTTTATTACTTTGAGAAAAGAAGGGTGGTTATGATCGACTTGACGGGGGCACTATCGTGCCCCTTGATAATTATTTTCAGGACATCAACTCGAGCATCATCATGTAAATCCTAAAACAAAATGGTGAATGGAAAAAAGCTAAGAAATTTTTAATAGTTTTTTAATAATTGTGTGGCTATTATTTATTTACAATATTAACCGTATATATTATCTATAATTGTTTAGAAATAATATTTCTTTGCTTTTTTAAACTAGTTGCATAGTACTTGTTATATATAAATCACTATAAGTGTATGATAACGTAATAAATAGATATCAATATTCAAAATGGCAGATTTGAGTTTTGATGCTTACTTTTTTCGGTCTCTACCTAAATTTGGTGTAAATTACTTATTTTTTTAAAGAAAAAATTTGCAACCCCACGATTTTTTTTTTCAGTACCTACACTCGAAAGCAATGAATCCGGGTCACTTAAAAAAACCTATAAATCTCGGAAAATAAGAATGATAGCTTAATTAAGTAGTGTTTAGTAGACAATTAAATCCTCCTTAATTTAAGGTATTAAAACTTCTTAGTTACTGCAAAGTTATGTCATAAAAAAATATATTTGAAAAAGGGAGACTTTCGAAGATGGAACTACGAAATAACTGCATTTGATTTTATTTTTGTTTCTAATCTGTCATTTAAGTGGGTATATAAACCATATTGATAGTGTTCAATATTTATTATTCAATCTGAAATTCTGTCGCTTACAATTGAAGAATGCACCAAAATTCTCACAATACTAAAAACCAGCCGGAATCAGCGAGATACAGCCAGGACTGTCAGTATGTCGCTGTCAACAGTACAAAGAGTTCTCCAACGTTACGAGGAAACTGGCTCTAACCTACGTAGACCAGGAACAGGCAGAACTAGGTGTAGCACAGCATGAGAAGACCGATAGATGGTGAACCCTATGTTTCGTAATCGCTTTCTCACAGGAACTGAACTTAGAAATCAGTTTCGACGCCTCGGAGGAAGTAACCCAAGCGCATGGACAATAAGACGATGACTTGCTGAAGCTAATTTGTAACCACTTAGACCTGCAAATGGCCCTAAACTGGAGCGTTTTGATCGTGTTTCCAGACTAAGATATGCCCAGAACCATTTAACTATTGAAGGTTGGTCGAAAATTATGTTCCCCGACGAATCAAAATGTATGCTCTACAAACACGATGGAAGACACATAATATATAGAAGACTAGGGAAAATTCTAGTAAATATACAAGAAAAAGTAGCCTACGGTGGTGGTTCTGTACTCGTGTGGGCCGGAATTTCATTTGAGAGTCGCACAGAACTGGTGTTCATAGAAAACAGCTCTTTAACTAGCGTAAGATATGTGGAAGAAATCCTTAATGAACACGTTGGGCCTTTTGTGGTCAATTTGGGTGAGGATGCTATTTTTATGCATGACAATGCCCGGTTTCATACAGGTTCCATTGTGAATGGCTACCTACAAGAGATAAATATTACTCGCATGAAGTTGCCAGCACGCAGCCCGGATATCAACCCGATCGAGCATGCATAGGATGAGCTAAGGAGATGCGTAAAACAACGAAACCCTCCCCCAATCACGATTCGTGAGCTCAAAATTGCTCTCACAGAGGAATGAGAGAATATTTGCCAAAATCGTATAAGAAACTTGGTGCCAAACCGCATAAACGCAGTAATGGAAGCATGAGAAGGCAATACAAAGTATTAAAATTCAAGAAAATCATATTGTTGTACAATAATGTCATGTTTCCTATTTTTGTTTTAAGGCGTTCAGCAGTTTTTTTTCTTTATGTAATTTTTAATAAATGTAACTTATAAATTTTATTACCGTCATTTAAGGGGTATTATATTGTCTATTAAACACCGTTTATTTTATTAAGCTAGCATTCTTAGTTTTCAAGATTTATAGGTTTCTTTAGGTGACCCGTATTCATTGCTCTTGAGTGTAGTTAGAAGTTTTATGAATATAGGTTAATTTTACGAATATGAATGTGAATTGTTGGGCAAATAAACTATTTAGCTTCTTCGATCTTTCAACTGAGTTCAATGGAAACGTAGACGTGATCACGAATACACTGTAGAACAACGATGTCATTCCTGTTTAGTAGTTTATTGGACTACCATTACTGGATTGTGTAACAAAAATTCGTGACACTACTGTGGTATTTATATACGACTAAATGTATTTGTTATTAGATTCTACGCCAATTATAAGTCAACTTACAGTTGAAATTTTAATGTTTATTAATTTCTATCACTTTTAATGCCATTCGTGGATAATAGTAATGATCAGATAATTCGTTCAGTTTTCTTTAGACATTTGGCGAGTTTATAGTTCAACCCCACGATCAGCACTAACATTAAGAAGATATTAGGCAGTGTCGAAAAGTTTTGAGTTTATCGATTTTTAGCAGCCATAATATGCTCGTTTCCCTTTCAGTTGTGGAACGTTTTGTTTCGCCAATGTAAGAGTTAACTACGTAAAAACATCACACAGCATTTCATATGGATACTTACACTTTCACAAATTTATAACTGAATGATTGCATATATGCAGATGATAGTAAAAGGTAACATGTAGATGTGTATATGTAAGCTTCCGATAAACCATAGTATTATTATACCTAACTGTAGGTTGACTTATGTACATTGTAGTTCTGAGGGATATTGATAGGGGTTACACGGGGATGTAGGCGACAAGACCGCACCCCTCAATTTCAGTTAAGTTTAGTGAACATAGTTTGAAGGGCATAAGAGCACAGTATTTCACGAACTAGTACTTTTGTTATTATTAAATAACATTATTTTATTTTTATTTTTAATATTAAATTTACTATTAATTACTTCCTATCATTAATCAAGTATGATTTGATGATACTTGGTAATTTTTTAAATAAAAAATAGTGATCAATGGCTCTCGTGTAGGATATTGTATAATGTAACTAGTGCGAATATATGTAAATTTTAATACAGTTTTAAAAATAATTTCACATATTTCATTCATATAAAAAGAGATATTTTGTATTTAAATTTAACACAGAAATAAATTTCAGAATATGTTAATATTAAACTATTGGTCTTTATGAATTGATTTAATTTCGATTGACGGTAAGTCCTGAGAAAAAATTTAAATATTTGTAAAAAAAAACAACCAAAATAAAATAATTAACGAGTAACAACTTAATAGAGGCAAAGAGAGTAAATATAATGTAAGACAAGCCCATCATGGGTTATAGGGCTGATATCTTAAAGTAATTTATGATACCTATAGAGAAGGCCACATATTTTTCGGCAATGGAAATTAAAGATTTAAGTGACGACGATGATAACATACATACACACATTTTTAAACGGAAAAGCAGTTTAGTAGTCAATCTTGAAAAGTACTAGAAACCATTAGGTAATGTGAGAAAGTGTCTTTTATAATCTTTAATATAGTCAACAATGAAATTCTCAACAGAACACTGCAGACCATTGTAATTATATTATAAATAGGTAACAAAGTTGCACTGCTATGTGTTAAAGGTCACAGTAGTCCTCTGAGTAATGATGTAAATAAAAATTATTATCAAAACTCAGGGCAGGGAAAGCAATTAATTTTAATGAATAAATCAATAAAATAAAAAAATATCCTAAAACTATTGGAATCATATGGATTAATCGTATTTCTGAAAAACGATCGTTGGTGTAATAAATATCCAAGTACCAAATTAATCTAAATGCATTTACATCTAAAATAATACCTTATTATCGTATGATATACGTTATATAGTTCACGATATACAAGCTCGCAAGGCAGACGTCGCCGTGATGTCCGTGTACTTGTGCTAATACATAACTTAGTTTGCATATAATAACTGTGTTTAATGTTTTTCATATCTAATAAATAAATTATTATTATTTTTAAATATAGTACAATCTTAGAAACGTATAATATTGTGCATAAATTAACATAATTCAATAAAATGTGTTCGTAAAATACTATTTTCTTATGACAAGGTAACTTATACAATAATTTAAATGTCAAAAATTACTAAAAAATTTAAATA